TGCGCCGCACCACGATGGATGACTCCTGCAATCTCTCTCTTATCTTAGCGTTGGGTCTTCACAGTTCTGGGTTCGATATCTTGTATGCTGTGGTCAAGGGTACTTGGCAGCTTCTTCAACCATTCTGTTATTTTTTACCTTCCACCTGTGGAATGATATACAGTCGTCTCGAGGAATTTCGGATTGGGAACGTTTTGCGCAGACGGCGCCTTTTTGGAATTATTTCCATCTTCTCTTTGGCACGACTCGCCGCCTTTTGGCCAAGCTTTTCAAGTATAATGGTTTGCTACAAGATCTTGGACTCTGCCGGCAGCAAGACTTTGTTGATATCTCCCCTACTTTTGCCTTTTCCGCGAACTTGGATTCTATTTTGCGCGTCGACGACGTTCCGTGCCCCGCCTCCAAGACTCGGTTCATTACCAAAGTGATACCGCGTCTCAGCTTGCTGGTTAACCACGATTCGCCTTCTTTCGGTCCTGTATTTCCGCGCTTGATCGAATCAGCGCGGCATGATTGGAGTATTGATGGCACAAAGGTGGCAGATATGACCAATCGGGACTTTGTCTGTCTTCTCCTCTCCTTACGCACAGGTTCGTCGATCCCTTCGCTTCCGCTACAACAACTTGGTATTCCCGAGTTTTTAACTTCGTCTGGATTGTGGATCTTGGAGTATGGGCTTGATCATCATGTTCTTCTAGTCGCCGCCGATGTTGATTCCGTCTTGAACACAACGCGCTGGAATTTCGGTACAAGTTTGGCTGGCGTACGGAGGTTACTACATCCTCGTCTTGCCTTCATGATTAAGACGCCATGGAAACCGCTATTCATATCTTTTGGCTTTTTGCCCTGTCGCCAAGTATCAATGGATTTTTTTCTTGCAGCCTTTTCGAGACTGTTTAGACGGCGAAGTTTCGTGATCCATATTCTGTTTCCGGCTTCGCTGCGTATGTTTCCGTCTGCCACCATGGTTTTCGGGAATCAAGCAATTCTGATCGTCTTCCATGTTCTTCGCTGCTGTGTACTCCGTTCTCTTTGGATTCATCGCAACAAAAGACTTACAACCCCGGGACTAGTACGAATGCCGCCTTTGTCCGTCATCAGTGACTGTTTTGCCTATGTGGATCTACACTTACGCACTTTGAGGTCCTACGCGAAACGGAAGAATTGGCAAGGCCTCTTGCGCCTTGTTTTGGATATTTCATCTACTTTCTCTATGGATACGTCCTCTCTTTCTACTGTTACTATGGTTTCGGATTGCTGATGCTTGGGTCCAACGCTCTACATGCTATGGATCACTAGCCTATCTCTATGGATGCGTCTATCTTTCTACTGTTCCTATGGTTTTGAATTGCTAATGCTTGGTTTCTACGCTCTACATGCTATGCGATCTCTAACCAATCTACATTACCTCGTCACGAAACATATCTTCAAGATATTTGTGGATAAAAGTGTTCGAATTGTTCGATTAGCATGGTTATTACTATCTTTCTATACTATTGCAACGCTACTACTTACTATGGCTTCCTACTATGCTCTGGATTCTATCTACGCTGTAATCTAGATTCTATCTACGCTTTGGTCCTCCCTCGCGGTTACTGATGTTTGGAGCTCTTGGTTGAAAGCCGGTCCACCACGTCAAGGCGGCTCCAAGTTGAACCGGGTTGGACCCTTTCCCGGGCCCAGGGTTCGACAATTAAGTCGGATAAGGTATGCCGCCGTCAGCCCGCCTTTCCACCAGCTTGCTGCGTACCGCACATACCCCGCTACATGGATTTGAATCGTGTTTTCTCGTGTCTTTTAAGCGGAATTGGGCCGCAGGTAATCACTTTTCAGTGAACAACACGTATCATCACTCTCCCAAGCCATGTGGCTAATCATAGCTCAAGGCTACACTTCAGGCACGCCTGAAAGTCTTTACGTCGTCTTTTACTAGGATTTAAGGATGGATGGTCCCCTCGTCCCTGCTTCCAACTACGCAAAGGTGAAACTGAAGGTCGCGTTTTAACTTCGCCATCGACATCCGTACTACTCTTGTCCCCAGGGCTTTTCGTTTGCCGATACCGCCGAACGCTTCGCCCACTTGCGGTTGACCATTGAGTCCGCTACTCTCAAGCGCCCTCGGGCCTGCCAGACCATGTTCACAAGATTTCACTTCCTACCCAAGGTTTCCCCGCTGCTACTTGCTGAGATCAAGTCTTTCGCCCAGGGTAATATACGAGCCAAGATACCGCCGCACCAAATCTGCTGCCCCGCAAGACCAAGCCCATCCCTCGTTTTTGCCTCGTCCAAATCCGTGCTTTGACACCTCCTACTGCTGACCCATGTTGTCTGTCACGACGAAAATCCCAAAGGGCACTTTTGCATCAGGTCAAAGGCTCCGCTTCAATGTGAGGGTTTCTTGGTCCTTTTGGCTTGTCATCCAAACCCCGGCAAGTAACCCACCTCAACAGCCTTACGGCTTCACGGGAGATCACGATGCATCGCATCTCGACCCTTAAATGCCCGAAGGCACGGCCACCGCCTAGAAAGTCGATCTCTACCTCACCAGCAAGTTGGATACCCCCATGGGGGCGGTGTGTTTGTTTCCTTTTCTATATTTACGCTACTTCTGCCTCTACAGGTCATTCTATATTTTTATAGCTAAGTATTAGCCAGGAATTAAAGTTATTGAATGAACAATTTTCCCGCCTTGCCCACGCAGTGAGATTATGAGCCAAACCGCTTCTTGTGTAGCATTGAATAGCACCATGTATTTGACTCCAATGACGACAGCGATACATTTCTGTGCTTCTTGCCACACCGGCTAATGCGTTTTTTGCTCATGATATATCGCGTATAGCTGCGTAAGCTTCGTCGATGAGCAATGTCTCCAGCCCAGTATGATTCCGAGTAGCCCTTTGATTTCTCACCATTAATCGATAAACAAAGTCCATGTGTTAGAATAATTTGGTACGCACTTCATGTCTTACCGCTGGGCTTGTCGACAGCAAACTGGCTTTACTTCATTTGATGAAACAAGGTCTTGTTGCTTAGCCATAATGTCCCCGAACGCAACAGCTACCTAAGCAAGAGGGAATAAAACGACGCCGTGCGTCGTCAGCCGCTTGAGGCGCAGCTGCTAATTGACTTAGTAAATATCCATCGAAAACATCTGTAAATGGAGCACTTAATACATCCATCTCCATTCTAAAATTCATAATAATGTTCTAGTCCAAGCACCTTAGCTGCGACGCAAAAGCGGCACAGAACAACAGGTGATTCATCGCCTGCTGCTGGAACATTTCAGATTACAGCGATTACGTGCAGATTTACGTGGTGAACGTGATTCCAAACCGTCGACAATTTACTCGAATGAGTCCGATGATACATCCGTTACCAAACACAAGAATACCGCTATTGTTGTTATCCATTTCAAGAGATCTGATAGCAAGGCCCATTGACACGGAGCCTCCAGAACTCTGTCGGAACCGATAGAGGCTGCAACAGAGCACTAAGTGGAGGACTAGGCAATGAAACCACCGCAAGAACGAATGAGTTTGTACACAAACCGATACCGGCGTAGCTCTAAGTCGAAGCTTGGCGTGAGATAAGTATTGCGTGTCCACGATGCCTGCATCGCGACACTCACGCATGATCCGAAAATGCAAATAATAATGTAAGCGGAAACGACGACACGTGAGGCGATGCCCGCAAAGGCTGTGTAACAGGACGCTACGTGTTGTGTATTTATCCATAAAAGACATTGTCGACAAAGTTTGTAAAAATGGATTTACCAGATGCATTTATCGAGCGCACTCGTCCTGAATCGTTAAGTAAGCCATTCTCACGTCGTCAAGCAATGTTGACGACAAAACTAGAGATCATTACCGCAACAGTGCCTGTTACACTGTTAATGCAGCTGGCTCGGAATCTACCGAAAGCTATTATCTCGACTGCCTGCGTAAAATGTGCGAGCCCTTCAGCGTTTACTAGCAGTCAAAGCAGTGAGTCTCATACTTTTGCCATAAGTGTTTTCGACAGCTCAGGCGAAGCATACCGCACAATGTTATCGAGCACCTGCTAGTAGGCGTCGCAAGCCGTAGTCGCTGACTGCTGCAAAAAAAGAGGTAGTATTTCAGCCACGAGCGCGTGCCATCCTTCTTCGTCGTAAGAAGCTTGTTTCTTGGGCTGAGGTAAACATCTTCTTGAAATAGTACCAAGCATGCACTGCAGAGTCGTAAACACGCCTACCACTTGTCGACCTGCTTGATGACACAGCGCACCGCCGCGGTTGTTAAGTATCGGCAGGACGTCAGTCTTGATCTTTTCGGTCCATAAAAGACCCGTCAGAATGTATTGCCATAGTCGAAGAAGCCAGACCCGAGTCCAACTACTGGAAAACCCTCTTCCATTTGGGTAAGGTACACTATAAGTGCACCCACCACAAAAGTGTGTGTATGTTACACAGGGTAAGGTACAAGGTACCTACCACAAAACATGTACAAAGTGTATTCACATGGGAAATTATGTGTGATGCAGACTATCATTCGTATGAGAATTGATGTCAAGCTGCCTATGTCATGGCGACAGACCCAACCTACAGTCGAAAAACGCGACATATTGAAATCCCGCTGACACTATGCCAGCGATCAAGTAGCAAAGCAGACTGTGAACGTATGGAAGGTCAAGACAGGACAATCCGTCCGACCAGATGACGAAGCCGCTGATTGGTGGACACTGGAGAAGTCAAGTGCAAGGAGTGTACTGACCACAGACTCATTGTCCAAAGTGACGGTGTAACTTTGGAGAGTGGTGTATAAGAAACCGCTTTTTACTCTGGAATGCAAGAGGTTGAAGACGTTAGGAGTTACAGAAGTGGAAAAGGAGGACCAAGCGACAGGACGACTGGATCTAGAAATAATGCAAAAAAGGCATAGGCTGCAGGCTCAGTTACACCGAACTAACCTCCTCCGAGGACAGGGAAATGTCTGCAGTCATGTGCATACATTGTTTGCATTCGGATGGCGAAGTCCAACCATGCCCGTTCCGGAGACCAAGTGGAAAAGGCAGTAAATACCCAGAAGCATGAAGCTGCAAATAATCAGGATTGGACAAAGCGTGAAGTGATGGTTGGAGAAGTGATCAAACTCAAGCTACTTGATAAAAGTTATGAACCAAGTCATTGCTATTTCGACACAGGGTCAAATGCTCATATGACAGCGTACAAAGAGTACTGTACGATTCTATAAAGCATGACTGACAGCAAATGGATCCGGATTTGCCGATGTTCTTGTTGCTGAAGCAGAAGGATTTGAAACCATCATTCTTGCTGTCGAGGTGGAAAGCAATGGTCTACTTGATGGTTGAAGATGTGCTATCTGTGCCGGAAGCGGGTTGTAACTTCATTTCGCCTGGATTAGCACTCGACCAAGGTCTTCAAATGACAAGGGAAAGTGAAACGAAATTATTGGGACTGCAACGAGATGGATCGGACGTCATCCGAACGCAGTATGGTTGTCATCTCTGGACCTTCAAGACTCGAATAAGAGAAATCAGGCCGATACCAAGGATCATGTATTAACAAAGATGAAAGTCTTTGCAAACTTTGCTAATCATATTGCGCGTCCAAGCATGACTTTATGTGGACCACTAGGCAGTTAGATTTATAGTGTTGTATAGATACATTTTCGAGCAACCAATCAGACAGTAGAATATACGATCTCTTCGGACATCTGTTGATGATGAAAATTCGATCAAACAATTGCAAATATGTATACACTCTCATTTATAATACCCTTATATTGTTGATAGCTTCTACAAGATAAGCTAAATAACTGATCAGGTGCTGTAGAATTGCATACATATGCTATCGTAATACTTACTAATTACATTAAGTTTACTCAGCTAACAGTAATCATGCCTATTATACAATTCAGTGCCATTTGCCAAAAAACCGGCGACCCAGTATCAGCGCAAATACAGACAGAGCAGCTTCACTTGAATTCGTTTGTATCTTTGGCTCCATGAAGCGTCGTCCATTACGAGCTGCAGGTGGCGTTAAACTTTCTGTAATATGCATCTGTCTATCGACCATTGCTCTACAGATCTTGACCACGCCGTCCCTGGCCTCTTCACTGTCGTTTTTTACCAGTTTGAACCCCATGGACTTATTTATCTGGACAAGCATGACCTCTTCTTCGGAGCCGCCCGATATTTCTTTTATGGACTTGCGACTGTATAATCTATCGGTACATCACGTTTGCTACGTGGACGAGGAAGATCCTGGAAAGGAACAGGATCAGATTCGAGCTGTAAACCCTTTTGCTGGTGTTCTCAAGACACTAACGGAGTTTGTAGCAACTGTGATGACTAGACAACAGTCGGGAGAATGCTCAAGTGTTGTGGTGACATGGGAAGATCATCCACTAGCTACTCATGCTCGTGCAAAGGATGCACGGCTAGAGGTGGAAGAAATCAACGAGGACAGAGATTTAAATGATGGAGCGGTTGAAGTCGTGTCCGAGTCGTATTCGTACGAAGTGCAAGTTTGGGTTACAGACTGGGGACTTGATGGTCTTTGGAATGCTGCTAATCGAAAAGTAACGTCTTTGGATCCATTTCTCGTGCTTGTAGACTTGCCATTGGAGCAGGAAATAGGTTTTCGAGTGAGAATGAAGGCCAAACAGACGAAGAAATCAGTGTTGGGATTTTTATTGCCCATTGAGTTTTTCACTACACAGACAGATGGAGAATGGAGTGACGTTGTGACTTTGTCCCCGACAAAAGACGAGGAGTTGAAAGCTATCGTCACGTCTTTGGCAGGAAATAAACTGTTGATGTTGCTGCTGACAGTATGTATCGGGTTTAGCTGCCTTGTAGTGGTACAGCTGTACGCCCGACCCGGACTGGCAATGACTCGACAACGAGAATTGCTCAGCGCACAGCTGAGTCGTCGATCACTCTCAGCGAGGAGCGATATCTCGAACGAGGCGGATTGCACAGCTGCAACTGATTACAACGTTATTGACAGTGACAAGACGACGCAAGAGCTCGAGCATGAGATCCACGATCTTCGTCAAGAGCTATCGGATCTTGAGGACGAGGTACGGCAGCTTATGCTGTTCAGTGGCTGCGGCATTGAGACGCTGACGCCACACGAACTCGAGCATCTTGAGTGCGAGCTCACGCATACGCTCAAGCGCATTCGGTATCTAAAGAAGCATGGCTCGATACCAGAGATAAATAATTGTACAAAGGGATAGCTGTCGGAGATGAACAAAGATGAAGAACGATACGATGACTCAAGCAGTGAGGCGAACTATTACTGAGGAGCATCATGTACGTGTACCTGTCGTTGTAACTCCGACACTATATTATTTATCGATTTTGGAGTTTTTTTTGGATATGTAACACTGTAGCCACCAACAATGTTCATGTGAGCAATGTCCATCTTAGACAATTCAGTGGCAACGACCGTGCCTCCAATGCCAACATTTCACTGATGCACAAGACGCTGAGACCAATTTTTGTTGTGGTTTTAGAGCACAAACCGGCGGAAATGGACTTTGCCATTGATGGCGAAAGTTGTATCAAGTGTCTTCATGATGGCTGTGAGGACAGTAGGAAGTACTTGTGACAGTTTGTGAATAGTGGCAAGAACGGAATGTAGACGTATCTGAGTCGAGTCGGACGATGGATTGACTAACATGAACGTTTAAGAGAGGAAGACCAAAGTTGCTTGAGCTACAAAATGATTAGACTGCTCTGCATAACTTCACTGTCAATAGACATCCCGACCACGTACAATTCACGTGTGTGCACGTCTAACGGCGTACAATGTCCAATAGCTCAACCTCGAAAATTAGGTCAGCATCAGGAGGAATCACATTACCAGCGCCAGTCTTGCCGTAGCCCTTAACCGATGGAATATGAAGCGTAGCTTTCATGCCCTTGCTCATTCTCATGACGCCTTCATCCCAACCACGAATGACCTGACCCACACCGATTTGGAACTGGAATGGCTGCCCGCGGTCGCGTGAAGAGTCAAAGACCTTGCCATCCTTTGCGAGCTTGCCCGTATAGTGCATGACCATTGTATCTCCACGCTGAGGGAAGGTCTTCTTGTCACCATCTTCGATCACCTCAGGCAGCACAAGACGTTTACCTTCGTGCAGCTCCTCGTGCAGTTCATGATCCACCAATTTCAACGTCACCGTCAGTGACTGACCAGCATAGGGATGAGCCAGATCAATGTCCACTATATCATCCGTGAACTTTACAATGCGAGCGCGTTCACCACCCGCAAGCTCGAGTATCTGACCCACAGCAAGCATCTTCCTCTCTTTCTCCGGTAACTTCATCTCCTTGAGTGGCACCGAGAGAATGTAATTGTCTGCACCAAAAGCTTGCGCCGGTTCAATGGTCAGTGTCTTGGACTCGCCCTTTGCCATACCTTGCACAGCTTTCTCGACACCAGGAAGGATCTGGCCGCTGCCTACAGTGAACACCAAAGGAGCATTTTCCTGTGTCTTAGGCAGCGAGTCACCACCTGACAATTTGCCGTCCATGTGCAGCGACACACGGTCACCAATAGCTACGACGCGACCACCGGTTGTTGTACTATAGGCAGCCGCAGCACTGAAGTGCAGCAATGGAGATGCAATACTTTGCAAGCTAAGGGCATTGACAGATGATGTTAATAGCGTCGGTGGCTGTGAACGAAACTTGCAACGACCTGATCAAGGTACAATAGACACACTTTATTAGCAACAGTGAAAGCAGGAAATGGATGGATCATGGCCACTGACCGACAGAGCGCACGTTCTGACGAACGACGCGGCTTAAAAAGATCGAGAAACGGTTCGACAGCATTATGGCGCTAAAAGGACGAATGGTCAAACTCTTTATGTGTGCTATTGTGTGGTGGTAATCTGACAGGTATACATGTAGCCACGTCTCAATGTTTGTCTTTGCTGCTGAGATGGAAAAGCTGGCAAAAAGTTGCAAGTTCTTGTTCGGAAAGATAAGTGCAATAAAGCAATCAAAGTTCTGTTGCTCATACTCACGAGCATGTGGCAATGCCTCTTGCTTTTAACGCCTCTAGATCTCAAAGCGCTGTGCCGACAATAGCTGGTCGTGTGGAACTGTGCGGCTGTAGAAATCTTGTGCGGTCACGGTTTTCGTGTCTGTACTTGCCGCTTCCTCACTAGACAAACCATGCACCGATATCTCGTTTTCCAAACTCAATTCTTCATACGATCCACTTGACGCACTTGTAGCATCTAATGGTCCTGCTTTGTTCACTGCATCATTCGCGGCAACTGCCGCCACACTGTCTGCCTTGCTTTCATCGTCCAAATCCGAAGAAAAGCTCATCAACGAGCCCACGTCATTAAGCGATGCAAGTTGCTGCTCAAACGAGTCCATCGAACCTAATTTCTGATTGCCATCAAGCAATTGCTGCTCGAAAATTTCCTCATCGTGCACAGATAAACTACTAAGATGGCGAGTCAACCCTTCGTTTATCCATGAATCATCAGGCTCCACGCTGGTCGTGATTGAACGGAGACTCTCGCTCTTTGTATCTCCAAGACTCAACATCTTGTTCAAAAATCGTTTAGACGAAGAACGTCCCTGCGGACTCGGAGAAGATTTTGATGTTGGCTCCTCTGTGTCCAATAAGGACTGTAGCTGCGCTGATGACTGCGACGACTGCGACGACAACCTCAAAATTGCAGCATCAATTTCTCCGCCAAAACCACGCAAGCTTGTGGCCGAAAGCATACTTTTGAAGCTACCCTGTTCAAGCGAGTTATTTGAGTGGCCGCGCAAAAACTCGTTAAGAATCATCACGTCCTCGGAACTCATTCGTTCGTCCGTCTCATCTTCAAGAGGGTTTAGTATCGGCTCCAAATCAACTTCGCTCGTGCCAGTCTCATTGCTAATCGATAGTAGCGGATTCAAAACCTCCAATTTGATTTGCTGTTCACATGACATCATCGATCTGGCCGGAGAAGTAGAAACTGGCGGGATGTCGTCCGTATTCAAAAGTCGTGGGCGACCGAGCTTTGTATATGTCTTCTGGTTGGGGTTCAGCGCTTTCCATCTAAGTTTGACTGCATCTTCCGTACGACCCTGCATACATATAGTCAAAATGTACTAGTCAGACAAAGCTTGGCCAGCAAAACCTACACGACTTCATCGTGTCTACCGGCAGAAGTTCAGCAATTTGCGTCCAGCGGTTACCATACTTCTCGTACGATTGTTGAATCACTGCATCTTCTTCCTCCGTAAATGGCCTGACACCAATTCAACTGTCAAAATTCAACTTCATCAACTCACTCACTACCCAACAACAAAACTAACTTACGCTTTATTAATCGTCGGATCCAATCGATTCCTCCAGCGTTCACGACATTGTTTTGCACTGCAATTGACCACAGAAAACATTTATCACGTCAATAAGTTCACGTATCTCTCTGTCCTCCTCATCAGCTTCGTACGTTCGTCCTGGAATACTATTGGACACTTGTCGCCAATTATCATAACCCTTAAGCATCATTTCCATAAGTCTTGCATCTTCCTCAACAGACCATGGACCTTTTACTAATCCTGGCTTCAATACTTTATTCCAGCGCTGCAAACACTGCGCATTATCACGTCCAGGAACTCGCTCTGCCACGGCCTAGAATTCATCAAGTGATACAATCAGTTTCTACTATTTTTACCTTCACGTCACATTACAAACAACCACCCACCATCCAGTTCCGGTGCCCAAGCTCTGCTACCGCCTTTTTCAATGCCTCATCCTGCTCCGGTGTCCAACGTTTACTCACAGTAGTCGCAGCACCACTTTTCTTCTTTTGTGCTTCTCCTTCCTTCTCTTCATGCGTCTCTCTACCAACAGCATCACGTCCACGCTTCCTGTTCATTATAGAATAATGTGACTATCATTCCTCATAAGACCATCACTCTTTATCTTTTTGCTAAACCTATCCATCTTATACGTACGCTGCTGACTCGGTCACTGGATTACAATATAAAAAGAAACCGTATACATTTCAGAGTAATGAAACCGTTTTTAGTATTAAATATAGTAGGAAAAACGATTAAGAGTAGACACGACAAAGAAAGAATATTTCCATACGATCTAATACATACCCATACTACTAAAAAACGAAAGACTGTCGTTTGCTTGATCAAGGAGAGGGGCGAAAAAAATGATGATGCGTTATGCAAGGAACGTACGAACTAATTCTATGGAAGGACAGTGTACCCACATGTAATTGGTTTGAGAAACGGCTTTTTTAGGTATTTTCTGATTTGTCAAAACTATTTTATTACTCAACTCAACACTTGAATATTACATCAATGAGACAAAGTGGTGTACGTAATCAAATGTGTCCATATATGGACCACGTTGAAGACAGATATGTGTGACATGTTTGTTGTTGGGTTACACCTTGCTTTATGATACAATCGACATACTGTTCTTATAGACAACCGCAACAATAGTAGAAATATAATGAAAGAGACGTCCGACCTTTGATACACATACAACGACTACAATTGATGGAAATAGGTCCACTCGACATGAAGGTCTACGGTGTGGAGGAAATAGACAACTTGCACTTCTTCTTGACTAACAATACGCAAGATGTCAATCAGACAGCTTTGATAATCACGTTGTTATGGTATGTGGGTACGGTTTTCGAGTTGCGGAAACAATATTGTGCCTTGCTGACGTTGCTGGAAATGGCTGTTGTAAACTTCAAAATTGTGAGTGAAAGGTGCAAGACGGCGATGACTAACTTGCATTTCTCTCAGATTTATGACTCATTTGTCAAGACAAGCATCACGCAATATCTACATATTTGACTTGATTATATCTCACCCTAACATACGAATCTACCATCGCTATCTGTTTGCTTCATAGAAGCTTAAAAGATGTATTAAGACGTGATTACGACACCGTTAACACATCAGCATCAAGTACTTACACTTAGTAACAATGTGTGTTTCTTCCATCCACTAGCTCACACTTTGCTAGCATACCACGGCGCATACTAATACATTTTGCCCTTTCGAATTGGACGCATGAGATCTGAGCCTAGCAGATCGCCAATATCATTTGAGATGTTGCCAAGTTCGTGCAAAATACCATTTGAGTTTCGTCGAGAAAGTGAACGTGTCTGTTCGTAGTCCGATGAATGGGTCATATTGCACCCACTGCTCGTTTTGAAATTGTGCTGTAAGTAGACGTTCGGGTCCACTGGCACATTACTAATGTGGTCATCTACCTCCGTTGCAGTGCCACCATTAGTCGACTGCTGAGCACGCCAGCTGTCAATTAGCCCCTGAAACAAATGTTTGTCATCGTGATCCAAGTTCTGCACTGCTTTCTGCAATGATTCCGGGTTCTTAAAGGAGCTTGTCAAACTCTCCATCATACTGCTAGTACCAAAAACTTGGTCCCTTTCATTCTTCTCTTTCGATATCGACATGGTAGCACAAAGCATCTCATCCAACTCGCCGCTTGCTAGCAATTCGTCTGGAGACATGTCTGTATACGAACTCAAATCGCGTATGCTGCCAAAACTCAGCAAGCTATTCGAATGGCTGCGAAGCAGTTCCTTGAGCATCATAGCATCATGCATTTCGTTTTCTGCCTTTGCTTCATCGCTGAGTGGCTCTATAATCGGTTCAGGGTACTGGTGCGGCACTGGTACATGCGCTGTTCGTACAAACTCTTCTCCATGAGGTGTTATCGTATACGAAGATTGCAGACATGATATCGGCATAGGCGAAACTAGTGCGCTATTGTCTGAGTAAGGAGGCATAGGGGCGAGGTATCCATCTCCATACACTGGCATTTCCAACATCGTGACCGGCCGATTCGTTAGCGTCAGAGCAATATCATCAGGTGTTAAAGGTACTGTATAGCGCTGCTTGTTCACTGTCATACCAGGCATAAGTTTCGGACGACCTGGCTTCGCTTTTACCTTTTGGTCGGGGTTTAGTGCTTTCCATCTCACCTTCACAGCATCTTCCGTACGTCCTGGGAGCAACTCTGCAATCTGTGTCCATCGATTCCCCATTTTCTCGAATCCATTCTGAATAATACTATCTTCTTCAGCAGTAAAAGGTCTAGAGCCAGAATAAAACAATAACAGCACAACCTTTCAGTTTCCATTTTGCCACTCCTTCTTTCCCATCATATCACCAAAATAACGTACGACTTATTGATGCTCGGATCCAAATGGTTTCTCCAACGCTCTCGACACTGCTTCGCTCTATAAACCCCAAACACACCCAACATATGTGTCAGTATTGCTATTGTTGAATGTCCTCAGTCAAATCTCCTCATTCAACGTACGTTCTACCAGGAATATGAGCCGCTACTTCTCCCCATGAGTGACAGCCTTGCATCACCATTTGCTCCAATGTACTATCTTCCTCAAATGACCAATGACCCTTTACCAATCCCGGCTTCAACACTTTATTCCAACGCTGCAGACACTGCGCGTGATTCCGTCCATCCACTCGAGACGCAATGGCTTTCCAATTGCGTTGGCCATACTCTTCTACCGCTTTACGCAATGCATCATCTTGTTCTGGTGCCCATCGCTTGCCCTTTTCCTCTTCAGCACGCGGTTTCTGCGATTCACTTGGCACTTCATGGAATGAACGTAGTGCATTCGTATCCACAACGTCACGTTCACGTTTTCTACATACAAAAAAAAAGATAAAACATCATTCAAAGCAAGATCGTCTAGTGAGTCATTCGAAACAAACTTACGGTCGTGATTCAGCTTTGTATATCAAACAACATACAAATAGGAAAGAGAAGAAAGGAGAGAAAGAAAGCCATTAGAAAATTAGTACTAGATTTACACTGTAAGAGAGAAAGAGAGGATGTACCCATATTGTATCTACTAATTAAGTAATGAGAAATTGACTGTGCTGCTTCTTCTCTATTCTTCACAATAATAGAGAGCTCTAACAAATTACCCCAGACAAACACACACGACTTCTTTAAGGCTTACGAAATAATGACCTCCATATGTTTCGAGAAAACTTTTTCTTGTATAATAATAACCAATGAAAAAGAGCATCAAAGGCAAACAAGGAATCGAAACTTCAAGTTAGAGAGACAGACAGGCGATGTTGAGGCTAGTGGTGGTCGGTCGTGCATTTGGGATTGGGATTGGGTATTAGACTAAGACCTCGTACAAGCCAAGGAACAAGGTTAGTATTATTCCTTGATGCGATCAGATTGACCAAAAATAATATAAAATTGATTACAAGACTGTTTGTTGTTGTCATGAGGAGCAAGCTTTTGTGTGATTTTATGATAGATAATGGATTACTCATGTTGCACGGTTGATTCATTTTAATTTCATAGTTGAATGGTCTTGGATTGTTTTTTGACTGAAAGACAATTTCGTACAAGAATGTCGGACATAATCTTATCAACATGTGGCACGCAGATCTGTGACTGGCTACTTGTTTGTCAATGATTCCATTGGCCCTACAAGCTTCTCGAATAAGTTTATCTTGTTTGATTATGATAGAAAGTCATCAATAAAAGGCAGACAGACGCAAGCAAGTCGATAGATTATTTCTTATGACGGGGTGACACTAATTGTGCAACAACAGACACCTTCACTATTGACAGCTTCCGATATACTGAAGATTTTAAATGACATTTGACATAGCGTCATGGCACCAAAACTGACATTGTTGATACACTAATGGTAGTATGGACACCTGTGATAGACGTTGCGATAAAATCTGACTGTATCATGCGATATGTTGTTAGGATACAACTAGACCTTGAGGACATGATGTCAGACTTGTTTTGTCCATTGATTTCTATATCTCCACCTTATCTACTCGATTTTATGGACATCTTGTGCAAATTCTGCCAGCTCAGATCAATGATGCAGCTCTGCGATTAGTAAACGCACAATTTCGTCATCCCAGCTGCCATTGCATGGCTGAGCATGGTCCCGCTATCCTCAGCGTACCGCTGGCTGCTTACTTTTTTGACAATGCTGCTCGTGCATGCCCAAGTCTTTGTGTGTTCAATCCTGCATCAATCCTACTCTTGTCGATGCCGGTGGTACAATACAAACAAAGCTGAAAGAAGACCACTTGGCGGACGCATCACTCGCTGTAGCGTAGCTATGTCGTGATGTCGACGGCATTGTATGTACTGACCAGCAAATTGACTTGCCTTCTTCTAGTTATCAATAGTCTACTAGAGTCAAGAGTGCTTTGCTTACATGCATATATATATATCCATGCAATGTCTTGATGGACTGCATACAGCTTGCAACAAAACGGACCAAAAACGTAATCAAAATGATAAGATGCATCTGACATACTTCAGTTTTGAAGATGTACATCATTAGTTTTCAGTTTCAAAAAGTATCTTGATTGTCAACGTGCGACTGGAAGGCGAGGTTGTCTACACGGGAAGCTCGTCACTAGCTGTTTAGATCACTGAGTACCGCCACGATGTTGAAACAGGAAAGTTTATTCACACGCTGAGTGCTATCATGACGTTTGTAGCGCTTAACGAGAACATGCAAGCGAGCCCAGGACTTTCAAAATTGATGGACCCAACTGACCCAGAAGATGTGAAGAAGCACGCCGAGATTGCAAAGCAGCGAAAGGAGCTTTCTGCTCGATGGCGCACTATGCAGGACGCAGTGGATCAATTGCCGCATGTATCAGTCAACACGCTCAAAACCTATAACTACAGGCGATCTGGGGAAGTGGTAATTCCTGACACGTTGATCGAAGTACAAAATTCGTTTTTGCCCAAACATCTTAGCCGCAACAATACCAATTTCGGTGGGGAAGTGCTTACGTGGATGGATAAGATAGCGCTATGTTGTGCTCGCTACTTCACCAAGAATCAAAACATGGTCACCGTCTCAATGAATCGAATATTTTTCAAGCTGCCGATCACCATGGCGACGATGCACGCACGTGTCAGCAGTTCTCGGTACGTTTACTTGATATAAAGCCCTGGTGGAACTCGATAAATTGACAAAGTCATTCTTGTTATTTGTAGTCGTTACCACTTAGAAGTCGAAGCCGAGGTGTTTGTAGGTCGAATCGGTTCCCAGGAGCGCCGAAGGTCTCATACAGGGTGCGTGCAGGGTTGTGACCATCGCAAACACGCTACAAGCTAACCATTATTCACTTGATCTCTCCAATTGTTTGTCCATTTAGGTACTTCACCGTGGCGAACCTAGATCGATCTAACCGCATCAAGCAAATCTCTACGGGTCTCAAGGTGGACGAAAATGACCAGGAAAGCATGCGCACATTGCTCAAGGCTCAACACCGTTGGCTGTTTAACGATCAAGAAACTAAGCTACTGACACTGGAGCCACTCTCACTGTCCACTCCAAACGCTTCAAGCTCTCAGATTATGTTTTGAACCAGACTGCGTATGATGACAATTCGCAACGAGAATACAGATAGAATGTGGAAACGCAATGTGAAACTCTCTCTTCAAGTCATTCGTGTTAATTCGCATCCTTTAACTGATAATCACATCATCTGATAGACGAAGTTACTCGACTGGCGGCAATTCCGCGACTCGTGTTATCGCTTCGGCCGTCGCACAAATCCGTTTAACGGCCCGTTTGAAGCGGTGATCTGCTAGAAGACCTCGCCTAGCCTTGTTTGCTTGACTCAGTACCTTCCAAGCATCTCGTTAACCACATGTTAAAGCAGACAGTCTGTATATATCTCTTACGTATCACACCTTCTGTCTTATAGCTAGACAAGACGAAAGCAAGCGACAATTCATATGACAAAGCATAAACCAGAATCTCATCAGACTAGATTCTCTATGACAAATCCCAAATACTCGTCACTAGACACCGAACTGCACAGACAAGCAAGAGAACTCATGCTTGCATGACAAACCATTTTGCAATTGGCTTTAACAATGACAGGACCAAGTATTCCATCGCTAGCGTTTGCTATTGCCATGCTATTCACTTCGTTCGTGACTGTGCATGCGTTGAATGAGTCTCGCCATCATCTTTCATTGGTTCACGCTCCTTCAATACGACTTCATGTCACGCTTCATCGTGATTCATTGCAACTTCATGGACATTCCAAGTTTGACGTGTTTGCTACTCCAGTTGTGTCAGCAAACGACTCGAAGGTGCTCTACGATGGCTACGCTATCTTTGCAGATGGTGGTCATACCTACACGTATTCGTATGTACGTGGTGTCGGCTACTTGTCAACCAATGATGGAGAAAACGAACAAATAGAATGCCTTTCATCAAGTCAACTACCATTCAATGCTATTCTACATGCATTACACGATATGACTCCCATTTCAAGCGCATCTATAGGTGATGACATGGTCAACTGCACGAGTGGAAATCTCTTCAAAGCAACACTTGATGGAACTGAGTTTGTTACTTGTGCAGCAGGCAAATCTGGCTTCACAGCTTCTAACAGTGAGGTTACTATTGATGTGGAATATCTAGATAGTCCTATTCAAGTTCACGTACCAGCATGGAGCAGTAGATTATCATGTGACGTTGCAGCTACGGCCACTTCAATAAGACCGACTGCGTTAGCATGGCTAACTGGCAATGCAGTCTCCGTAAGTAGCACAAGACAATTGGAAATGACCAATCCCTTTCACATGAACACGCCGTCGTGTAGGCCATGCAAGTCCAAACCTCGTCCGTGCGTTTTCTTTCATGGCACTGGCAATCGACATGAAATGGAGGAGCTCCAGGACACGCCGCAGAAAGCCAGTGGCAGGATGGGAAATATGAACAAACACGCTCCTTGCTGCACCGTGGTAAAGTACGCCATCTTGAACACGCTGGACTCTAGCTGGACGGACGATAAGCTTCAACAAAAATTCTGTGACCGTGCCCTAAGACTGAGTAAATCTAGCGATAAGAAACGCGGTGTGATTCGACACACTGTTGTCGTGACGCACTCAATGGCTGGACTTATCATGTCCATGGCTTTAGCTACTGGCAAATGTAGATTTGGTAAAGGGACAGCCTGGGTCGCCATAAGCACACCTATGATGGGAAGTATGGCCTCGGACTACTTTCAAGACTTTTGTGATGGCAAGCATACTGCCATTGCAAAGAGTATGTTGAAGATCATAGGCCAATGTCCACTGCCACTTGCTCGCTCATCCCTTGTGTACCAGAATGGAAAACATGCTTCTAGCAAGCTCAACAGGGCTTACAGAATAGCCCAGAAAGCTTACGCGAAGAATGTGGATGCGGCCATGTGCAGTGACAATCCAAACGGCATGTTTTCTCCGTATGAAGGACTCATGCGCATTTCAGCAGCTATGGTCTCGCACATGTCACCACAAAATGATGGTCTTGTGGAGTTCCAGAGTTGTGCAGTAGGTCTTAAAAAGTACAAGTTTGGCAAGAGCTACAAGAACAAGTTCTACCAACCGGCACTAAACCACGCAGATACAGCTTTTCTCTCGGGTGATGGAATCTTTAAGGACTCGCAAAAGCCAATCAAGTGGTTTGAGTGTTTGCTGTAGACTGACTGCACTCAACCAGAGTTCGAGCAACCACTGTCTTGAGGAACGTTATGTCGAGTTAGAGACATGGACACTGAATGAAGATAAACTTGTTATCAGTGGGCTTGTGTGTACATCCTGCTATTGCATCTTGCACGTATTCCATTCATGTTGCAACAAAGTCTTTCGAGTTTGTGCTTCTACGTCAATTGCACTTAGATTGAGAGTACATGGTCGGTAGCAGCATCGCATTAACTATTACAGTTGCCACGATGTACTGTTGATGGATGCTTCCATGAATCGACCTTAATCAAATCAGCCCAACCAACCCAAAAGTATACACGTGCATCACAGTCTGTGACAAATGTTCAGCAGTCATCTAAAGCAATGCGACTTCAGCAGAATCACTTCAAAATGGCGGCCTCGTGTAATTATAGCTGCTTGCTTATGAGGCTTGTCCTTTCATATCAGGGACAGACACTACATAGATCCAGAAGTTCGCGCTAGACCACGCCCCTATAGCGTCTTTTCTACAAGAACATGCAAAAGCTGTTCAAGCTGCTGCTGTTGATATGATCAAAACAGAATTAGTAGTTCAATCGTATGAAGTAGGTGCATCCAGCGTAAGGCATGACTCAACGTACACAGCAATGTGGTGACTCCATCAAGCTTCAAAATTGTTACCCTTGAAAGTAGGTGCTAATGTCCTTTGGATGCCTCCTCAAGCAAGAACTCGGACAAGATGTCTGCAAAATTCTTACCTTCAATCGTAGATGGATCAACGGGAGTATTTTCACCTTCACCTGGACTCACGAGTCCGATAATCGATGAAAAGAGTCCACCTCCGCCGTTGCCTTCAATCGGGTAACCCACGCCAACGCGGCGTTTCTGATCCTCTGTGAATCCCTACAAAGTGGCCATAGATGTTGTCAACGGAAGCACCACTTTGAACAAATAGGTCCGCATACCATAATCCGCGCCATGAGTTCAAGTACTTCACCCTTCTTGTTGCTGTCCACATACGCTACCTATATTAGGTGGCAATTTAGTATGTACAGCATAAGTAGATATCTGCAATGCACTAGAGAGCTCAAAGATCACAAGATTGTTACCACTAATTGAGCAGCAAGCCTTTTGTCTATGACATCACGCTCCGAGTTGTATTGTGTTGCTGTGCTTTCAAGCGCCTGGTCAACATGATTTGGGTATCATCAGCTATCCGAACGACATGTAAACAAAGTAGATTTTCGTACCTCACGAAGCTGATCACACTCCTGCGTCTTTTTCGCAAGTTGTCCCATCACTCGCTCTAAATCATTCATTGGTCCTTCGTGAGGCTCCAAACGAGGCTGACGCGTCTCCAACTCTTTTTTGACTCGTTCCAGCTCTGCTTCGACTGTAGCCACATGCTCCTTCTGGGCCTTACTATCGACCTGAAATTGATGTAAAACATCTCCAAGGACGTCCAGATCATGCTCTAATCGTTCTACATCTTGCTGAGCGATTACCTTATCCGCTTCTGATGCTTTTAGCTGAGCTTCCAGATCATACAGTCGCTGACTATCAATCGAGCTCCTATGTGCGTCATTTTTCACCATCAATTTTGTCTTTTCTTCCTCATTTACTGCCTTGATCATTTTCAACTCCGCCAGTAGCTCCTCATATTCTTGTTCATACTCAGCTAATCTTGAGCACATTTTCCGTTTCTCATCTTGTAACGTCTCATTAGCTGTCTGCAATTTTTTGGTTGTATCACGCAGTAGAATCAACTCGTCCTTGTAAGCTTGACATTGTGTCTTTAGAGCCTTCACCTGATCCACCAGATACACACACATACACACGAAGCTCAGCAAGTTTCAACAATAAGAATGCCACAATAATCCAAAGAAGAAAAAGTATCTTCACCTGAGCTTGAGACCGTTGAAATTTTTCTTGTTCAAATTGAGTTGACTTGACTCCAACTCGATCTCCATCGTTCGCATGCAAGTTGATTGTATTATCTCGTAATCGTTCCAGATGAGCCGTTTGTTGAGTACTCTCGACCGCCTATGACACAAAAGACGAATCAATTTGATTAGTCGGGTGAGCAAAACTAGTACTTATCGTCAAATACCGGTATTTTTTGGTCCAACCCAAATCTTCGTTTTGTTACCTGCTCTTTTCGATATTTTTGAACTTGTCGATTTTGGTTTTCAAACTCTCGAACCTCATCATCATCACATTGGATAAAATTAATCACATGATTTTTTTCATTCAAAAATTTATACATTCACGCTGTTTTTTAGATATTTTTACTTGATTTTCCAACGTTTCGTTCTGCTTTTTGCATTGGACCAAAGCGCGCTCCAGGTCACAAATATACAGTTCTTGCGTATCCTCGTTCTTCCCAGTAGCTCTCGTACGATCAGAATATGATGGTAAAGGTGAAGGAGGAGGTGGTGGTGCAACAACCGCAGTAAACCGATTCCAGAGCTGATCTGTATCACTTTCCTCCTCCTCTTCAATGCCTTCTTCCGGTGCAACAATGTCAGCTAATCCCTCAGTCAGTCGACTCCACATGGAATTAGATATGAGGAATTTGTATTGGTAATAAGTAATCAATCAAAACGCAACTTTGGATCGAGATGGTCCCAGTCTTTTAGTTTTGTGTCTACACAGTTTTTAGATACATTTTTCTGTCTCTAAATATAATAATCCAGGATGAAATGAAATGATCCTATAAATTGCAAAGGCATAGGAAGGACGGATAATATCGAGGTTCTAATCATCCATCCTCAGCTTGTATTTATTTAAGCGCTTCAAACCTTTGTAGTATCATCAGCTCGCTGCCACTAGCTTTTCACTATCCAGATCGCTTTCATTGATCCATGATACATGTGTACAGTGTGTATTGTACAACTGAGCTTTTCTGCATTACAAGCCGTTGTGATTAGCTAGTAGGAACTTTGCAAATACATTGTCTTATTGTATTGTTCCGCTTTTTTATCAGCGTATGCATTCCTCACTTCCAGCATTGTCTTGTTCTAGAGAGATTTTTGATACTGACGTTGTCAGCTATCATGCTTTTGTCAGTGAATCTTGTTCAAGATTAGTAGACGACACGATGCAGGTGGATGTCAATCCTTTGACCCAGCAGCTTTCGAATCTTCTTTTGGGTAAAGAGCGACGTATCATTCAACGTTTGTTTCACGCTGGAAAGGAGACTGTATCAGGTTCTTGTCACGCAATCAAGAGGTCACCAATTGAACACCTTGTTGAACCAGACAGTACCTCGTGGTAGTAGACGTTCATCTTTGATGAAAAACAACAGAAACTTGATACAGCAGATTGTTACCGAGTGATCTCGTTTTCATCAACCGCCGTGATTTGCAATAAGCACTGATCTACTGGAACGATATCAACACAAGTCTAGAAAACTTAAAGCATGTGTTTCTAGAGCTCGAAACTGCATTAACAATCAGGTTGTCTATGATCCAATGTATCCAACATCGGTGCTACCTTATCAATTGTTGACATATTCGCTGATTAAGTTTCGTATTATGTGATGGAAATGGAATTATCGTATTCGAAATACCTGGTTGAGTCGTCTGTCAAAAAGACGGTATTCACTACGAACTCATATATTTCGATATTCGAAAACGGGATATTATCGATCCAACGCCAAAATCCGCACGTCAGACACAAGTTTAGCATCCAGGTCCCAACTTTAACCCCGTTGCAACTGATCAAAACCTGATTACATTGTAGATGTATGTTTACTTTTTTGAAAGTATCAGCTTTTGATCATTTGTATCATATCGCCAGTCATCTGTCAACTTATACAAAACCTTGAAAAATCGACACTTGAAACGACGTGGCAAAGTATTTGTGCTTTGTATTGAACAAAGAGACGCACGAGTCTGTTAACCTTCTTCGCACAAAGCCATAGCTATCGCTCCGCCTGCTCAGACATTAAAGCCGTTTTACATACGAGAAAGATTTCCTCAAGATATATGAAGACTAAGAAACAGCGAAAGACTCGCATTGACGCACCAGACGTGGCTATGCTGGATAGTTTAGAGTCGAAAGCTAAACATCGAGTTAAAAACGTCAAGAAAACTCCATCCAAAGCGTTAAAATTGGTGCCAACTACTGACAAAATCGCAGCATTTAAAGAAACAAAACACGTGAGATTGGTGACTGAACTTTTTTATCCTAAATGACGCTCATTAATTTAGAGAATATCTGGATATTTTTCTTATACTAGTTAAAGATTGAAACAAAAGATCTTGGACAGGACAAGAAAAATGAGCCGGATGCTGAGAAATCAACAGTACCATTAAGCACTAGTAAGAAAAGACGTCGACGGTCAGCAGCAGAGATTGATCGTAAATTTAAATGTCCATTTGCTGGATGTGTGAAGGTAAAGTTTCTATCTGTATTTTTTTTAGTCGACTTTCATTTTGGTGTTGGAAGGATATTATCGTGCTAATTGGATATTTGATGTTTTTTGTTGATGATCTTTGGTTGGTTGAATTAGGCGTACGGATCAGAAGGGTCATTAATTCATCATCAGAAACTAAAACATCCAGAACGAGTGGATTTACATGAAAAAGATAATCAGGTAAATGAAAAACAAGAATCACAATGTCACGTGTTGGATTCATGAGATGTTATTTTCACTGACATTTGGTTCTGTACAACAGGTTGGTACGTTCTTATTACCACTACACAATACACCTCGAAATGTGATGATTCGACCAGCAACACCTTTAGTGACGTTTCTTCCTGATCAAAAGCTTTTATTGAGCAAACAAAGCACCAATGACAGAGATAATCTTGCATCATCGTTGGATGTTGTACCTCCTTCAGCTAAAACACCACGATGCAACATGCGGTCACGTTCAGAATCAGATCCAGTTACATTTATGGAGGAACAGACAAAGCCGAGGGTCGCTATTTCAACTGCTACGATCATGACAAAATCGGGACCTAAAACTTCATGTAAACCATATCGAATTGCCACGCCATATGTTAAAAAAGCAGCTACTGCTACTGCGACAAGGTGCAAAAAACTTTGCTCAAAATCTGAGTCTCTACCAGAAATGAATCCACTTCAACCATTTGACGAACTTATAATTCCATCATATTATCGCAGTGATAGTTCAGCAAGTGCCCACGAGGCGATCTTACCAATCAGCAGCACCGGCTCCATTGAACATAGGTCATTCGAGTGGCCAGCCACTTTGATTTCAGCTTCTAGACACCACTCGGCATCACTATCAAGTGACGAACAAGCAATTGACAGTGATATTCTATCTGTGCTGGCGAATTGTGATGAAGAAGAAACGTCATTAATGTCAGATTTTGGAGGAGGCCCACCTTCGACCAATTTGTACCAGTCCGATAGTAATTTCGGGGAGATGAAGGGCCGAGACATGCTTCCAGTTGGGATGGAGTGTTTCAAAATTGCTGAAAATGCAACGTTACCGACACAAGTTGCTCAAGAATTTGTCATGAACGAACCGGAGGCCGAACTTGGCATGAAAGCTTTTGCTTCACTGGCCGAAGACTGCACTAATGCTTTGGTTTTGTCGGATCACCTGAAGAAAATGTCGATGGCTCAGGAAGATACGCCGCCTCACAGCTTGGTATCGACGTTTGGCAAGGTGGTGTCTAGTGAAGATATTGTGCACCGATTTCGTTCTATGTCAGATCCTGTTCATGATGCAGATCCCATACTTACTGATTTGAGTCACTTTTCGTCGGTGCAGACAGACACATTTTCGGTAAAGGCAACTGGCCAATTGAGTAGCGATAATGAGTTGGTTGGTGAGAATCATACTAACTTGCAACAGCGATCTGGCAATTTCTGTACATTGGAATTAGCCAAGATAGAGGATGGTAGCATCCAGAAGATGCTTTGGCTGTCAGGCGCAGCTGGTGTTGCAACAGTAAGCAATTCACAGCCGTCGTCAGAAGCGCTTGACCAATTGCTTCAGCATGATGACACACTAGAAGGGAAACCATCTGACGTATTTGAGAATGAAGAAGAGATCAGCTATGCGTTGGTTGGCCCTGGAACGACACCGACGTTGCTATGACAGCAATTTTGTAGCCGTGAAATTGGTCTGAGCCAAGTAGTCGAAGAATGGCTATCTTTGGGTTGAGTGGCGTGGTTGTTGCAACTTGGCCATCTTCGTCGATTCACTCTTGTCACAAACACCAAGGCTGAATGTACAAGGGCAGCTAACGTTTTTCTCTTTTTTGCATTAGGTCTACCAGGTACTCAAGAAATGTTGAAGCACCCAAGTTGTGTGCAGATGCTTGTTTAGTTAATTTCTGGATGTAGCGGACCGACGCCAAGGGGTCATTGTGAACTAGCTGTGATAGCAATTGCTAGTGCGTTGCATTGTATAAGAGACTGCTCACATCATTGTATCGTGTCCGAAAAAGAAAACAACACTCAAACTTGTCTTTCTCTTAGTAATGGTTTGCTAATCCATGTTCTGTGGGCTTTGCAAGCCCAAGTGCATCACAATTTGTGGTGTTGTTCGACGTAGTGTACAAGCTGCGCTCTCGTGTTTGGGTTCTGGCAGTCCAAATATGATAACAAAGCGGTTGTCTTTAGAGCATCAAGAGAAAAGTCCTCGTGTCTCGTGTGTTAATAGTGATTACATGACAAGTTTTATATGAGACGTTGACATTCAACGCAAAGTGCGTCCGTCACCCAAACTGGACGCTTCGGTTCGATTTGTGCTAGACCCTTGAGCGAAAACAAGACTCGGATGTGCTGAAACAGCGATATCTCTCCGATCTGCAAAAATGACGTCCCTCTTCACGTGGTTTGCTGACACAACCGATGTGACAAAGACGTCAAATTTGATATGTCCGTGAACCCGGAATGACTTACGATAAGGCGTGACATGAAGTCGTATTGAAGAAGCCGAAACCATCGAAACATCATGGCAGGAGTCATTCAACGCATTACAGTCACGAAAATAGCGAATTGAATGGCAATTGCGATCGCTAGTGATTGAAAGCTTGGTCTTGCCATTGACAATCCAAGTGTTTAGTACTGTTGAGGAACAAGCCTAGAACAATGCATCAATATATGCAGAAGAGCGAGATATCTCATCTTGCTCGAGCTCATTCAGACGTTGTTGTTACTATTTATTTTTTGATGTTGTTTGCAAAATTGGGTACGAAATGGTTTGAAATCCCGGGAGCCAAAATTTGGCGAAAACCGTGTAAGTGACCCAAATCTTGCTCTTACAACGGTAAGTGGTTGATTTCAGATATTTAGTGTAACCTGTTACAGTACTTGATTTCAAATATTGCAATAACTTTTCCCTTCTTAATGTCAATATCGAATTTATAACTTCAATATTGCAATCACCATTTTTCGTTCAAAGTCATGCTGCTATTTGTAAAGCTTCTCGTCGCATTAACATCTCTGGTATCGTATGCCGCGTCCACAGTGTCGAGCAATGACCCTGTTGTTATTGAGCTTTTTCCAGAGGTGTCACTTTCATCTCAGACCGTCCAGTACGGCATCCCACGGCTCTTCCGTATCGTAGACCTTGAACCTGCCACCGTCTACGACATCAAAGTATCGTATCCAGCGACCCAGCCATCGCGTTTTATGTTGCAAGTGGAGCGAGTGCGACTTCGAACCAGTGACAATATTGACGTTACAAACGCAAATATTGTCCAAAATATTGCAACAAGTCAGCCAATCCCACATCGGATACTAAACACCGTAAAACTTCGTCTATATCCGAATGAAGCAGAGCTCCACAAGTCGTCTATGCGGTATCGTTTGAAATCGTCCGAAACAGCGGTTGAGGTGGAATTTTCACTTTTCGTGCAAGTCGAAGGCGTGCGACATCCCGAGTCAAAGATGAAGACGGAAAAGTGTGTCTTTGATATTGTGGTTGAGAAAGTCCTGTTTGAAGCTTTTCCAAAGACGACATTATGGTTAATTGGATGGTTACTACTACTACTTTTTGTAAGTGGAAAATGGGTGTTACCATACTTGGAAAAGAGAATGACACTTGGGTGTGTAAAAGACAGAGTCGAGTTGACACAGACAAAGAAATTCTGAAGGAGCATCACGATTCAATGCAACGATACAATAATCATTCAATTGTTGTGTAAGAAAAAAGCTTGCGCTCACTTTGCCACGCTGTTATCTCCTAGCTACCACGCTTTGTTTCTTAAACGGTTCTTAGCCACTGGAAAATCAATATGAGACGCTTTATTCTCTTCTTCTAAGATCAATCAACCATGCGCACCTTACAATGGTAGACACTCGAACCATTTATGCGGTTTTTGTGCGTCAGACAACCAACTATCGGCCGCCAAAAATGCTGAGTCGCCGTGATTCACTTGAGCTCTATAGTATGTGTCCATGTAATTGTCACCAAACATACTACTGTCAAGACCACCCAGACAGCTTTCAAACTCTACTAGCCCATCGTTTTTCAATGATCTGTGAGGTATTACTGTACCTGCAAGGACGCAGAGAGCTTGGAGCCTTGAAACAAGACCAAGAAAGTAGTCACTGCAAAGCACCGCAAACGCATTTTTGCGGAATGCTTTTTGCGCTGCTAGATACGCTGCTTCTAGGGATGGAGTGATATACCTTCCACCCAGACGAAATGTTGTTTGGCGTGCGACCGTTACTGGACACTGACCAACTAATTCCAAGAGATTCACAGCAAAGTCGGGCGTACCCTTGTCGCAGGCATCCACGACAAAATCTGAAGCCATACTACCGGCCATCGGTGGACTAAGCACTACCCACGATGCCGTGTTTGCCAATTTACACTTCCCACTGGCAATTGCAGCGGATAACACAAGTCCGCCCATTGAGTGCGTCACGACAATTGTATCCCTAACTATTTTGTTGGTTTTGTTGCTTGTGGGACTCATCGTATACATATGGTCACAGAATTTCTGTTGTAGTGTGTCGTTTGTCCATCCAAAATCGTTTGTGTTAAGTACGGCATATTTGAGCGTGGAGCAACAAGGACCGTGCCCACGCATATCTCCATATTGTGTCGAGATCAATTTAGGCGTATCCTGCAATTCAGCTTCTTCTCTACCATTCCCCAAACCATGAAAGAAAATACAAGGACGCGGGGTATGTAGGCATTTGTTGCACTCTGACGGCTTCATGTCCAAGTGAAACTTTTTCTCCCATGGCCATTTGAATTTCAACCTTCTGGAAACACTCGTACGAACTGTGTCTCCAGTGATTAACGCTAAAGCTGTAGGCGATATCGATGTGGCCATTTCAATGGGCTCACACAAATTAGATTCATCGGCTAGCTCAGGCTTTTGTATGCGGACTGGTTCATCGAGATAAGCCACAGAAATTTCCAAATCACTACCGTGTACAGTGAAACCAGCTTTACCCGACGCACAAATGGCATACTGAACACTGAGAAACGACGTTTCAAACAAGTTTCCACGTGTACACTCCACAAAATCGTTACCAATGGATGCGCTTGGAATTGAAGTAACATCATTGAGAGCTGGCAGGATCTCATGGAATGGCAGTATGCTGGAAGATAGACATTGAACCGTCGGAGTGTTACTAGCGTCTTTGGTTGTCAAGTAAAAGGCACCGTCAATTATGGTATAGATGAATTCCGAGTCTTCATCAATGAACTTTGCGTAGCTATTGTAATACATGCTAGTGCCATTTGGTGATACCACAGGAGTAGCGTAAATGTCAAACTCTGTTTTTCCATGTAATGTCACTGCCCTTCGTTTTGACTTAACATGAAGTTTCACTGACGGCGCATTCGTCAATCCTATTTGAACTTGGGACTTCTCGGAAGAGATCGTCAGCTGCAAAAGCCCCAGTAAAGTGGTTACGATTGCAACAGTGATTCGCATGAAAGTTCCTAGGACAATGTCTTTGTTTAGCTTACTTGGAAAAATCAAAACTGAATGTGAGAGCAAGTGGAAGCAACGACACAACGGACATGCGGAAGTCCTTCCCGTGGCAAATCCATCGTTAGTAGCACACTAGGTTTTTACCATTATTTAATGTAAGGAAGCGATTTGAATCGAACTCTTCGACTGAATTTCATAACCTAGAGAAGAAGACATGATATCGATCTTATGGTAAGAGATGCACAGAGTAGCACTATCATTCAGTCCAACAGTATAGCCATCTGGCCTATCCAAACTAGTATCTCGCAGTCTGGACAAAGCAGCACATGTCATTTTTACATTTCCAATAGCTACGGTCCTGCAATTATTGTTCTAGTAGTGATGCAATTATCATTGACAGCATCGAAAATACACGTTTCTTGGAGCTTGGCCAGTCAGTATTGCAAATAACAATCATTTGTATCAGTCAGTCACTTGCTGTCATAAGACGTCAGCCGTGACCTATAAACACCATAACACCACCAAGTGTCAAACCGGCTGAGCTGGTCACAAAAACATCATGCAAACTGTTTCTGGTGGCAGATACTTCCTTTGATCGTCAAAACGTAATGCTCCACATTTCTTGCGATGATAAGCGATTGTAGGAATATAAAAACTACCGTAGCAAAGCAAATCCACAAAACGACATGTCACTCACAACCGGCTGTACATTCTTGCTGCGTATGGACATGTCATTCGATCCTTTTCCAATTGAATCTGTCAGGTGTTGGTGGTGTTATTGGTCAAGCATCACCGCATGAAGGTTTGAACCAAATTTTGCGGAGCTAGAGGATGAATTCAGTTCAGACCATCATGCAGTGTTTAAGGTGCTGAGTTTTTTTTTCATGAAGACGACAATACGATTGCATTGTCCATGATGTTGTCTCTCGAGTGAAGAGAGGTTTAGTACGTTTTATACAAATCGAAAGGCACTGAGGTACTGCGCGCTACGCGTTTGGTCGGATCTGCAAATACTTAAACTGACAAGGTATTGTAGGTCAATGGCAAAACATCTACAACGTGAGTCATGTCGTGATGAAACAAGTGGCACGTCAACGATAGAGATTGTCGAACCATGTGCTTTTTGTTCTCACACTTTCAACAAAGTATTTGCTCGATCTGGTAGATTATGGGCGTTTAGAGACAGTAGACATTTGGGTCTACCGACTTCTTACGAATGATGCATTCCAGCATCTTGAACTAGCAGCACACAATAAGTAATCGCTCAAGCTGCAAGACTACTCAAAGATCGACGATATTTAATAACTTGTCAATAATTTTCATTCCTCCACAAAATAGGTACCAATTTGACTCCTCTATACAGATATCCGTAGTCAAATTATACGACGTTCGCTGACGCCGTTACTTGCATGCAACTACACTCTATGACCACTCTACTACAGATTGTGCACATGGGCACAATTCTTACACTTTTTTGAAAGGGCCCTGGGGACGCATTGATCACATCGGCAAGACTTGCATGGACCTTCTGAAGCAGCGGCAGCCGATGGTGAGCGTCGTCTTGGCTCTCCAGGGGCTTCAAATTGAGCGATCCCTACCATGGCCTGGTCAATGGCATCGTACAAGCACTGCGCAGCACGTGGATGCGGAATTGCACCGCTCAATATTTCTTCAGGTGTAAGTTTCTGACCGTAAAAGTTGCTGTTCATCTCTGTCCGCGCAGTAATGACAGCTCCATGAAGTGAAATGCCAGCAAAAAGTCCTCGACTGTGAGAGTAACTGTAGTTCGCGTTGAAACCACCTCGACTGGCAGCAGCTTGCGCCAGTGCATCACGTCCGTACGGACCAACAGCTACACTCAACCCACCACCGATGTTCACCTGCGTACGGTGAAAAACGTTGACAGCATTCTTGGAGCCCATAATAATCATAACCTCGATCAATTCACCGCCACCTTCAAGTCCGCCTCCTATACCCACCGTGCCAATAGCAGATGGCGCAGACCACGAGCCGTCACCCAGCTTTGCAATAACAATACCAGTGCCCATTTTGGCGGTAATAAGCAGGCCTGCCTTGATAATTGTAAGGAAAGCAATACCTTGTGCACGCTTCAGAAAATTGACTGGAATATATCGATCACTTTCAGCACCAAAATCTGGTCGGAAAAAGTTACCTAGAATGTCTGCTGCTGAGCGGCATGCACTTTCCAGCGACCGGCTAAGCGGTAAGTGCAGTCTTGCCTTAATTTCATGAGGGTTTTCTTTGTGGCAGTTTGCGTATTGCAAGTTTAGGCCATCCTGGAAACACTGCAGAATCGGCGCGCAAATGGTGCAAACTAGTTGCGGATGTGCCGGGTCGTACTTTTTCTTCATCTTGTCATTCGCTACTTGGTCAGGTGAGATCAACATCCGCGCAGGAGAACACAAGTGGCACACACTTGCCCCACACTTGCGGCAATGATGTCTACGTCGTTTAATGTCAAATGCTTCACTGCAAATGGCACATTTTGGGTTATCTGTATGACGACTGATAGGACGTCTGGATCCTGGAGCGGTCAGAACCAACTCCCCGCTTGTATTACTCGACGTGTCACTCTCAATACTGTCTCGTCGAATAAGTTCCGACGCTGAATATGGGCGTCGATTTCTTATTAAAAGACCCAATGACGGATTCTCCCGAATCATCACCCCACCTGAACTAGACACTGGTCGTCGAGCTTGACAGTTTCTACTACTACTACTTGTACTGCATGTAGAACCTACACGTCCATGATTCAGCATGTTTTTCACATGTACTTTAACTAACTTCTTTCTCTTCTTGTCATCTGGAATAAGTCTTGCTAGCTGAGGAAGCATATGCTCGAGCATAAGCTTACTACCAAAATATATGGCAAGTCTTTCATAAAAAACACGAGCTCGTAATTCTCCTTGTCCATACTGTTTACAGTCAAATTTAAACGCCACAACGACCTCATCATGGTTTTTATTAGCACCTTGAACAGCTGCAAGCATTCGTTTATATATCGTCGCTGCTTCTTTTCCAGCAGCAGCACATGGTACTTGATATGGTTTTTTCTCCTTTTTCTTTTTCTTGTCTTTGGGTTTTTCATCATTATCCTTGAGTTTTTTCTTCTTTATCCGGTCTTTTGGGATATTCCGACAGCTGATTCCAGTCGATGAACTGCCTATAGCGTGAGTGATTAAGACAGAAGAGCTAGAAGCATTATTATCAAGGTCAAAACTACAGTGAGAACAAAACTTGAGGCCCGAGGACGCTCCAGCGTTACAACACGCAGGGCATGAAGCCATGGGAGCTGAATGAGAGAGAGAGAGAGACAGTGACGTAGTATTTTAATTTTGAAAACTAGAACACCGTGAGGTTTTTCATCTTCTTATTACTTGTGTATAAAGTATTGAAATACAAAAGCGACAATTTGATGGCAAATTGTTGTATGTAGTTTTTTTGTACCACCTGTATTAGAGTAGCTAGATGAACAAAGCACGGCCATGTATACTGCGACATGAAGTTGTATCTTGTTGAATATATGGACAGTATTGTTGCTTGCACCTTTTTTGTTTTTTTTTTTGCCATATAAAGACAGAAGTTGCTAATAATAAATCAGATGTCACCACCATGTCAAACGTGACGTTGTAGAATACCTGTTGAAATCGATATCCATCCTGGTCCGTCTATATTCACTTGCAATCTTACTTATTCGATTTAACGACGTGTTGAAGGAGATGGAAATTTTTGCAACGGGTGAATTAGAGGGAGAACTTAAACGCCTTGGAGGCACAGGCAATGAAAGTGTCAAGCAGTTGTTAGAAAGAGGTTATTATGATGTAGTCCAGCTCTTGATTCGTCCGAAACGCGCACTTTATCACATGCAGGAACTTGGACCCAAATGCTTTCAAGTCCAAGAACTTTATGGACATCTGACACAAAATGGCGTGATGGAAACAAGACGAAAAGATTTTGACGTGATCAATGAACGTGGCTTGCGTGTATGTTGCTCTCACTGGCAGCTCTTTTCTCTGAACGCAGAGCAGAGTAGCACACCTTTTGTCACACCTTGTTTAATTTACTTACACTCTAATATCGGTTCGAGACTGGACGCTTTGCGAATACGTGACGAAGCTTTGACGCGTGGTTTTTCGGTCCTAGCCTTTGACTGCTGTGGCTCCGGTCTGTCGGACGGTATCTACGTGACTATGGGCTGGAATGAAGCCGTGGATCTGTTTTTTGTGCTGCAGAGTGTTGAAAAAGACGCATCTGTCTCGGATGTTTGTCTCTATGCACACAGTATGGGAGCATTCCCTGCCGTAACGAACTTGGCGCTTCGAGCCGCAGGAGCAGCGGATAGAAAAATGCAGGCTAAAGTGCAGACACTGCCGCATGTGCTGCGCAGTGGACAGTCACCCAAGTTACTGAAGCCGATTCGTGCTATTGTGCTGGACAGTGGATACGCATCGATGATAGAGGTGAATGAGGGTTTATTACGGGAGATGCAGCAGGAGGGTTTCTTTGTGCCTAAGACGGTCCTAAAGATGGTCATGATCGCTATTCACAAGAGTGTGAGAAAGCGCACTGAGGTCGATATCGAGCTTTTGCGTCCTGTAGACTATGTAAAACTCTGCTATGCCCCTGCGCTCTTTGTAGCTGCAAATAACGATCACTATGTGTCCAAGAAACAAAGCGCTGAGCTTGCTAGCAAGTATGCAGGGCCGTCTAAAATGCTATACGTCGAGGGAGAGCACTACGACCCGCGTGACCCCGCTACGTACGCGCAAGCCATGGACTTCCTCTACAATGCTATGCATCCAAAGATGCAACGCTAACTCTGGTGTACAATAGTCATCATTTACGCTGCTTAGAATACGCTGCAGTACTCGCGAAGCAAGCTGAATATCAACGACAACAATCGAGTAAAAGGGCGTAGTGTATCTTGTCAAACGTGCATCGTGTTAAGTCCTAATTCATCTGCATTCATTCTCGCCCCGAAAAAATAGATACGCCTTCTCTCGTCCATACTACCACTACACAACTTGCTCAACGGAAGTGGTGTTGCGGGGAAAAGTCGTACATAACGTCCACAAAGTAGTCCGCCGTCGAGTCGTCACTGTCGTACAGATCCAGAAAACGAATGTGTCGCGATGAAGACGATTCTGAGCTGGAGCTGCAAACATAGTCGTCCACAAAATCGTACTCCATCATCAGCGCGCTTTCTTCACCGGGAGAGCTACAGCTTGTCGAGACCTCAGCTGCATCACTCCCTCTGTTCTTGCCTTCTCTTGCTTGCCGTCGGTTTGCTTCAGCTAGTGCCTGTGTCTCGGCACAGCTTTGGCGTTCAAGTCGTTCTGCTTCGGCTTCCTCCAATTCCGCATCGATCTCATGACAGTAGTATTGGCGCAACTCATGCAAATAATCAAATGAAATAGTACCCAAAAAGGACCTATCCATAGTAAGCCGAATCAACGTATCACAAACGCACTCGTCACGGTTGAGCAGTCCTGTACGGTAGGGTGCTGTCAGTTCCTGCAGCGTTTCGTGCGAGACCTTGAACATCTCATACACGTCAAGGGCGTCATCACATGCCAGAATACGCGGTTGATTGAGTTTAAGAAGCACAAGTCCCACTCGCAGCAGCACATGACTGCCTTCACAAAAGAACACATCCCAGATTCGCATTACAGGTTCAAACGGAAGTGTGTTGAGGAAAAGACACAGGAACCATTTGAGTGTGAATGGCTCATAGTCCACGCCCAGTGCCTGCAAGTGACTCGCTAGTACAGGCAGCTTCTGAGTCACGAGATCCGAGAAAACGCGCTGGTCTGCGCGGCTACCGGTCATCGTTTGTGTGTGATACTGAGGTGTCAGTTCCTCCACAATAGCTGCTAGCACCCAAAAAGCTTCCTCCTCTCCCATATTTTGGAGAAGCACAGCAGCTAGAAAGTTCATGCTTTGACAATACCCTACCGCCGGGTTACGCAGCGAATAGGCCTGCAATACACGTCGAAGTTCACCAAAGTTGTCGCCTTCTGCTAGCTCTTGTGACTGCCGCATCGAATTACGCAAAGCAAGTGGAAAGGTCCGAGGCAAGTCCTTCTCAATTTCCATTTCTGCACACTTACTTAATGTATGTAGACGATGCAGTAGTGCCGGATACGATTCGGTCGCTTGGTGACGTAGCTCCGCTGCGCCGCTGCACATCCACCAGACCTGACCACGCAATTGAGGTGGCACACCTGACTTTAACAAATTATCCAACTGACGCGAGTATATCATCGTCTCTGCCGTTGTAGCAAACATGGAAAAGGTCATTTTGACCGTTTTAGGCGGCATTTTTAACGCATGTTCCTCGTCTTTGCCGTGCTCTGTCAAGCGTTTGTGATTATCTTTCCATTTTTGACACACTCGCTGTTGTGTCCAATCATGTGCAACAAAGCGTTCAATCCATTTGTGTAATCTGTATCGGTATAGACTCTCAATCGTGTCCATTTCAGTTTCAGTCTGCTGTTGAATATCTACAAAGCATTGTAGCACTTGTCGCTCACAGTGACAGGCTAATTCCAAGCGACTATTAGCTGTAGTCAAGTTCCCTTTTGTATTCAAAGACGCTGTAGTTAGACGAAAGCGGTGTTTTGGACGAAAACACGCTAATTGACGTCCATGTACACGAGAAACGTTCATCAAGTCAGTCCTTCTCGCTGTCAGTTTTGATTCTGACAATCTGACACACTCTGTTTTGTTTTATTTGCGTTTGTTGGATACTCCGTTTAAATACGAATATATCAAGACTTTTTGTGATAAGTACGAAAACCGAGTGATGGTCACATTCTTGAAATCCTCTCTATTTTTGTTTTTTTGACCTTGTCTTAATTTCAAGATGCTATGGACGTTGAGTAGAAAACTCTCGACGCCGCTTTCTCGTTCTCTACACGCTTCCACGTCGTCTTTATTTTTCATACGTTCATTGGAAGATGTGAATCAGAGCAATCGTATCATTACTAGTGAGAATGGAGCTCTAGAGACACGGTATGAGTCATAACTTGTTGTGAAACCTGTCAATCGTAAACGGTACTAACTGATATCACGATATTTTTTAGGCGTTATCTCGTGCGAAACGACGAGTGCGGCTTCTCCATCCAGCAAGAGGTACTAAAGAAAGGCGTGACCATACGTCTAAAGTTTCAAAATCACGTGTATGCATTACTGATTACGCGTGGCAACGGCCGCGTGCGGTTACTGGACGGTCCGGGTCAGTTTCAGGAGGTGGCCGAAGGTTCACTTGTGGCACTCAACGCTGCTGAAACGATAGAAATGGAGGCCATATCGGATGAGTTACGTGCTGTAAGTGTCATGAATCCACCAGTATTTGGTGTGGAGAAGAAGAATGAGAGAACAGGCGTTTTTCCAGCCGTGGACTCAGATGGCGAAGAGTTTGAGAGTTTTGATATGTCAAAAATTGGTCGTCTGTTTCCAGCTCCTGAGTCATTGAAAGGTGGTAGTGCCCCTATGAAGGATGATCCGCTCTTTTAGGACGAGAGACATAAGACGAACGAGTCAAAAACAATTACATTGGCAACTTGGTGTCTTGGCAAAAACAAATACGAGGAGGTCGGTCCATCTACTTCATGAGATTTACTTTACCAGTTTAAATGAACAATATTTGTGTTAGAACAAAGAATTGGTTTTTGGTGAAATAATTGGGTTTTCTCTTTTTCTTACATAAAAGCCATTCTTTAGTATGCTTATATGTGGTATACATAAAACCATTCTAGCGCTTTTAAAATGTTAAAACTCATATTGTTTCATTGCTCAAACCCACAACATATGGAAGAGTACGACCGCAGCGCGCCGCTATTTGATCGGCGTTTCCACGTGTTAGTGCAATACCCTGACCGTGACGAAAAGTTGTTGCCACTTACGATTCGACTATTGACGGGTTCTCGTGTGCGTGAGCTTATTCACTGTCTTGATTTCTCATATTTGGACAATTATATACATTGGTGTAAAAATTAATTGCAATTAATTGCATGATAACAGCAAAACAATGCCAAGAACCAGAAGGCACGAGTTATGCGCGTGGAAATTACAGACGATGATGGTGTAGATCCGTACTTTCTTTATTTATGGAGCGTCTCAGAGGAAGAGTTTCATGAGCTAAAGGCACAGCAGAGACTGCTCGTGGATTTTGTAACGTTTCCAGCAAACCTTATTGAGTTGCTTCAATGTTGCCTTAAAGACAGCAAAACAGTTGTACATGAGGACAAGAAGGACGATATGGAAGAAGATGAAGCTGTGATGATAACGAGAGGAGTCCAGGAGACTCAACATAACCAGAAAACAAGGTCCGCTGGACCACTTCCATTGAGGTGAGAGGACGTTTGTTTAGTTTGTGTTTGTTGGTTGGGTTCACTTGATAAGTTTTGTGTGTGTGTGTTTTTTTTGCAGCTATTTAGCAGTGTTGAACACGTTGGATAGTAATGGTCAATCAGTGTTTAGCATTGTGGAGACGAATCCGTTCAAGCAATTGACACATTTATCGTTGAGGTTTTTACCAGGTGATGACACTGCGATTAAGGCTTATCTTGCAGCGCGGTTGACGCAAGTGGAGGCAACTAGACGTTCACTGTCGACAGCATTAAAACAGACGAGTGAAGAGCTGCAGGTTGTGCAGGCCAGTGGAATGAAACTTCAGCAGCAATTGACGTCTTTGAGCTGTGACGCAGAGTCAAAGCTTTCACAGGAAAAGATAAAGTTTGCGGATGAGTTGAATGCTCAGCGCCGAGAAGCCGCAATTGCATTAAAAGCGCGTGAAGACGAGCTTAACGCTAAAATTGACGCACTTGTGGAGAGATACGAAAAGGAGGTAAGGAGGTTTGGTTGTGAATAATTTGGCAAAAGACTAACAATTGCTTGTGCACGGGTCAGCTCCAAGCACTGAAAGCAGCAGCTGAGGCAAGTGAGTTGCAAGTGCAAGATCTGACAAAGCAAAAGTATCAGCACGAAATGCAGATTGATCATTTACGCGCTCAGTCACAAGATCTCAGTCAAAGCAGAAGCGCGCTGTCAGGTGAAGTGGATGAGCTGCGCATCCAAAATAAAGATTTGGACCAAAAAGTCTTCCAACAGGAAAAGCGGATCAATGGTCTCCAGGTACGCGTAGATGCACTGCAACAGCAGCTTGCAGATAAGGAGGATGTGATCAAGAAGACCACAGATCTCTTGCAGTCAGCAAAGGTACACAACGAGGAGGTTGATGAATCATTGAAGATGTATCGAGATAACCATGCAAGGCTCCAGCAGAAGCTTGAGTTAAGTATCTCGGAGATCAATAAGGTAAGCCAGCGGCACGTCAGCACTTGAGTATGTGCATGACAGATTATCTAAATGCTTTGCATGATGTATATGCTGATGCAGGGAAATGATATCATCGAACGTATACAAAACGAAAATCGTACGCTGAAGTCCAAGATGCGGATAAAAGCTAAGATTATTAAGCAGCAGGAACAGGTACGATGGCCCTTTGTTGTACGTCCGGTAACATCAGCTCTGATGCCTAATGACGGTTGTGTGGCTTAGTTTGTTGAGGAAAAACAACTTCAGCGTGAAGAAGCGCTATTGGAGCTCAAGTCGACCAAGGAAGATATTCGCAAGCGAGACGATCATATTTTGCAGTTGAAGGTGGGCAATACAAACTGGATACGCTACTATCACGTCATCTTACTATCCATTATTTCAAACAGGCTACAATAAAGGAATTGAGCCAAAAACTTGAGGATAGCAACAAGTTACTGGCATCGAACCAACAAGGTATGTTTAAACTGACTTTACCTTTCGAATTATTCCCTTGGTCTAACGTTATGTGATGTTCGACGCAGTAATTACATGGCTGAACAAAGAGATCAACGAAGCACAGCTTGGTCACCAGCGCAGATCGACTGCACACCCATCTGTGCTTGCATTTCATCCATCAGACAAGGTGATTAGTAACCCCTGATTTCATCGACAAACGATATTCCAGCTATCATCAAGACCGATATGCTACATGAATATTGGATTCTTTGCGGGACGCCACTACAAGCCTCAGACCATTTGTCACTTCGCGTCAACCGTGTTTCCAGTCGCAAGTTACTTACAACAGTACCCAACTCGATGCTTTATAATGGCAGCAGATACAGCACTAGCAGCAATGCTACACCAAGTGGATCTTTTGAGCGACACTGTGTACATTTTCTTGAGTCAAATCAGCAGTCCGCCGTCGATACGAATGCATTGTCCTGTGATGTAGGCTGCTTCATCACTTGCCAAGAACGCCACAAGTTGTGCAACCTCATCCGGTTTTCCGTATCGAGCCAATGGAATGCTGCTCAGGATGCGATTCCGCGCAGTCTCCGACATTGCACTCGTCATGACTGTAGAGACAAATCCCGGTTCTACGAGATTCACGCGAATGTTGCGATTGCCAAATTCCTTGGCCAACGTCTTTGTGACACCCACAAGCCCTGCCTTTGATGCACTATACGCCACTTGGCCCACATTTCCTGCCGTTCCTACTACACTCCCAATCGTAATGATGCTACCCTGACGCTTCTGCATCATTCCTTTTGCCACCGCTTTGCACATGTGCACAGGTCCTGCAAGATTCGTGAGTAGCAATTCTTCCAAATCAACATCCTTGAGTCTTACGAGTAAACTGTCCTTGGAGATTCCTGCAGCATTGACAAGAACAGACGGAGTAGTTCCAAATTCCTTGGATACTTGAGATACAACCTGCGCAGCTTCATAGCTAGCGTCTCCTTCACCTCGTCTCGGACAATTGTATGCTACAGGTAAGACATTATCCGAGATCTGCTGGGATGCTTCCTGAGCTCGTTTCAAGTCGCGAGAAGTTAAAGCCACTTGCCAACCACGACGGTAAAGCTGTTGAGCTACGGCAAATCCAATGCCACGACTGCCTCCCGTCACGAGCGCCACACATGCTGACATTGTTTGTTGTCTATGACAAATGACTCGACTAAGTCCGGTGCGATTAAGGAGTATGAGAAGATCGATTGATTTATCATCACTTTGTCTAGTTGATGATTAGTGACTTTCTCTCTCTCTACGTGGCAATTCTACGGAGCGATAAACATGGACGACGGTGATGGACAATCAATGGAATTGCCCGTGTACGTGAGTTTACCGGTCTCTTCGTCAGTACGGAATACGTCCAAGCTATTAGTATCTTGATTGACCGCTAGCAGGAAATCCTTGTACACGTGGATATCACGGGGCGTCTTGCCCCGTGTAGGAATGATCTCCACTACCTCAAGACGTGTGTCAGGCAGGATCTTGTAGACTGCGATGGTGTTGCTAAAGCGCGTGGCCGCGTACACAAACTTGGTGTTACTCGAGATGTGAATATCCGACGCCAGTGCAGGAGGACCCGAGTAATCGCTTGGCAGCGTCGAAATGTTCTGCAGCGCCTTATGACTCAACTTGCCAGTCTCGGGATCGAGCGAGTGCACGCTAACAGTGTTGTTCAGCTCACCAATGACGTAAGCCACACGCAACTCCACGGAGAGTGCCAAGTGACGTGGACCCGAGCCTGGTGGACAAGCAATGAGTTCCTCATGAATCAGTTTCTTGTGAACAGCATCAAGTGTGTACTGCACCAGTTGATCAGTGCCTAGATCGGCTGCAACAAGACCTGTTGGTGTCCACGCCGTGCTATGAATATGAGAGGCTTCTTGACGGTCTGGAATGACTCGACTTGCACCTTGAAGACAATGAAAATCCGATACAGGAGCTAATGATCCATCTGCATTTACAGGATAAAGTGACAGACCACCACCATAATTTGCGACGGAGACAAAGTCTCGATTCGGACTGAGTGCGACATGACATGGAAACGTACCACGAGTTTCATACTGACTCAATTGTGTCAATTGTCCATCAATTTCCATCTTATACGCATGAATAAAGCCTGTTTCTTGTCCAGCTTCAAGCGTTGATGGTTCATTACATTCATTTACAGTATAAAGTGTGGCATCCGACCCAAAAACGTAAGATGGATTAATACCAGCATGTTTCGTAATATGCAGCAACTCGAGCGCTCCTGTGATATCATTAAAGGAGTAAACATGAATTCCAGTTGCATGACCATGCACGTGACCTTCTTTACGTGTGTAGGTACCGACATAAAGAAGTGGCATTAGTACGAGAGCGTCAGAGTGAATGTTAGTTAATGCGAGAATGATGATGGATGGATGCACTGACACTCTACGGCCTTTCGATGCTCCGTTGCGTATCTTGTTTATTATTTTGTGACAACGTATACAATTAAACGTTCGGTGGTTGTAGCGTATTGTCCAGTCATTCTTCTTTTTGCCATGTCAAGTCAAGATGCAACGTCTGGACTTGATAGTAATTTATATAGTAATTTCGTAGCTGAACATGATTGCTTAAACGAGACATTAGAGCCCAGAATACATTCACTTCATGGTGTTAAGATTCATGCTATCACACCTAATGGTACAGTCCTTGGTCTTGAAACATGTATCATAGCTTCTTTCTTTAAAGCTGCCATGCAACGTAGTGTTGAGTCAACACTTGTATGTGAAAACCGCATAAATTCCGTTATTACATCCAATATACGTATCACATCTTCACGTCATGTAGCATTGCAAGCGCATCTTCAAGTAAATGATACAATGCGCTTAACATTGGAAGCTCAAGAGTCGGCAAGCGAGAAAACATTGGCCTCCTTTGCACGTATTGGAGCTGAGTATAAGACAAGAAATAAATTTGCTGGTGTTACAATTGATGCAGTTAATGGACCGACGTTACAAGCGACAATCGGAGGAAGAAAGGGGTTATTAGGTTTTGGTATTCTTGGCGCTTATGATGTTGGTCTGGATCATAGTGATCGACTTGGCAAGTTTACGACACTTGATATGGCAATGAGTTATACGCATGAAGATTTAATGACACTTTTACAAGTGTACGTAGACAAAATGGATGGATAGAGAGAGAGAGAGAGTGGGGGACTGAGGGTGGTTTTATAGATGATTGACTCTTGTGTTAATGTCTAGGAATGATGGAGGACGGATGATGCAATTGGACTTGACGCAAATCGTCTCACCAAAGTTCATCATGTGCTCGAGATATGTGTTTGATCGAAGAAAAGAGAAACGCGTGTTGAGATTGCTGGGCAAATACGCGCTGAACAAGACAGAATCTTTGTCCAGTTCGATTGGATCGGATGGTATTTTTATTGGAGCTTTTGAATGGCGCACGTCCAAGCATTTGAAGACGCGCGTGTCGGCGCAAATGGATTTGCGGCACTGTGATAGTGATTTACACCACCTTGGCGTGTCTATCGAGATCAGTTGAAGTGGTGAGATCATTGACTGATATGTATGAGGAGGAGGCTGGACTTACTGACACGAAAGCTGCGACGACAAGAGGGTGATAGCAGAACAAAGGACAAACAAACAAAAGGTATCAAAAAGAACACGTTGACAAGCACATTAGTCTGTTGGAAGGTTTTGCTGCAGTTACTTGGCGTAGATGACAGTGTCACGCTTGGAGCGCGCGATCACGTTACCCTTCTCATCACGAGCGCCAGGAGCAGCCTTCGCGGACGGATGGTTAGCGAGCTCACTTGGTACGGACATCTCTGTCGACACAAGGTACTGTTTGAGGTCGTACATAATTTCTTCATCGTCCTCCGTGAGGAATGAAATTGCAACACCTTCTTTGCCAGCGCGACCAGTACGACCAATACGGTGCGAATAGTTCTGGATCTTGGACGGCATGTCATAGTTGACAACGTGAGTCACATCTGGGATATCTAGACCACGTCCAGCCACGTCCGTCGCTACCAGCATATCACAGTAGCCTTCACGAAACATCTTGAGGCTCTCCTCACGCTGGTCCTGCGTTTTACCACCGTGCAAAATCGTGCAACGAAATCCCTCACTAGAAATGAATTTGGCAACCGAGTCGCATTCTTTCTTGATATTGACAAACACAATGATCTTGGCGCCATCCACAACTTTTTCCTTACGCGACCGCGGCGTTGGTACAGATTGCGCACTTAGAATATCACGCAGCACTTCCACCAGTTTCGAGCGCTTCTTGCCCAAATTCATGAACATAACACGCTGGTCAATACGCTTGTTCTTGCCAGAGTCCTCATCACCAATCTTGACAATCGAAGGGTGGCGCAAAAACGTCTTGGCCAGCCGCTCCACCTCGACAGGCATTGTAGCACTAAACATGGTTGTAACACGGAGACGGTGCTGTAGCTCTTCTCCTAGCTGAGCCCCATTTGCCAACTTAAGCTGTTGTTCCATCTCTTCTTCATTCTCGGACTTTAGCAAAGATCCCATATTTTCCAACACGGCAACAACCTGGGGCTCAAAACCCATATCAATCATGCGATCAGCCTCATCCAATACCACGTAATTACACTGGTTCAAAACCAGATAATGGCTCTCGAGACAATCCATTAAACGACCAGGAGTACCAATGATGACATCTACGCCCTCACGGAGACGAAATCCCTGATCCTCAATACTTTGCCCACCAACAACTGACAGTGTCTTGATAGGGTTCAACTTATCAGGTAGCCCCACACTTGTGTATTTGCAGAGCTTGATAGCTTCCTGTTCAATCTGCAAAGCCAATTCACGGGTAGGTGCCATGACCAGAGCTAGCGGACCTTGCTCGCCAGTCCGCGCTACCATCGTGGCCGGAAGCGAGTAGATGTAAGCAATGATGGGGATCACAAAGGCGGCAGTCTTACCTGAACCAGTCTCGGCGATACCAATGATATCACGTTTTTGCAGCCCGATAGGGATAGCTTGCATTTGAATAGGCGACGGTCGTTCAAAACCCATCTCTTTGATAGCTTCAAACACGACAGTCGGAAGCACGTTTCGAGCTTCATCCCACTTGCGCAGGGGCTTTGGAGCCCGGCCACCCTTAATGGTGATATCAAAGTCTTCGCGAAAGATACGCCAGTCACGTTCTTTCATCTCGTCCAGTGATTTGTCGGACCAGTGCGTGCCCATTGTTTTGGCCTCTTGTGTAGCCATTTCTTGCATACGGTCCCGCTCGCGAGCTTGCATGCTGCGCAAAGCCCGTTCACGTTCTTGTTTTCGAGTTGCAATTTCTTCACTAGTCAAAGTACCATTGGTCTCATCTGCAAGTTGCTGTTCCTTCTGACGTTTATGACTAAGCTCTTCCAAAAACGAGTTCTTCTTTCGTTGCTCCCGCATGTCCACACCAGCTCGATACCCGCGTCCAAACAGTAGATTTACATCCATGCGTTTTGCATACAATGGATTCAAATCAGCACTCGTATCTTCCGATGCTTCCCAGTCAAATTGAAAAATCTTGGAAAATTTTTCGCTCGCCTTGACCACTTTCTTTTTCTTGACTGTCTTGCCTAAATACTGATCCTTCAATGCTTGTAGTGCTTTAGCTTCATTTAGATCCATCGTCGTCGTTGATTTTTCGTCCTTGGAAGAAGACGTAGAACCACTCTCTACCACACGACGTGGAGTACTGCCTGTATCCTGAATATTTGTCCCAGTGCAATCATTACAACGACGATCTCCATGAGATTTAACTCCTTTATGTCGTTCTCTGTCACTCCGTTGACGTTGCAGAAACTGACGTCGAGCATTCTCTGCTTCCTTCCGTTGCTGCTCCATCTAGTTACACAATAATACATAGTCATACCAGTCATTATAAATTACACTCGTGTGGTAATTTATTCCAGTCCCAAGAATATAAAAACCAGCATTTCTTCTTACCTCCTGTCGCTTCTTCTCGAGGTTCTCGAGTGCATCCTGCTGTCGCTGTGCCTTGGAGCGGAATTTGGGCTTCATTGGAGCAGTCTCCATCGATGCAGATACTTTGACGATCTTTAATGGGAGTTTCCGATCACTTGTAGCAGCACCAATCGACGCACTCTTGGCTTCATTCGTTACTATTGGAGCTGACACCAAAGCTTCTTTCTTAGCCATACTGCGCTCAGTTGCACGTTCTTCTGCTCGTTTTGCAATGGCAGCAATGCGCTCTGCTTCTTTCTGATGTTGTTCATCGAGCGCTACGACTTGACGCTTGCTCGTAGAGCGTGAACGTGAACGAGAGCGTCGCCGCTTTCTTTGGTCGACCATGTCCTGCTTAATGACAGAAATGGAAATAAATGACGCGCTTTGGTACAATTATTCTCGTACGTGGGTGATAGTTTACGTCGTTGTTTTGGGTAGGGTGATCCGTATTTTAGCGAACTGTAATGTAATTGATTTTGTACTTGTGTTTTTTTACGTAAGTCCATCTCCATTTCTATCAATCGTTTTTCGAGGTAAATTAAACATCTTAATTTGGTCATTTCTTTTCTATTTTGACAAATTTCGGAAAATATGATGCACATGCAGGAGGTCCGAGAGCGTCGATTGTTTTCCCAACACATTCGTGAGGATGAGAAGGACCAGGAACAGACCGAGATGGATCCTATATTATCCAATGCATTGCCCATACGACGATCTCAACCGGAGAGTTGGGTGCGTTTTGTCATGGATAAAACCTGGTCATTTACATTCCTGATTGTAGCATCGTTTGGTCTCTACGAAGCCAATTTTTTATCGGATTTACTATACGCACCACATGCCAACCGTCGTTTGATACACTTGGGCATTTTGTTTGGGACATTACTTGGTGGTTTTGGCTGTTATATCGAAGTATATCGTAGCATGGTCTTAGGGGAACGTGTCCACTATGATAATGCCAAGACGGCGACACATGGAATGCTTGTGTCAATGCTATTGTCCGGATTCTGGTACGTGTTAATTTCATGCTGTATAGTAATTTTGAAAGAGGTGTTGCTGTTGTTGATGTTGTTGTTGTTGTTATGCTCAGTATGACTATAGGCATGTGGCCGGTATGGCACTGGCTTACGCTTCCTTACCTATTTATGTGGTCATGGGGTGTCGTGGTGCAGTTATTGGTAATATTGCCACCGGTTTTGATCCGAGTGGTAGTTCTATGCGCCTATGTTTGGTTCATGCACTCGTATCTTGCCATGTACCTTGTCGGATTGCAATGAACACAAGTGTGCCAAGTATTTCGTATCAATGGTAAACACGGTAAAGATCATTTCTAAAAGACTAGAGAGGATCAGTGTCGGTCCTCAAATTCAAGTTTTGATGATAATAGGATTGCTTGAATCAGCAGTATATTGTTCGAGTAGACTTTATTGGCGATTATGTCGAAAGAAGTCGAGCAGCGACTATGAATGTCATCGACATGATTTGGCTCATGCACAGCCGTATTATTACTAGCATACAAGAAGAGCGCGTTTATTTTCCAGTGTAGACGAATTCTTCTTCTTCCAATTCAACACAAATTCATTATATCGACCATACTGACGACGGACAACATTGCTGCGACAAGACGCTTTCACAATAAATTACTTCAGTAATATATTACTCACTGCCTCAAATTAGAACCACCAAAATTAGAAACACTAAAAAATTTCAAAAACAACCCCATTCATTTCTGATCCCGATACTAACTATATATATCTATATCCCCATCGTACAATTAAGTGGTCGAGTGATGAGTACAGGCGGCGTTCGTATGCGATCATCTTGGAGGTGTCAGGAGATTGGTGCTAATAAACAAGGTGTATTTCTCCTCACTTTCTTTAGTTATGTCATGTTTCATGCGATTCGTAAGAGTTTTTCATCCATTAAGGGCCAAATGGGAGACGAGCAATGGATTCACTCAAAAGTGTACGCAAAGGATCAACAGGTTGAAATGTACGGACTCATGGATACACTTTTTATGGCATTTTATGCATTGGGATTATATATTAGCGGTATAATAGGGGACAAGAATGATTTACGATGGATGATTACAGGAGGAATGTGGGCAACAGCAATGATTGGCGTGATATTTGGACTCGGGGCATTGGCAGATATTCATGCCTTGAGTTTCTATGCTGTACTATGGGGTCTCAATGGTCTTGTTCAATCGAGTGGATGGCCAGCAAATGTGGCCGTTATGGGCAAGTGGTTTGATCATACAGAACGTGGCGCTGTGCTTGGGATTTGGAGTGGGAATGCCTGTTTGGGTAATATCGCGGGTACGGCATTAGTGGCTCTTATGTTTGCACTATATGACCAAACCGTGGCGTGGAAACTTGCACTGCTCGTAGTCTCAGTACTTGCAGCGATCCATGGACTGCTCGTGTTCTTGTTCCTTTATCCGAACCCACAGGACATACAGTACCGTCATGAATTACTTGAAGAAGCAAAACCGGAAACCGTGGCAACCAAAGACGACATGATAAAAGATGCTGAGAACGAGACGAAATCTACAACTATTGGCTTTTATGAAGCCTGGTGTATTCCAGGAGTAAGTGTTGAGACTGTTGGCACTTGTTTTTTTAGTTTCCATTAGCTCACTGGTGTCGTGCGGACAGGTCCTTCCATACTCTTTGTCATACGCCTGCCTCAAATCCGTCAATTATGCATTGTTCTTTTGGATTCCATTTTACCTTACGGTATCGCTTCAGATGGAAAACTCTGAGGCTGGTTCTTTTTCGGTTCGTATCATGAGAATTTATTACGGGAGTGGTGTTTATCATGGTCGTATACACTTTGCACTCAAACGTTGAACTTTGTTGCTCTGTTTGTTTTCCGTGTAGATGCTGTACGACGTCGGGCAAATTGCTGGTGGCTTTGTCGGCGGAATGGCGTCAGACAAGATGGGAGTGCGGTCGCCTGTTGTTGTAAGTATGTTGCTCCTCTCCTGGTACGAACAATTGTAATCCGAAAATGTTGCAGTTTTGCGTGCTTTGCTAAGAAATGTTGCATGATTATAGCATCACATTGTATTTTATGGACGGAGCTACGTATGAAATGACAGCAGTGCTACTGCTTGCGTCGGGTTTCATGCTAGGTGGTCCGGCAAACTTGATTAGCACCGCTATCTCTGCAGATCTAGGTACTCACAAGAGTATTCGTGGCAATGCGGAAGCGCTTTCTACTGTTACCGGCATTATCGACGGAACTGGTAGCGTTGGTGCTGCCCTTGTGCAGTACCTCGTGGGATACTTGGCGAATTGCCAGTATGAGCCGAAAGGTTGCGATCCAAAAAGCGTCCATTGTGTGCAAGTGTGTTCATGGGGTCCAGTGTTTGTTCTGCTTGAGGTGGGTACTATTTTGTCGTGCGTGTGTCTTGCACAGCTGCTGCACCATGAACTACGGCTCCTTCAGAGTCGTCGTCGATGCTGCACTGCGGGCAATGAACAATAAAAGTGTATAGCCGCTGAGATGTTCATGGACCTGGGTATATCGAACACCATCATGGCAACGCCTTCAAAGCCATTGTTAGACGCAGTGTCAAACTCGCCAAACAAAAACGTGACTCTTGATGAGTCACTTCGGTAAAGCACAGCCGTTTTGCGGTCATTCTGTATACGATGAGAAAGATAGTAGTGACGCATCGAGCGGATGAAGTATTAAGCGTTGTCGCATTGGGCAGGTTCATGAAACTAACAGGAGCGATTACCATCATCATATATATGAAGTGTTCAATTTGCAGTTGCAGGCTAGCATTCACGAGCTGTTAGGTACTGGTGTAGGCAGCAATTGAAACAAGCTTCTGATCGTAAAGCTTATGTATAAGCTGCTGATTTCATCAGCACCGTAGCTTTCGTCGCTTTCAAATTTCTTCAAAAGGAATTGGTTGCTAATAGGACTGATCGAGGTGACTTGACGAGTAGTAGTGTCCTGTACCCAAAAACGTTATATAACGCGCAATGTGACTTCTACGGACGCTTCTTTATGCATTACCGCAAGAGCAAGTACGCTTGTGTTCTACATCACAAGATCATTGCTCACTTAAGCGGGCCGCTGGAAAGACCGCTAGCCCCAGCAACACCTCCAGTCTGTGGTGCAGGATGATGTGACAACCGTCCACGAACAAAGCCACCAAAGCCCTTCTTCTTCTTTTCTTCTTTTTGCAGCTCAAGCTGGTGCAAACGGGCGCCGTATTTGGAGGCAAGATCGCGAACAACGCCGTCATTGTCACGAAACTCGTTGATAATATCTCGAAAATCAGGGACACGCTCTGACGCCAATGCCTTTAGGAATGGAATCAAGTCCTTCAGTTCGTGATCGTCTCGATCCCGGCCATTGGTAAAAAGGCTTGACAGGAATAGCATTCTCCGGCTGCAATTGATACGCCGCCGGGTCATCATCCAGAATCACCACCTGACGTAAATCACGGTTCAAGTTGGACAGGTCCTTTACATGAGCACCGTTTAGATAGCGCGTGGCATCGCGCGACAGCACGTGCAATGCACACTGCTTCGGGTCAAGCTTCTGTGCAATCTCCTCTGCTCCATAGTTTTGCGAGAAAATCACAATCTCATAGTACTGACACAGAGTTTCCAGAAACTCGTCCACACCTGGACGCTTGGCATGGCGCCAACCATGCTTTCGCTATACCAAATAAACACACACACACATTACTCAATTAGATCCCTCGGAGTCAACTCTATACCTCAAACCATTATAGCAACAACGTACGCTCCATTCAGAGTGTACAAGTGTATCTTCCAAGTCCAGCACTAATACAGGGACCGGTGGCGTGTTAGCTGGCACTTGAGGAATTGGCCAATCTGGTAATAGCTTCTGTCTTGATGGATCAGTAAAAGGCTTGACTGTCTCCTGTATCTTCTTTGCTATAAACACATAAATATCTCCAAGAAACGTGGCACCCAACGTCTCTTTCATGCGTGTCTTGAGCCTATCATCAAGTATAAAATGCCATAGAATAGAACCAGAGATACTTCCAGCTAATAATGCAAGTGAGATTCGAGCAGGAAGTGATGATGTGCGCACGACCTTATGCTCAAGGACATTCGTTGAGTGTTTAGCGGCATCGCGCGCTGCTTGTCGTTCAGCTCGTGGCACGACTTTAAGCGGGAGATTACGCCCTACCTTAACAAAGATGGGAGATAGTTCGGATACAGAAGACAAAGTAGATAACTTGGTAGTCAATATGACGCGATGAGAAGCGCTTAGCATGGCAGACGCATGCGCACGACGCTGTCCAGTACATCGCACAAGCCGCTGCATCATTTGGTGGGGCTGTAAATTTGATATGTCGGCCAATCAAGTAAATGAATGTGACGTGAATGTAAATCAAATGTTTCACGAAAGGAGAATTGATAGCCACTTCATACATATAGCCACTTCTTATTATATAAATGTTAATGATGAATGGAATAATCGTCCTATTGTTACTCCAACGGATCGCTAAGGTTTTCGCTCAAGGTGATTTTGCCATACTTGATCCTGAAGTAGCTGCTGTGTCTGAAGATCTATACTTTAATCCATATGATGAAAAGCCACGAGATCAAGACACGGACGATGATGGAAGTACTCGAAAAGCTCATGATGTTGATAGTTTTGACTTTGATCCGTCGGAAGGTCTGACGTTTTACGTCATGGGCAAGAAGAGTGAATGTTTTTATCAGGAAACCAAGTTTGATGGTGATACATTAAGTGGGGCTTATGTCGTAAGCTCCGTAGACTCGCACATTGATTTTGAAGTGAAGAACCCAGAAGGTTTGACACTCTATCGTCGACGAGGGGACGTCGAGGGGCAATATCTTGTTACACCCAAGTGAGTTTCTTGAGCTGATTGTGATTTGAGAAGAAGAATCAAGGATATTGCTGTGTCTATCTCATGATGTCGATACTAATGTATCTATTATATCTATTGTGGTATGGTGTGGTCAGACAAGTAGGTGTGTATGAATTGTGCTTCATCAATCCAGACTCGGACGTCAAATTAGTGACGCATGTGACCAACACATTGCAGTCACAACATCCTGTGGAGAAAGGTGGTGTACGACTGCTAACTTGTGTCTAGAATGCTCTGGGTGCAAGAGTTTTTGCTGACAACCATTCATTGTGTTTTTCATGTAGAACATGTGAGTGTGTTGGCAAAGTATGCGTCGCATTTAGATGTACGACTGGGCGAGCTCGAGTCAGAGCAGAGACTGCAGCTGATTCGGACAGACAGGCATATCAAGGGTGAGTGAGTTGACATGTTGTGATGCGTAAGCTACTTTTTCTTGCGCAGTAAAGTTACTTTGCTGACTTGTGTCACTTGAAAATACAGTGGAGGGAAACATGAACAAGCGCGTTGTTTTTTACGGAGCGCTGGAGTGTATCATCTACCTCGTCGTATGTTTTTTTCAGGTGTACTACATTAAGGGCTTGTTTGACAGCCCGCATAAAGCACGGTCCTGGGTGTAAAGGGCAGATTGTGCTGAGTCATGCCAACCCTCCTGCCTGACGAAAAACGTTCGCTACGGCGCAAATGCAACATGTTTTTGCTTCGTTTGAACATGGAGCATGGCAAGTGCTTAATGCTAATCAGATGCAAAGACATTACAAACAATACTTTGCCTCGTCCTACTTGTTACGGTGTCTGCAAGCCTGCATCCAGTGCCTTTATATACTCGAGGTCGGGTGTGTTGTCGCTCGGTCGATATCGATTCCATAAATCCGTAAATTCAGGCCCAAGGCCTTGAGCCTTTCCGCCTTTTTCATCTTCATACATCCACAAGTAGCATCGTGCAACGTCTTCAAGTTCTTTTTCAGAAAGGTTTAGTACAGTCCACCATGGTTTGTTCTTCTCAGTAGCTACGTTCGGTCCCACTTGATGACGATACAAGCAGGCCAGGTAAACTGCGCCAGCAGCAAGAGCGATACAATCAAACGCAAGACATAATCCACCCTTTACAGCATCCGCAATCAACATGAACGTAATCTCACGAGTGTTCTCGTACAAAATGTCCGGGTGCATCGCATCTAGCTCAAATATCCTCTCCATATGTGATGCAACGTATGCAAACGGCTGTGGTGGTCCAATTTCGAATGACAACGTCAGCAGTAGAATTCTTTCAAGCAGCAGCACTTTGCTAGCAATAGTTTCAATCTCTCCAACCTCGACAACTTCCAATAAAGCATTCAGCCACTCGAAATGTTTCGTGTTTGTCGTTTCTTTATCACTCCCAATGGTCGAGTTCATTTCATTTGGTATAATACCCTTTGTATGAATTCTCTGTTTCTTTTTCAGTGGCGGAGCAGGTGATGGAGAGCGTCGAGGGACGACCGCTCCATTATTCTTTAAGCCACAAGCCTTTGTTTTTGTCATAAGTTTCTCTTGAGCCTGCTCTCGACATAACAAAAGATACATCGAACACTCTGTCACGTAACGGACCTTGACTGGAAACTCCTCTGTCTTGCCGGCTAGAAACAGCGCTGCAGTAGCAACAAGAAAGCGATCGTGGGTTGCAAACGAATGCATCATATAGAACCGCTGTATAAATAACTGAGCAGCTATACTAGGAGCACCAGGCATCTCTAACAATTGCGCCAAATGCTCGATAAAGGTACACGTCGTACGTCGTAATTGCTGCTCTACTCGCCATTCGACTTTCGATTCCGTAAAACTTGGCGTATGAAATACACATGGAAGATCCGTGTTGTTATTCTCTTTCTCAGCATCGCTTGATACTGAGCTTAATGAGTTAGTAGCGTGCAAAATCACCGAACGTAGCTCTGTAAAGACCCACTTATCAGCAGGCTCAGGCGCCATTGAAGGGATGGATGGTTCGGTGAGATGTGAGTGACCAATCACAATCGTCCGTTTCATAATTACCGCTTGTTACAAAAATACCGTTTCAATACCGCTACGTAAAGAGCATGAGTGATGGTCTTCCTAGATTAGGTCGTTTTTATTTCGATTACTTTTGGCTACAATAGTTTGATGCAGTCAAAGGACTAAATTGGCGCGGATAATGATGGACCCAATGTTCCATTTCTACCGAGGCGGTGTCTCAAAAACTGCCTTTCAACTGTTGTCCACCTTATCATGAAAGGCTCTACAGCATCTGTCTACTTTACAAGACGGATTTAGTCCACTTCAACGCACAGTAGCAAAGACCAACATGAATACGTCTAAGCTATGTAGTACTAAGCTTGTACGTCCCATGGCTCTTCCTGCTCTCTTTTTCTTGGCCACGTTACATTTCTCCAGCAACTCCCTATTCGCCTGCACCACAGTGTTTTGCAAATGATTCTGGATGGCCGCAAACGGGTCGCTCTTGAAGCTCGAATGTGTCTGCACAGCTTTGAGTTGGCCCAGCTCGCGCACAGCCAACTTCTGACGTTGACGGCCACTTAGCGCCTTTTTCTTTTTGTTTACCAAGCTCTTGCTCTTCGTATTGTCCTCAGCGGCCTGACATAGCGAGCTCTGCAGATCCTCCAGATCGGCAAACACACCGCTTGCCTGCGATTTGGCCAGGCTCTGCTGCTCCTCCGTCACACGCGACACCATCCCCATCTTGCGCATAAAGGCAGCACGCCGCTTCAGACGCTTGCGCTGGCCACGGCTCAGGCTCTGCATATCCGCTAAAGCTAATTCCGTATCTTCATCGGCCTCGGCTGCAACGCTTTCTTCTGGCTCGTCGCCGAACGTGGCGGCGACAGCCGCAGCGCCCAATGCGTCTTTCGTTTTTTGTACTTTGTGAAGGCTAGAGGAAGTTTTTGAATGTGCAGCCACAACGTGCGCACGTGGCTTCTTTCGTTGTTGACGAGCCATGGTATACAGCTAATAGCAGAAGACAATGAGAACTGCTAGCGAGATGCACGCGAAGCAGCAGTCACAAGTCGGTTGTAACTAGTGTGCGCTTAACCAGTAATGGTGAGATCGTACTTAACCGAAGTAAAGTAGCATATTACGAGAATAGGTACATTGCATGTTTGAGACAAAAAGTGTATATACCCTTTTTTTGTGCTTGTGCAACCTTACAGGTCAAGTAAAATCGTCAGAGTAGATCTACAACCGTTTGGCGGTTACTTCGTTAACGAAACGTCGTGCCAGGGGCGACTGTGGACAGCCAGTTTGTCACCACAGAGACACGAGCGTAGACGCCAGGGTATCCGGCACGTCCGCACCCGTTGCCCCAGCTCACGACACCAATGAGCACGTCCTCAGTTGGCTGCTCCGTAATGAGCGGTCCACCAGAATCACCCTGGCACGAGTCGACATCTAGTTCCCCGCCGGCGCACAGCATTGTGTTGTCGATTTCCAGGACCTTGGCACACGCAGTGTTGTTCACGAGTGGCACGTCGACACGAAGTAATTCGATGGAAGGGCTTCCGCCTTGAGAAGTAGCACCCCAACCCATGACCGTCGCTTTGCCACCAGCGGATAAGTTGGAGCGATCAGACGTGGCGAGCGCAATGGGCGGAAACGAACTGGCTTTCTCTAGCTCAAGCACCAAAAAGTCGTACGAGTTGGTCTCGCTCGCGTACTGCGGATGACGTACCTTATTCACAACCTTAAGTTGCTCGCCATCCTTGGTGCCGCTGATGAAATGTGTGCCAACTGAAACGTACTGGATATCCCCCGCCATACAGTGAGCAGCACTGAGCACGTGTGATGGCGTGATGAGGGAGCCACCGCAGAAGTCCGTACCATTGGCTGTAGAGCGCACACCCGTCGTGTATGTCTTGGTACCAGGAGGCACAACACCTCCGCGAAGAATGAGTTGTTCGATATTGATGGAAGCTGCCGACTCGGGCTTTGATAGGAGTTGCGAAATGTACTCTTGGTAGTTGAGTTTGATTGGAAAGTTCTCGCTGTCTAACTCTAGCTGCCCGTCGACATTGGCCAGCAGGACGGTTACAATGGCTGCGAGTCGAGCAAGTCCCGAGAAGCTCATGCTGTTGATGAAGCGGAGCAAAGGCGATTGAAGAATGTAGAAAGCTTGCCATGGTTTAAAATACGCGTAGGAGTGAGGCTGTGAGCTTAGCAACCACTAGGTTTAGCGAACCATATTACATAAATGCAAGCGTCCCCGATGGACAGAACGCTTTGTGGTTATTGCGCATGTAATCGTTATCAGACTGGATTGCCAATACAATTGTAATTGATCCGTTGAACAAAGTGTGCTTATCTGAGTCAGGAGCTCAGATGAGTAGGAGCACTTCAACTTGGTTTGCGTGTCAGACACAGCATAACGCCATGTCAAGTATGCGACGTAAAAACAAGTCGTAATTCATTTTATCATATGAAGCTTTTTCCAGCACCGACGGTCGGCGACAGTGAGACGCGCTACTGTTTTTTCCTGCCCATTGCCTCGACACAGCAAACATCAGAAGACAATCTCCACACAGCAGAGCAGTATTGCAGCGCTTTTTTGTCCTTTGCAGTAGAGCAGACGCAGGATTTTATATGGCACAAGCACCATTTCCACCTCACCGTAGTTCCCCACATAAATGGGCGTTATATTCTGTCCGGATGTTCAAGTGTCGGTGATGCTATCCGGGATGAGTGGGTTGTTGCTAAATTGGTATTTGACATAACTATCAAGTTTCCAGGTGTAGTCGGGCGTGTTGCGGACTCAGATGGAGAGTTTTTGCTTATTGAAAGTGCCGAAGCGCTGCCAGATTGGGTCACACCTGAAGACAGCGATCGTCGGATATTTGTCCTAAACGGGAAGCTACAAATTGCACCACCTGCAATGATTGGTAAGAGAGGCAACACAGGAGACTTCTACGATGAAGATGCATTGGAGCAAGTGCTGGATATTAGTGTGAAGACGGAGGTCAGTCCTGCGGTGCAGCAATTGATTCAGCACAAATTGGATCAAGTGCCGACCTATATGCGCGACAATTGTCATCGAGTAAGGTGTTTATTGCCAAAGAGAGCTGCGCAGGTTATTGCTGAGAACAACAACATAGTGGGCCCAGCAGTTGAAGCGTTTTACTATCGAGAACCAAAGCAGACGGGCCTCGTATGTGGCAAGATGGCAACGTTCATGCCGGAAGGGGATAAAGTAGTGGAGCAGAGAGTCACATTCTCGCGAGCGATGTTTGCTCAGCTCAAGTATCAGGAATTCTTTCCACCAAAAGTGTTTCTTCGTCGCGATGCACGCTACCGTGAGTTGGAAAGCTTGAAAGATGGAGAGAACGCCTTTCCTGATACACAGGCAGCGGACATTGGCGTTAAACTTGCCTGTGGTCTGGAGCTAGTATATATTGGTGACCATAAAGACCAGCTTGGACGACCTTGGAAACAAATAATCGACGAAGAGCTGCAGCATAATGGCACAAAGTTTTTGGCACAACCAACTGAGCCAGACGATGACGATTCGTGGCTGTACATGCACCCCGACACGCTGGAAAGTCAACTGCAGCGTGCTGCTATGGCAGGAGATGCTTCCACTGCTGGTGGTGCTGACGAACTGCAAAGCATGGCCGCCATGTTTGGCAAATTTATGGACGGAGTCTCCGGTGTTGAAGGCGTAGAAGGAGCGGAGCCTGTTCAATTCGACATGAGCTCCTTCATGGAAATTTTGAACGGTCATGAAGTGAGGAGCAAAGGCACTGCAGACTTATGTGCACCTTGGGGAGAGCACTTCATGGATGATAACGAAAACGAGAGTGATGCTGAGTCAGCTCGGGAAGAAAGTGGTGACAGAGATCTTTTTTCTGGACGAGGCAATGGCCGAAATGGAGGCGGAGTTAGCAGGAACCGAAGTTGCAAAAAGCTTTACACGTTTTGAGGAACCGGGCGACAGTGAAAAGGAGGCTGAGCCTTTGCTTCACTCGACAGACGAGCAAGTCGGCTCTATGTCCTTTTCATCAGCAAAACCATTGGACTTGGATTATAATTTGCTGTCTAACTTGCTGGAGTCATTTGCATCTCAAGAGGGTCATGCCGGACCTGTTGGCACCATTCTAAACGAAATGAGCTTTTTCTAGACTATGGCATGGCGAAGCGTGCATTAAGTGTGGCCATGTACAAAGCAAAGCCATGTGTAGACATTAACAAGATGTGCTAGGTTAGCATACAAACAATTTTTAGCTGTCGGCAGTGTTCGTCATGTTATCTGTGCCGGTGTTTACAGACTCACACTCTATAGGTGCTGCGATTACTGGGACGGTTGAAGTGTCAATCGGCACTGCAACATCAGCCGCTGGTGCTGGATTGTCGCCTTGGCACCATGAGAAAAAAAATTGCCGCGCCTGAGCTTCTCGCCCTTCAATCCTCTTCAGCTTTTCTGCCATTACCTTGAGCTGTGCAGACAAACACACAATGAGAGGGAAATGAGACCATAATGAAGGCGTCTCATAGGATGAGCAACAACAAAACCACTTTCCTCTGCTTCAAGCACCTTTTTTTCCAACTCCATCACCCGAACCTTCTCCTCCAGAGCTAACACCACCTGCTGTGGATATAGCAACGGCTTTGGTGGCAATGATGTCGGCTGTGTCGTCACGGGATCATTAAACTGCCTGAAAATATCACATTAGCTTTTCTGCCACATGTACCAAAGTGTATGATCCGTATCTGTCCTTAAAGGAAATTCTAGCCCTTCAAAGTCATCAGGAGACCATGCTGATTGCCCATGAGGCTCTCAAACGTCGATATGTGGGATCAGTCAATTGTTTGACTTTGGAGTGCGGCAAGAAAGATACTTTAAGCCATGCTGCACCACATCGAGCAAACCCCAGAACATACAAACAAACACCACACAATGCGTGATATCGGAAGCCCCACGTACCCTAGGCGTTGTTGTAGAAGACCATTGGTCTCAGTGCCTTCACCTTCAGTGTTACGCAGCTCGTGCATAAAGTCGTGAACCGCTGAGATTTTTAGTTCAATAGCTCGTGAAACCTTCAGCTGCTGCATGTGCAAGGATTCAATGGTCTGCACCCGCTGGTTCAGTGATTGTATTGCCTCCACGAGGCTATGATTGCGCTCATAGAGCTCACGTGTCATGATCTTTTCATGCAGCAAAGCCCTCTCAGCCTCAGATTGCGCTAGACGTCCTTCTAACACCTCATTCCGCCGAGAAGCAGCTTCAAGGAGCTTGCTTTGCTCCTCGCTGTGAGCTCGCATCAAGGTCTCTTCGGTCATACTCTGCTGTCGACGTGCAATTTGTTCACTTGTCAGCATTGACAAAATACGAGCAAGTGTACCTTCCACGCGTGGTTGGTATTGTAGCAACTGCAATAACGTGGTCTGGATACCAAGCTGCATTGTTGTAAGCTCCCCGCTTTTGTTGCTGCTGTTGCTGTTGTTCCTTTCTTGGTTGTCTTCTTCAAGTCGACGTCGCTTGTGCTTCTTTGCAGCACCAGGTAACGTCTCACCATCTTTTGTGTTAGAGGCGCCTACAATGCAAGCATCTACCGACGGCTGTAGTCGGTTCTGCGCAAAAGATCCAGTGTGATTGGTGATGTCGGACAACACGCTGCTGCCAGTGGAAGCGGCAGTGATAGCGGCAGCTTGCTTAATGCTGTCAAACCGCACGGGTCTGGTTGGCATAGGTTTTTGATGGGGTGAAGAGCTGACAATGGCCACTGGAGCAGTAGAGCTATGGAGAACCGACTGAGACTGCTCTCGGTGTAAGTTTTCTGGGTTAGGCTGAGATCTTGGCTTAGGCTGTTGCTTTCGGGACCAGCAAATCGATTCTGACAATTGTTGTGGCATCTCAATTGGCGGGGCACATTTCTGACGCAAACCCACGGACTGGTTCGACTTTTCGTGCAGACAGACCGACTGTAATGATTGATGTGTTTCAAGTGACTGCTGTAAGGCTGAAAGAGCTACGCAAGCTGCAGATTCGGCTTTATTTAAAGAAATTTGTGCCGGCACGCACGTTATACAAGCAACAAAATATCTGTTAGAAAAACAGCATCATGAAGACCATTTCACAAACTTACATAACGTACGAGTTGCTGAAATTGATCGAGAAGGGGTCCCGATAGAAGACGGTGGTTGCGTCAGTACAGCTTGGGACAAAGCGAGTAAATAGAGATCGTCCAGCCACTGGTGCGAACCTGCGTAACCACCGAAGACAAGCAACTTTTGAACAGCATCTAATCCCACAGGATCTGCTTGCAACAAAACCGTGGCATGTGCCGTCCGTCCGACAGGAGCTTCATTATGTCGGGACGCTTGGCTGCTTGGTCGGCGGTTTAGTCTTCGATTGTTGCTTGGATCACCATGAACAAGGCGCCAAACGCGTGTGCTGACGTTATAAATGAAGAGCTCGTTCTCACGTATCGCACGCCGTCGTCCACCAAAAAGCACCAAATGGCATGGTGCCACGAAAGTGATAGAGTGGTTGATGCGGCATGAAGGTCGATCTCCCAGCGTCGCGCCCGCCAAAGAATCCCACCGGGAGTGCACTACATCGTACAAGAAAAGTGATCCAAATTCTTGTTTGCCATCCGTTCCACCAAACAAAAATAACGTGTTTCCATCATCACTCGCCGTCAGTCCCGCAAATGCACGCGGCTGCGGCAGCTGTCCTGTCGGACTCACTGTCGGCTTTACCCACTGATTTAATGAAGAGTCGTAGTAAAAGATGTCGTTAAAAAACGTCGATGAGGTTGCATCTTTGCCTCCAAACACGAACACTTGTTCTCCACCTACGACGACGCTGCTGTGAGCATGTCTTGCTCTCGGTTTCCACATACTTGCACCATCAACGCGTTGCAAATTCCATTGGGCCTCCAGTATTGTTTGCCTCACTCTTAGCTCTTCCACTCTCAAAGTCAGTGCATCAAAAACCATAGCAACATTTGCAGCGTCTCCTTCCGCCTGTGTGTCATGCCCACTTTGGTCTGAAATTTTACTACTAGCTACCACCACGTTACCAATCACCAGTACTCTCATTCCATGCACTTTCTCGTCTTCTGCCGAGCTCAGCACGTAGTGCATCGTGTGATAATCTCTGCCTCCTCCAGGGTATAGAAACGTAGGCGCACAATTTTCCACCCCCCGGCACAATAGCTTCAGTGTTTATACTATTCTCATTACTACAACAAGCACTAGAAAACATGGGCGAGCAAGTCAGTTGACCGTCAAACGTCGTGTTCCGGGACACAACGAGTCTCTTCCACTGCATGTCGTTAGTATCGTCTCCTCTTCTGTTACTGCTGTTTTTACACGTCACCATGCGTCCAGGTCGGTTACTTTTGTCTCCATATTGCGTTGGTTCTACCACAAAAACGTCCTCAAAGAAGATTTTTCCGTCCGCGCCGCCAAAAAGCAAAACGCTGCTAGTGGGTGGCAAAAAAGTCATGGCGTGGCCAGACCGTGCAGCGGGAGAGGAAGAAACATTGTGCGAAGATGAAGACGTATGTGGAGAAGAAGATGCATCAAGTTTTGTCCATAACGGTGCAGTAGAAGATGATGAAAACATTGATGCGCCAACGCTCTCGAGAGTCGTCAAAGCTGCATGAGCTCGAACAATGTTTGACTAGCGCAAGTGTTGACCTTTGAATTTAAATATACCCGGACATATGTGAATATAGAGGTTACAACTGACCTACTGCTTTGCATTGTTTACGACTTAACGAGGGTACACGGATGTAAACTACGATCGTAAGTATCTTTTGTAGCCAAGCTACCATAGCTAAGCTACCATAACTAAGCTACAAAGATGCACCATGTGCAGGCAAAGGAAGACAAGCTCTTTACTTCTTTCAGGTTCTTAATCCTCACGCCTTTCTTGGTTATACATATACAACCAGCTTTTCTAGTCTTATTAATACAATTTCCTTAGCAAGAGATAATGATTCAAGCAGAAACTACTTATCAAGGCTAATTCATTTAGTTTCTACCTTCTAACACTAATATAGGATCATCTATCCTATACTTAGTACTAGTCACTATATTTAACTGCCTCTGTAGCCTTTCTTAATATATATACCATATCTAACCATAGTAATTAACCACTCATTTACCTTAGGTACGGTCATACCAAGGAGGGTGTAACCCAACGTACCCCAGGTATAGACACAGCACAATGGTGTCGCAGGGGTTTATGTATAATAAACCCACGACCTTTGTGTCATCTCGTTACACTCCCCCACCAAACCGTACGATTTTTTGAGCTAACAGTAAACGTCCTGGAGACTTTACGATTAGATTTGCTCTAAAAAACGTAAATGCTATCAACACTGCTTAATAATAGCCTTGAGCATATAAATGCTCAACACTTGCTCATTGAGCACTAAGTGTTCCTATCACTTGCTCCTTAAGCGCTCACAGTCTTTGCACATTGCACCTTACAAAAGATACAACTTTACACGCGTAAATCTCTGCACACGAAGCAGTTACGTATCCCCATCACGGATAAGGCAACGCACCTTTAGCTCTTCGGAGATGATGACAGTAAAGTTAAAAGTAATGAGCGACACCGAGTCGTCTTCGGTCCAAAGACCCAACGCTTGCTGAGCGAGGGATGACAGCCTTTGCCAATGTCCCTTATCGATTTGCAATAAATGCAGAAATACCGAAGGTTCGTTTTTTGCTCTGTCCTCGGTGTACTGAATCCATTAAGGTAGCCTCAACGAAATTGCTGCTATGTCGCTCGGATCCAAAGTCCTGCGAGTCAGCATGTCCTCTAAATCGGCACTTGGAAAAGTGTTCTCCAAACCAGCACATGGAACAGACTGGGACGATTTTTCAAGCAGTAACTTTATTTTCTGGCTAAAACTTAGTGGTAAAATATAGGATGACATGTGTACGAGTAAGTAGGGTGGATATTAACAGATACAAGCAACACCCCCTCGTGGGGGTAGACAGCTTGCTGGTGAGGTAATGCTCGACCCTCTAGGCGGTGACCATGCCTTCAGGCACTTGGAGGTCGAGGCGCGATGCATCTTAATCTTCCGTGAGGTTGTTAGACTGTTGAGGCGGGTCAACTTGCCGGGGTTGGATGACAAGTCAAAAGGACAAGGAAACCCGCACCGTGAAGCGGAGCTTCCGACCTGATGCAGAAGTATTCTTTGAGATCTTCGTTGTGACAGCCAACTTGGTCAGTGCAGGTGTCGAAGCACGGTTCGAACGTGGCGTAAATGAGAGACGGACTTGGTTTTGCGATGCAGTAGAGTTGGTGCGGTGGCATCTTGGCTCGTATCTGACCGCGAGCGGATCGACTTGATCTCAGGAATCAGCAGCGGGGTACTTGGGTAGGAAGTAAAATCTTGTACAATGGACTGGCAGGCCCAAGGGCACTTAAAAGTAGTGGACCCAATGGTCAACCAAAAAGTGGGGGGAGCGTGCCATCGGCGGTATCGGAAAGCCCTGGGGACGAGAGTAGTACGAAAGTCGATGACGAAGTTGAAGCGCGATCTTCGGTTTCACCTTTACGGAGTTGTAAGCAGGAACGAGATGATCATCCATCCTTAAAGCCTTGTGAAACAAGACGTAAGGACTTTCAAGCGTGCCTATAGTGTAGCCTGAAGCTACCATTAGCCACATGGCTTAGGAGAGTGATGATACGTGTTATTCATTGAAAAGTGATTACCTGCGGCCCAATTCTGCTTAAAAGACACGAGGACACACGATTTGAATCCACGTAACGGGGTATGTGCGGCACGCAGCAAGCTGGTCGATAGGCGGGATGACGGCCGGTATACCTAATCTGACTTAACTGTCGGACCATAGGCCCGAGAAAGTATCCAACCCGGTTCAACTTGGCTGCCTTGATATGGCGGACCGCCTGTTTAGTAAGGATCATATACGTCTAACCTGGATGCCCCGGATAGCGTCCGGGCAGGACTACAGCACAGATATGTTCCAAAGTGTAGTAGTATAACCATAGTGAAGCAGAATTAGCGTAGACATTGTATAGAAAGATAGTAATAAACACGCTAATCGAGCAAATCGAACACCATTATCCACAAATATCCTGAAGATATGTGTCGCAACGAGGAAATGTGGATAGACTAGTGATCGTAAAGCATGTAAAATGGCAAATGAAGCATTATCAGTCCAATTCCACAGTAATATTAGGGGAAGAGGACGAACACATATAGAAAGTAAATGAAAGATCTAAGTGAAGGCGCAAGAAGACTTGCCAATCCTTTTGTTCCACGTAGAACATCATATTGCGTAAGTGTAGATCCACATAAGCGAAACAGTGATGACAAACAAAACCGGCATTTGTAGAAGTCCTGGGTTGTAAAGTCGCTTGTTGCGATGATGCGAAAGAGACCGGAGGACATAGCAGCGAACAACATCGAAGCCGATCAGAACCTCGCGATTTCCCAAAACCAGGGTTGTAGACAGAAATATACGCAGGAAAGCCAGAAACGTAACGTGGGTTTACATGATTTTCCATTCAAACAGACTCAAAAAAATTCTGCAAAAGAAATTCCCATTGAAAGTTGCCACTCAGCAGAGCCAATTTTGATAGATAGCGGTCTCAATGGCGTCGAAATCATGGATGCAAGTCAAGGATGCGCTAACTTTAGTACGTCAGCGAAACTTGTACCGGAAGCCAACGCGTTGTTTTGAAGACAAATTTAACATCGGCCGCGACTAAAAGAACATGAGGCGATCAAGCCCAAAATCCAAGCTCCAGACTCCAGCCGGAGCTGAAAACTCGGGAGCACAATCTTGTTGTAACGGAAGCTGAGAGATCGAGGACCTGTGCGTAAAGAAACAAAAAAGACGAAAAAAAGTTTCTACTCGTCATGTCCATCACCAACGTCTCGCCAATACTCCAATAATGCCGCGCCGATTTGATCAAGCGCAAAAAAATACAATGCCGAAAGAAGGCAAAACTTGGTCGACAAACAGTTTAAAACGTGGGATCACTTCGGTAATAAACCTAGGCTTGGAGGCGAGGCGCGTAAAATCGTCGACGCGTAAAATAGACTTTGAGTACGCAGAGAAGGAGAGGTATCTACAAATAACTGCTGCCTTCAGAGTCCAAGCTGTTGCAGCAAGCCACTTACTTCGAAAGCTTGAAAAATGGGTAGCGAGTCGAGCCAAAAAGAAGATTAAAATTGTTCCAAAATGACGCCGTTTGCGCAAAATGTTTCCAGTCCGACGTTTCGCAAGTCGGCTGTATATCAGTCCACAGGCGTAGAGTGGAACACCAGAACGAATGAACATACTTCCTTAAGCCATTAAGGTACTCCGGAGGTAACTAAAAAAGCTGACCCCAGCACTGACGATAACCCGCCGCTATTCGAGTTAGATCATCCGTACGAATCCATCAAACGCCTGATATTCAGGAATCGGAAAGCGCAAAAAATCTTGCCGCGGCGGTCGAAAGAAGTGGCTACAATCCCGTTCACTGGAGTGTAAGTCAGCAAAAAAAATTTGAATTGGTTTCGAGTTTTGACTGCGCCTCTCTGAATCTGCAGCAGCAGCTACTTCTGCTCCACATCTGCAAGGATCTGATCAGTCGATGCCGCGTTATGAAGGTCGTAAGCGTCATTGATCGCTGTGACCAGTGCCGACGCTCGTCGAGCGTCGAGGTCGCTTAGCTCCAACCATCGCCGCTTTTAGTAAACACATTCCGCACGTTTGTTCTCGTCCGGAAAACAACCAGGAGTAGGACTAGATAAAATCTTAACACGACGGTCTAATTCAGCAACGGAGGCAACTAGATAAGCCCGAAAAGAGAGATTTTTGAGTAGCCAAGGAAAACATCGCCACGGAAGCTGACGTCCTCGAGGGAGTGGCTTTGCCTGGAGCCGAAACTACACCAGAATAAAATCTTCAGTATGCCACCGTCAATCTCGCACGTGGCCGAAGTCAACCAAATGATCTTGCACAAAGTTAGCGGTGATAAGGCAATGGTCTAGGCGGTTCTTGCGGGTAAGAATCGCAAAGTCACGCGTATCCGGGTGCATATAGCGCCACAAATCTATCAAACCAAGCGCGTCCATCCAAGCACAAAGATCATTACGCTCGGAGCCAGGATGATGCAGACCGGGAACCTTCTGATCCAAATATCTGCCCAAGGTCAAGTTGATTTTCCCGACAACAAGGTGTCGGGCAGCACGTTCAGCAGCCGTATCCAGAAACTTAGTCGGAAGCATACAAAAACCCGCTACGTTCCGATGGTTCGTTCATAAGGAGCGTGAAGCACAAAATCTAAACTGGATCATCGCCCAGCCGAGCCAGAAGGAAAAAGTACCTGTTTGTAAGCGGTAAGGCGCAGACATTAGTCGTGAGGTCGTGGACTTCCTGGAAAAGCGTAGCTGAGGAGAAAACAAGGCCCACACCATGGCGCCCCGGAAAAGCAATTGAAGAAAAGTCAGACCAAAAGCACTGCGCACCGGAGTCTCTGACGCAAAAATAAAATGTCCGTTGGACTACAAAGCATCAGGGTTGACGAACTTGGTTTCCTGAAACGCGACCAGCTGATATGTGGAATGAAGACGCTCGTGGGTGGTTTAACCCATTGATGTTGTGCGATAAGCCAGTAAGGGCTCACGCCGCTTTAGTGGTGAGCAGGGACCACCTGACGCAGTCATAACCGCCGGAAGAAAGGAGCCTTGAGTGCTTAGATTGCTTGGCGAACGTCGTATGGAATACGCAGATCTATTAAAATGCAGTTATCACATCCGACGAGTGACACGCTGCACGACCCAAAGCATGGAGGGTGTGTGGTGGAGCCGTTTCTGGCGAGGCACATTTCCGATATTTACTGGCTTGCAGTACCCTTTTTCGGCTGCTGAAGTTGCCATTCTAAGTGGTTAAGAATTCTAAAACGGAGTCCTAGTTACTGATCAATGATGTATCGACACATGACCTTATGACTAGAATTTACAACGTACTACAGCGAATTCGGTCAAAGATGGAGTGCTGCAACTGTGTTGCCAAGCTGTCTTGTCCATTGTATGTAGGTAGCATCATAGAAACATCCACTATAAACCGGCGCAATCCATCGGTGCACAAAAAACTAAAGTTTTATGTTATTTAGCTGAACTCAAACTGTTTGGATGTGACATTGAATTGGCCCTGCAGCACCTCTTACATGCAACGAGGGATAAAGTAAGCATCGGGTCTACTGCAATCGCAGAATTTGGTAATAATGTGATAAACTACGCTGCTTTGGGAAGTAAAGACTTGAATTGCGTTGCCTGGCTATAAATCATTATGAATCGTAAGAAGGTGCGCTAATGCGGTGGTTGCGCGAGCACAGTTTCGGACAAAGTTTGTACGTTTGAACCACTTGGCCCCTTGTGCAAACCTGCGTAACCCACCGAAGACAAGCAACTTTTGACAACAGTTTACACCACAAGATCTGCGTCCAACGCCACAAAAAGTCCTCAAAGAAGAATTTTCCGTCTGCGATGCATGAGCTTGAAAAGTGTTTGAATAGCGCAAGTGTTGACTTTTGAATTTGGATATGCCCTGAATACGAGAGTTACAAGTGTGCCACTGCTTTTCATTGTTTACGACTTTACGGTGGTACACGGATGTTAGCAAACTGCGATCGTAAGTATCTTAGACCGAAGCTTCCTTTTAATACGTTGCAGATAGTTATTTCCTAACGTCCCACCACTATAATTTTTTGCATTCTTGGACCGCATAGTCAATCCAAACAGGTTCATTGTAACCTAATTTTCATCCGCTTGAATAAACTTCAGATACTTCTCAAAGGCAAAAATGCCATCAGGTGTAAACTCTTGACGTCGTGATAGAATCTCATCCGCTGTCATTGTGAGAACCTCATCAACTTCATCTTTCTGCAATACCAGTGGACCGTCAAACGTGCAGTCAAAGAGTCCACCCCAGACACGGCTATAGCCGTCTCCATAGTAAAATGTTGTCAAGTAACGCAACGGCGTGTTCTTCACACCCATCTCTTCTTCAGCTTCGCGCTCCGCATTCACGTTCATTGGTTCACCGTATTGCACAACTCCACCGGTCGTTGGGTCCAGCATTCCCGCACAATAATCCTTGATCATCGTTCGGCGCTGCACATAGTACTTGCCACTAGTCATCCATGACAGTAAGCTATTGGTTCTGACCAAGGTATCTCCTGTAAACAAACCTGGAGTTCTTGATCACGGTATAGGACGCACGATGTGGAAGATTGAACGCACGCTGGAACATATGTGGCATTGAAAAGAATCAATCAATTGCTTCGTGGAAAAAAGATAAGCTGACAGATTTGACTCGTAGCGAGCTTACCATGACAGCACGGTCGGCCTTACCAATCACATTATTGTCCTTGTCAACGATACAAACCTGAGTAGGATAAAAGACACACACACACATAAAGGGGTTAGCGCTATTTCGATGGAAACATCGCGCAATGTAGGCCGTGGACCTCTTCCTTTGCGCTTGTAGCCATTTGTCTTGAAATGCTGAAGCAATATTCGTATTTAGCATGAGTGCGCGATAGCTTCAGCTTTATCTAAGGAAGATACATGATTACAGGTTGTATCAATGCTAGAAAGCTTTGGTAGTCACGAACAGACAGCACTTGACCTTTGATCAAGCAAGAACCAATATAACTTGATTGTCACAACTGCTTTGGGTTACCATGATGTCAGCCTTTGCAATGGACTGTGCAAATACTGCACTTTTAGTCCAGTATCTATGAACGGATACAATCACTTTATCAGTAGCTGCACTCAAATCGAAGGCGGACAACGTAGATGTAATGCAAACACTTTACACTAGCCAGACTGCAGTGCAATAAGCTCATACTGACTGTAATGTCGTGATTGATCTTCATCTACATTATTCTTGATGCCTTCGTTTCACCTGGACGAGATGGAGCAAACGACCTGAACTAGTGACCGATAGTAGCAATTACAAAACTCAATTGTCAATTACTAGGTCCAACTCCGAGACACTTGCAGCTCTTAGAACGGATTGTCCTCGGACTAGGAGACATGGAATGTAGAATACTCAGTTTACCTTCTCCTTTTTATTCTCGCGACTCAACTGCTTTCCAACAAATGTATCCATGCCGTTCAGACCTCCACCCAATCGGACCACCACATCATACAATGCTACAGGTAGTAGTCGTGAGATAGAAGGAGCCCACGACAATGGTATCCGTCTCCAGCCCGAAAAGCACGACACTACTAACTCAGTGTTGCTGTTTCTCATGGCACGATAAATCGTGTCAGCAACTTCGGATTCGGAAAGCATAGGAATGCAAAAGCGCGCGATCTTGAGCGCCCAATCGCTCGCAGCCAAGGCACCAGCAAACATGCCAGTATCCACTGCAGCAGGGCAGATCAGAAGCGTTCGAATTGACTTGACGTTGTCGTGCCAAAGCTCCAAACGTACTGTCCATTATCACCTTATACATTAGTATACTGCAAACTCAATAGCACTGCGCTTAACCAACTCACCAGCTTCGTGGAAAGCATTGACGGCAGCTTTGCTCGCACAGTAGTCAGCCAGTCCTGCACTGCTCATCATCCCCATGACCGATGATACCGTTACAAGCAGTGCTTCCGGTGCTTTCTTCATTGACGATAGTGCTGCTTTCACCGTCCAGAAATGTGCCAGCGTATTCACTGCAAAGGTTTTTTGAATTTGCTCGGGTGTCAAAGCTTTCAGTGGACGGCCCATTACTACACCTGAAAATAGTTTACCCATTGCATATATCATCAAGTATTAGATCAAGGAACCAAAAAAAATGTCTTGTGTGGATCGCACAACTACTACTCACCGGCATTGTTCACCAATACATTAATATGTTTTGGAGCCACATGACGAATTACACAGGCAAGGCATGCACTTACAGCTCTATTGTTTCACGCATACAACAAAGTCAATGGTACTGCACGCCTCTCAATCTCTTTGGTTCTTGATTCAATATAAAAGCAATGACGATAACCGAACGCATCTCTCACATCGAATCAGCAACGTCACAGTCGTATATAAACACGTGTTTCTCCTTTTCATTCGACGCTAATAACTCAATCTGAAGCTTTTCAAGAGCTTCCACATCAACATCCACGAGTGCTAATGTCACATTGGCAGCTTCAGTAAAAACCTTCCAAGCTAAGCTTCTTCCAATACCATGTGCTGCACCAGTGATTATGATTACTTTATTATCCAATGAAAATACCTCTCGTTGCTTCATGCGAGCAACAATCCATCCTACCACGAAACATGCTGCTGCTGCTACCGTGACAAACCACATTTGTTTTGGTGGTGACTCAGACTCACTCCACAATATAAGAAACCAGAGGTTTTTTTGTTGAAAATATGCAGTTTTTAGTTTCATCCAATCAAATGATCGAACAGACTTACCAACGAAATACCTAGTCTTCTATTATTAGCGTGATAGTAAACATCATGCCATGCACAATCAAGATTCGACTCGTGGAAGCACGTGATATGCCAATAGTTGATCGAACGAATAAATTAGCAGATGCATATGTTTGTATCACGTTTGCAAGCTTTGAAGCCAGATCATCCGTGATGAAAAAGACCTTAAATCCAAAATGGGACGAAGAATTTCGCTTTGATGTCGCCGATGATTCCGTCTTACAGAGTCAACCAATTGAATTTAAGCTCATGGATCATGATGTTTACACGACAGATGCTACGGTTGGTATTGTCTATGTGGATCTCAATTGTCTTCTTATGCGAGACGGACATGGGATCCAAGGCTGGTTCCCAGTCTATGATACACTCTTGGGTGTTCGGTGTGAATTGAGTCTAGTTATTCGTCTTCAGTATTTTGGAGATGTGAATCCATTTCGTGAATCTTCAGCCGGTGTGCAGTTTTTTGGCTTATCAACACTAGATCCGAGTTTATACCGGATTGAGAGTATGCTGGGTTTCGTGGAAGAGCTCGTGGTGCATGCAGATCCAGAGTATTCATGGAGTGATAATTTTCGCACGTCTAGAAGAAGCAATGAACATCGACAATTGCTACTGTATAGATTGTCATCTCAAGTAGTAACAATGGTTGGTAAAAAGGCGCTGGAACTTGGAGGGAATGCAGTGTTGGCGTACAAACAGTTCTTTGATGTGGAAGGAGATAGCGGCTTGGTCGCACGTGCGTGTGGTACTGCGTGCTATATCACACCGGTAGAAAAAAACGACAAGAGTTTTGGAGACAGTGGTGGCAATCAACAACGTACACATAGTGAGGATGGACATGACAACGAGCTGAAGGTAAGCACCAGCAAGGACGAGATTCTAGCGGCGGGAGGCGATGGTGTGGATGCTTTGGTGTCGCCACGGTATTTCCCACGGCGTGTACTGAAGTCACTCAAGGCGCCAGAAGTGTTCAATATCTCAGCCCATGATGTAAGTGTTAATGTACTTGCTGCAGTTACGCATTGATCTTGCAGCCCTTATCGTAGCTTTGGGGCTGATGACGCGTTTAGGAGGTACAATTGATTACGCTGAAAGTCTTTAATCCTGCAACGAGAATACGTCTGGCTGGCATTGTCAGCGCGCGGTCTGTGAAGTATCTAGGCAAGTTGGCAACAAAGTTGGCTGATCAAGAAACACGAGACTCCTGGTGGCTTGAGCTCCGTGAAGAGGTACATTTATTCTTTGTAGATTTGTGAAGTGAAGTATCAAATGTGCATGTCTAGATTCTTGTAACGGATATCCATTTGACTCCAAAATCTATTTGCATGCTGTGATCGTAGATCCGGGCTCATGCACAATCACTGCAATGCCCCTTCATTATCGGCTACACTGAGACATGTACCATTCACGACGATGTCTGTGTAATTTCAGCCTCGTACGTTATCCGGATGCCTCATTTCCGATTAGCCGGCTACTTACCACGCAAAGTTTAACATCTTGCTTGTAAATGTGATTAGAGGAACTGCTGCTGTCCTGAAAAATCCTCTTGAAGAGCGGCTGACTCGACGAGATATGGTGACGAGTAATGACGCGGTTGATGATGGCCCAGATATGCACGCAGCAGCGTCACCGATGTTAAATTGCTCGCTGCCGGACTTTTCTGCCTCTCTTAGTCGCTGTAGCCCATCGTTTTTGTTGCCATCGCAGTCCCCAGTAGCACCATATCGAGCAAAGCCAAGGTTGACATACCACAAAAGTGTGTTCTACAGAGTTGGCTTCTGTTACTAACGCAATTCCATGATGCTGAGTAGAAGAAGCGCCGTGTCTAAATCTCCTTGTCTTTTGTGTCACATTCCGTACTCGCGATCACTGGCACCATTTTCCAAGTACGTTGAGACCGTTGCTGTTGTACCCATCAATGTGTGGTTAGTTAGTCTGACCATGGCTGTGCAGTATGCGGATGGTGCGTTGTGGTGTATGTGGAAACAAATGGGTTCCAGAGATGATGATTGCGTCCATCGAGCCTCCTGCCGGCCTTGCTATGGTGGGTAAAGGAGCTTTCATTCAGGCTCGGGTTTGTCGTCAGCGCAGGAAAGGAACCGGTGACGTAAATGCAACAATTGTGTCCAACGCGTTGCCATTCCTTGAATACGAGCTCTATCGGCAGGTAAATTGTTGTTTGAGTATCCATTCGCGCGTCCTTTAGCCGCCTCGGAATTATAAACTAACATGTTGGTCTTTTCTCCAGCTCATTGTCAAGATGAAAGTGCTTGGCGTGAACGCCGTGTTTGCGTTTAACTCTCAGATTCAAGTCGGCGGCTCACTTATAGTCGGTGTCATTACTGGAACTGGCCTTTACCTTCCTGCTCTTCCACCTCCGCCAACGCTTCGAATTGAGCGAAATATTGATGTAAGTTTGCAAGCGCATTGTTTTATCATGTAGTGTAGGAAAACCCATTCTGACCCAACTATGATCAGGTCAAAGATGATGAAGATCGACGGCTTGTTCAACTCCAGACACAAATTGAGGAACTCAGCACATACAACACAGACAGGGTACATTTTTTCTAAATGGTCTCTCTCAACACCTCGGCCTAACTTCTGTGCTTTGTGTTGACCTTCATTTGACGATACGAAAAGCTTCATCGCGACAGTGTCTGCATCATCCAGCCCGAGCACGAATACTGTCCTGGAGGCAGAAACGCGCGCAACCAATTTCAGGCTTACAAGTTGCTTTCTTTAGATCCGGATAATGACAACTGGAAAGGTTTTGGGCGTTCATTTTGCACAACCCAGGCTCGGTCCTCAAGACGATCGCGACGAAGACATCTGTCACCACAGCCTCCTCTGGATGATGAAATTCATACCGAAACAAGCACGAATACGGTCAATGCAGCTACCGCAGAAATGTCACCAATAGCTCCAGACGATGACACTACGATGTCCTTAGGGGGTGTACGAACACCTCCGGCTCCAGCATCCCAGACCTCTCTTGACAATGATTCCAAGACACTGAGCTCGTCTTCAGAGTCAAGTTCCGGGTCAGAGGAAGAAGCCTTTGTTGATGGTTTCAGTGACTTAAAGGAGACTTTTGTTTTGGAGATCGACGACGAAACCGATGAAGACTTGATGTCAGTCTTGCTTGAGCAAGAATTGCCAGAGGTGCGAGAATGTTGTACATTTTATCGCATGCAATGCGCGTTCAAACTTGACATTATTATCCTACTGTGTGTGTATGTGCCTGCAGGGGATCTACATGTGCAACACGGATCGTCTCCCGGGGGACTTTGTGCCTGGTGAAAATGTGCACTTAATTGTTTCTATGAAGCGAGTCGAATGGGACGAAGACGGTATGCGCGACACGCGCCTGAACGAGCTACTCTCAGTTGTATTCCAGGAGCTCTTTGCGAGGTGCGTACTTGATGGCTGTGCGTCCAACGCATTCCATTATTCCTAGTATTTGACAACTTGCTTTTGTTCAGTCTTTTGTTTAAAGTGCGCTCGTATGCTCCGTGTGCTATATGCGGCTTGAAGACGCGAGTAGCAGTAGCTTCTGAAACGATGGTATGTGCTCCATGGTTTATTGTATTTATAGCACATGCAGTCGATCTTAACAGAACTACATTTTTTGCAGCTCGAAGTCGTTCTGAGTGGTATGGTGATACTGGAGAAAAATTTGGAAGGTCCGCTCGATAACCTTTTGACGAATGCTGCAATGGCGCTGGACGTGGAAGATTCTCTACAAGCTGCTGATTCGTTGGGCAACTCCAGTTCAACGTCGTCAGGACTGTGCGATATTCCACTTCGTGGCAAAGGTTTTTCAAAACTCACTATGGCGTCAGGATCTGGTCGTAGTGCAACGATTGTGCCGGCTCCGTACGGTCGTGAATGGATTGAGCTTACCCCACTTGGATACATTCCTGGTGCTCACGTGACACGCTACCTTGGTCGTGTAACACTTCACTTTATCAAGGAAAGCTGGACAGTGCGTGAAAGTGGTGGTTTGGGTGCCTTTTACCATTTGTTTCTAAGTGAAGCAATTGCAATTGTTCGTGCGCACGTGCGATCACTGGGTGGAAATGCCATGCTGACGTTTCGTCTCGTTCCTATTGAATCGAGTCAATTGTACCGGAATCAAGTGTACAATATGATTAGTATTACGGGTGACGTTGTGATGATTATGCGTCAAGTGAGTGTCGCATATCCACTTCCTTTTGACGGGTCCACTTCTCCTCGTCCTGCAGTAAAACAGAGAGACATTCCTGAAGACGTTCTTGCTAAACGTTACAATCTACAAGTAAACCCATAGTTTGTCACCTGTATATTCTAATAGTTTTGATGTAAGCTTCAATCGTCAGAAAACACAATACCGAGACGGTATCGGTATTTACTATCTCGTATGCTCCACGTAAATCATACCTTACATTGTATCACCTCATCCTAACATAACGCACATAATGTGTACCACGTCATAAACACCTCCCATTTCATCCGTAGGCCGCGTCATTCCTCCATACGTCGTCAAGTAAACCTCTCTCTCTCTCTTTCTTTCTTTCCCTCTTATATCCATTCATCATGGCAATGCCAACAATGGCTGCAATTGCAAAACGAATGACAGGTGGTACAAATGATTCTAAATTCTTTAGTACGACTAAAAAAGGAGAAACGCATGAATTACGACAAGAATTAGCAAATCCAAGTCGTGAAAAGAAAAAAAGATGCAGTAAAGAAAGTAATTGCTAATATGACTGTAGGAAAAGATGTCTCAATGCTCTTTACAGACGTTGTTAATTGTATTCAAACAGCTGATACACAATTGAAGAAACTTGTGTATTTATACTTGATTAATTATGCCAAGAGTAATCCGGATCTTACAATCTTAGCCGTAAATACTTTTGTTAAGGACGCTGCTGATCCAAATCCACTCATTCGAGCACTCTCAGTTCGTACAATGGGCTGTATTCGCGTTGATCGGATTACAGAATATCTCTGTGAACCTTTACGTCGTTGTTTACAGGATGAAGACCCGTATGTTCGAAAGACGGCAGCTATTTGTGTCTCAAAACTCTATGATATTAATCCAGATATGGTCGAAGTACAAGGTTTTCTTGACATGTTGAAAGAACTGATCTCGGACTCCAACCCGACAGTTGTCGCGAATGCTATTGCAGCTTTGTCTGAAATCTCAGAGAATAGCGGAGGTGTCATGGCTTTCAAAATCACCAAGTCTGTGCTTCAAAAGCTCTTGGCAGCACTTAATGAGTGCAATGAGTGGGGACAGGTTTTTGTGCTTGATGCTCTGGCAGGATATACGCCGGCAGACTCTCGAGAGGCGGAAGGGATTATTGAACGGGTGACACCACGTCTTCAGCACGCCAATTCAGCCGTTGTACTATCGGCAGTCAAGGTCATTATGAAATTTTTGGAAAAGGTCTCGGACGCTGATACGGAACGCAGTCTTTCGCGCAAAATGGCACCTCCGCTGGTGACGCTGCTGTCGGCTGAGCCAGAGATTCAATACGTTGCTTTACGTAACATTAACCTGATTGTGCAGAGACGACCGGCGATCTTGGCGAGCGAGATTAAGGTATTCTTTTGCAAGTACAACGACCCGATCTATGTGAAGATGGAAAAGCTGGAGATTATCATCCGTCTTGTCTCGGAGCGCAACATAGAACAGGTACTGCTTGAGTTCAAGGAATACGCCACTGAGGTAGATATGGAATTTGTACGCCGTTCCGTACGTGCTATTGGTCGCTGCGCTGTGAAGCTCGAGCGTGCTGCAGAAAAATGTATTAATGTGCTATTGGAGCTTATTCAGACCAAGGTCAACTATATTGTGCAGGAGGCTATTATTGTGATTAAGGACATTTTTCGCAAGTATCCAAACCAGTACGAGAGTATCATTGCTACCCTATGTGAGAACCTGGATACGCTGGATGAACCCGAGGCAAAGGCATCTATGATTTGGATTATTGGTGAGTATGCCGAGCGTATTGACAATGCAGACGAGCTCTTGGAGTCGTTCCTGGACTCCTTTGACGATGAGACTGCCCAAGTCCAGCTGCAGCTATTGACTGCTACCGTAAAACTCTTTTTAAAACGTCCAAATGAGACGCAGGAAATGGTACAAAAGGTGCTCCACAAAGCTACGGAAGAATCGGACAACCCGGATCTACGTGATCGTGGCTACGTGTACTGGCGCCTACTTTCGGCTAATCCAGAAGCAGCTCATGCTGTCGTGCTTGCTGAAAAACCCGTTATCAGTGACAATACATATACTCTAGAGCCTTCGGTTTTGGACGAGCTGATCGGAAAGATCTCGACACTTGCCAGTGTCTACCACAAGTTGCCCAGTGCATTTGTTGTGCGCTCGACGGTATCAGACCCACGCGATCACCGCCAAAATGACGATCGTAGCAACAACGATGAAGATGAAAGCTCATCCGACCAGCCAAAAGATGGACAGAGCAGCCAAAAGGCTGGCGGTCACGTGGATCTGCTTAATATGGGTGATCTCACTCTTGGAGGTCCTACCCCAACTGCTTCTGTTTCTGTGGCAGCAACGTCATCAAGCGCAAGCTTGGTCGATATTTTTGGTGGCCCTGCTGCCCCACCTGCCCCAATGGCAGTCAGCGATGGTGCAGTCCAGAAAAAGCTTCTGATGAATGCGCAACAAGGCAAGGGCCTGGTGATGTCGGGCGTTTTTGCACGTCGCAGTGGCAACTTTGTACTTGACGTAGACTTTGAAAACCAGTCGTCTGCTCCAATTACGAGTGTCAGCATCCAGTTCAACAAGAGCACGTTTGGTGTGGTGCCAATGCAGGCAACAATTACGTTCCCACAGCCTCTGGCACCGGGTCAAACGGTAAACCAGGTTGTGCCAATGAGTGTGAGCCCACAATTTGTCAACGCTGCTGTAGCACCGAACCTCAATCTGCAGGTTGCGATCAAGAACAACTCTAGTGGCGATGTGGTATACTTCCAGTCAGAAATAGATCTCTCGGTGATTTTTACTGAAACCGGCAGCATGGCGTCGACTGAGTTTATCAGCATGTGGCAGGGTATCGCTGAAGCTAACGAGCACTACTTTACGTTGGTAACGGGTGCACGTGGCGTTGATGCCGTGTCAGAGCGACTGGGCCGCAACAACGTTTTTTACGTAGCTAAGCGGCCCATCGACGACAAAGAGATTGCGTATTTCTCGGTCAAGACCATGACGAATATCGTAGCACTTTTCGAGTTCACATTCGACAACACGGATACGACGAAGGTATGTCTCAAAATGGAGCAGAAGGCTTTCAGCACGCTGCTGCAACAAACAATGGAGCGTTTGCTATTGTAAGAAGAGTTGACATTATCACGCTGCTTAGCGATCGCAGCTCTTTAGGACTGGCGTCACTAACACCCCGTAAGCATAACGTAAAGTGAGGCTCATTTCTTGAATTGGTACATCTCATACGATTAACATGCTGAAAAAAATTAGAAAACGTGGAGAAATTGAAATACATCAGACGGACCAATGAGGCTGTCAGATGTAGTTCCATTTGTACCAGCTTCGAAGCGCGAGGGTCACTAGAATTGAAATGACACTAGTCACTTTTGGTGGTTGAATTCGGCACAAGAAGAAACTTTGACCTCTTGTTCACGTGATAAATAACAATCGACGTCTATCGAGAGACATGCTTTAATCCTACTCTATCGCTCACAACCAAACCATATAAGTTTGTGGTGTTCATGGCCACCATCCGTACAAGCCATTTACCGTTACTCTCTTCTTTCAAGAACGATCAATGAATGAATAATATTGCAAAGGCGAGTGTGATTCCAAGTTTGTGCTTCTTATGGAGACAGATTGTGTGTGTATGCTTCCAATGATTATGGGCAATAAATATCACGCGAGGTTGACGTTATAGTTTTCATGATGCGTGCGTGAAACCTAGGCAAAGGAGCATTGTGGGCATCGATGACAGTACCTCGTCAGTAGGGAGCGGTAGTCCCTTTCAAAAGACGTGTTCGCCACACATCACTACTGTGCATGGTGTAGTTTGTACCACATAGCCGCACGAAGGCCAGGCGGTTGCGTCACTATGGTGCCTGCAGGCTTGGCCACATGATTGCGTAAACTACCCAGTTTAAGCCTTGCACGAACTTCGCCAACTTCCGACCTGGCATCTTCAGATGTTCGAACCGACTCGGACCGGTAAGAAAGTCAATCTGTGCTTGACGAGGATGTCCTTCTGCACTAGTTTGATCAACACATGGAGCCGAATCGTCGTTTTTTTCTGCTTTTCACCAGCTGGAAGATCCCTATGCTATCGATGCGATCACCGAACGAAACTGGTAAGATTTTGAGAACAAGATGCATGACGAGCATGTGGTCCTTTTATCATGTGGTTTCGTCTCCTCTATTCCGTTGAAGCGTGTAAGCGACGGTTATGCATTGTCGTGAGTAAAGCTTAGCGCGAGTTGTCCTCTTGTTGTGATTCGAGTGATTACCGACCGATGAGTATTCGGTGTAGATCATGTCACCGTATGGCCTCGAGTTGCATCGTGGCAACAAGGAAAACAGCACTTGCACACGGTCCAGTGATTTGTTGACGGGCAGTTATTTATGGTCATCGCCACGGCATGGAACAATGCTGAGAGAGGTGTTAAGTGCGTCAGCCGAGGACGCATTGCTATTAACGGCCGTTGTTAGCAATCCCGCCACATAAATAGATTAGAGCTCATTTTTCAATTTCCTCGTGCATTCGCACGTTGACTCGGGGTCTTACTTGCCTCTCATACATCACAAGTTATTAATCATGTCACTGGAACCTCTCTCAGTATTTCCGGGTTGTATCAGCGATGATCTCGAGCCGATTGATTTGGAGCTTCTTAGTTTGATTGCTGCTGATGACACTGATACTTTTCTTCCAATGGAAGTTGATGACAGTAGCAAGAAATTTGTCGATGACTTTGCCCCTTTGAATCCTACGTCGACACCGATGGCAGTGGACGCGTTCAACCCCGGCTTCTCAAAGCTGGAGGTGCAGGATCTCATGAGTCTTCTTGCACCCGAGGCTTTGAAAATACCGGCCATGGTTCGAAGCTATTCGGATCCGATTAAGAAGACCGGCAAGCGCAGCAAGAAGTGCACGTACGCTGCTCGAAGGGTGCGTTGAATTTACATTCTAAATGCACTTTTAATGACCAAGACGCTAACTTTTATGCTTGTTTATGATATACAGAGAGAGGTGGCTTTTCTCCGCGAGGAATCGGTAGTGCTCGAGACACGTCTGAATGCGTTACGTAAGAACTGCTTTGTGTCAACTCGAACACGCAAAAAGGCTGATCGTGAAATGTACAATCTGGCAAAGTCCCAGGAGGAGAACAAACGTCTTCGTGCTTTGGTATCAAGCCAAGAGGCCAAGATCCGTCAAGCTGACGCGTATATGGTCAGTGTCAGCTACCCGCAGCAACCGTCTTCGTCCTATCAAGTGGTACCGCACTTTCATGCAAAAACGGTGTCTTTTTTGAGTCGATCTAGCTCAAGTCTAGGTCGAGTGTTTAGTTTGCTGTGTAAAGTGCTTAATGTTTATAAAATTTTGATCTCTACAGAATGTGGATGGTTTTTTGGACGGATGAATGACAACGGCTGGAGCTTGAGAGGACGGTATACTCCTTCCTATCCATTCACCTTTGTTGTTTTTGCGTAAAGAAGCAATGTGAGCTTGTCGAATTTTTACATTCATGATATGACGCACATTTCGCCACCTAAATCAGACCAGCTTCGCTCCTGCTCATGTTTGTCCCAACATCTGTGCGCTGACTCACGCAAGCATGTGATATTGTGTAAAAGAAGTATTAGTTCCGAATGTAATTTCCTTGCTATCGCTTACGATCTCAATGCATGGAAGAGTATCAGTAAGACTCTTAGATATGCTAAGACAAACCACATGAGGTTTGATGCACAAGTTTAGATAAACATGTTGGACACTTCTTTTGTTTCACTCTACGATCAAATGTAATTACTTGAGCACAGACATGGTAGGTAGTTTTCATTCCCGATCGCAAAATCGACACAGAAATCCATCAATTCCTCTGTCGTATACTACCGTATGCTTCAGAATGACAGACAAAATTGGTGCGAACTTTGGTAGAGTAACAAATTTCTCTTACGCTTCTTCAGCGTTAAAGGTACATGTTCCATTGCTTACAGTCTACAATGCACTTGCAGTTATAGGATCAGCAAAAGCACCCTGTGAGAAGCAGAAACGCATAGCGAAGAAAGCTTTATATCAAACAGTCAGCTTCTCGATCGCCTTGTCCACATCATGTCAAACCTTGTTTTCAATCGTTGCTATGCAACAACGGATAAAAATTTTCAATTACTCACTTGACGCGTATATTACTCCACCTTAGTCGATTATCTGCAGGATTGCTTGCGTTCTTACAAGTATACACCATCAAGTCCATAAGTCTTTGCTTCTTCTTTTGATAGTTTCTGGTCTATGTATTCTTGTTGGAACCCTTGATGCTGAATGTCGAGTACAATACTTTCGTTCCACGCACAATTTACACACCAAATGAACAATAGGATCTATACCGTGTCATACCACCCAAACCATGCCCGAACACAACTAGAATTCGAAGTGCATGTCTCCAAAGCCTTTTCGACCTTTCCATCGTAGGATTTACTCTACCAGCGCATCGCATTGCAACCATCATTTTATCGTCTTTGTAACGCTTTTTCGCAGCATTCAGCACTTTTACACAGCTTCGCCGTCGTCGGACATACGCTTTTGCATTGCAGTTATTTATGCAGTCACCTGACAAGTGAACGAGCTCTGTCTAGTCGCTAATCTCCAGCTTTCGGTAAACGATTTGCTGTCACCGTATTGATCCCGTAGTGTATTTGTGCAGTGAGATATCCTGCTAAGAAAGTGGCCCGTGTTTGAAACGAGTTAAGTTTTCTTTCCTTTGCTCTCAGGCGTTGCTACAATACAGAGCCAACACGATCGACACGTCGAAAATGACGTCAAATGCAGGAATAATACGTATTTACTCTTGCCGTATTTGCTGTGTCGTGTAGAATAACAGCATCCCTGCCTTGGTTGAGGTTCTGTATGAATTCATAGGCTCCTGAACCTTCTCTAGACATTTGCTTCTTTATGATCTGCTATGGATAGGTACCGTACGAAGACTGATACAGGCTCATTTTTTTCTCATCAAACGCTGTTTAAAAACAGCGCCTAATGACATGCACTACATAGAGAGCAGCCCATATCTTGACTAGCCACAAGCTACCATTCATGTTTATTTGTACATCTCGGACTTGTATGAAGCAATCCAATTGCAGTGAAGATGAATGACGGATACATCGATATTTGAGACCTGCAACTGTCTCATGAGCATGCCATGATTCCTGCGCACATCATTGATAAACTGTCGCACACCAGTTGTGATCATACTAAGATGGGCTGGCGAAGCAAACTGTTTTCCAATTTTTCGAGCGGCAAATGTCCTTGCTTCGAGCTGTTCACTTTGCAATCGTCGTCCAAAAGCCGAAGTCTATCGAGTTGATCGAGTTTATACTGCAATCACCTTATCACGCGTCCAGCAATGCGTTTCTACTATATCGCTCTAGCTGTTGCTTCTGCTTTATGTACAAGCACTGATGGTCTTGAGGCTGTCTCCGGTTCGACTGGACACACTTTGCTGAGAATTGACACTGTTACGGGACAGCAGCAAAACGATGAAGGCAAGACGCGATTCCTGGTTGGTGTAAGTACAGATGCATCGCCAGTCAAGGTTCCAAGCGAATACTCGTTTTCTACGCTGCAGGATAGCAAGAATCGTAGGCTTAGGGAGGAATCTTTTTTTGGGTTATTAAACGATGACGATGACGATGACAATGACGACAACGATGATGTTAACAGTGGCGATAGCAGTGGCAATAGCAGGAGATAGAGTGACAATAGCAGTGACGATGACGATAACAGTGGCGATAGCAGTGGCAATAGCAGTGACGATGACGATAACAGTGGCGATAGCAGTGGCAATAGCAGTGAAGATGACGATAACAGTGGCGATAGCAGTGGCAATAGCAGTGACGATGACGATAACAATGACGATAGTAATGACGACCACTAGCACGTTGATGATAAGTATTACGGTGACGTTTAAAAGCAAGCTAAAGAGCAAAAGGCGGAAGAATACGAAGAATGGGCTCGTGAAAACGTTAAAGATGCGGTTCAAGGAGAATACAAAAACCTGAAAAGTGGAGCATCGGAGCAACTGATACACCACCATCGTCATTACAATTGGATGGGTTAAAGGCACCGTTACACCGTTACCCATAAGACTAACTGCTTTGTTTACGTGAAAATTTGTTACGGACTTATCTGCATCTAATACATGTAACACACATATTTGACCCTGAACACTGTAAGTGAATTGTAGTCAATTCAGAAGCAGCCAAAGAAAGTTAATACATCATTGTCCTGCCGATTGATTCAATCAGTATTTGCAACGACACGTATCGGTTTTGAAATGTCGTATTAATATCTATTTGAACCGCAGCTTTAAATCCGACACTTTGACCTATGTTCAAGGTATTCGTACCTTTATCGTATATGTTGCCACCACAAGCTTGGATATTTTGGCAGAAGTGGTGAGTAGACTACATGTCAAAAGAGGTAAACTCGTTGGCTACGTTCAATAAAATAGGACGTTTGTTATAGCACCGGTTATTTGCATAACACAGTAGAAATATACGGCATCAAGTCCACAAGTCTTTGCCTCCTTTTTTAATTTTTTCTGTTTTTTTTTTTTTTTTTGAAAATAGTCGTAAATTTTTTTTTTTCTCCTGCTTTTCAGCCATCCTGCGAAAGGTAGTGATTACGGTGACCACTAAAGCGTTTACCCAAAGCTGGAGACTAGCGACTAGATAGACTCGCTACTTCGTCAGCTGCATGTATGACTGCACAGCAAAAGCGTATGTCCGATAACGGCGAAGCTGTGTAAAAGTGCTGAATGCTGTGAAAAAGCGTTTCCAAATGACGATGAAATGATGGTTGCAATGAGATGCGCTGGCAGAGCGAATCCTGCGACGGAAAGGTCAAAAGGACTATGTGGACATGCTCTTGAAGTTCTAGTTGTGTTCGGGCATGGTTTGGGTGGTATGACACGGTATAGATCTTATTGCTCATTTGGTGTGTATATCGCGCGAGGAACGAAGGGACTGTACTTGACAATTACTAAGAGTGCAACATCAAGGCATCCCACCCAGTCACTAGACATTAGACGGGATGTCAGGTTACAATGAGTATATATAACTATTTTTGGCTGCTTCTGAATTGACTACAATCACGTTCAATGTTTCGTGTATTACATGTATTAGATGCACGTACAAATTTTCACGTAAACAAAGCAGTTCGTCTAAGAGAATTACTAACGGGGTACTGGTTTCTTAAATCAAGAACTTATAATGACAACGACGGTGATAAGTCATCTTCTCCGATGATTCACTTTCCAAATGTTCGTGTTCATCCTTTACCGCATCTTTCAACCGCCACTGTCATTGTGATCGTGATTGTTATCGACTTAATTACGGCCATTTGGATTGAACCAATAAGTTTCGGCCATGGTTGAAAAAATCAAGCCAACGTTCTTCACTTTCTGCATTCTTAGGCGGCTGTTTCGGATCAGTGTCCCGTCTCAGTGAAGTGGGCCAGCCGAATCGGAGAGAGACCATCAGTGCTTGTATATAAAGCAGTAGTAACAACTAGTGCGATATAGTAGAAACGCATTGCTGGGCGCGTGATAAGGTAATTGCAGTATAAACTTGATAGACTCGATAAACTTCGGCTTTTGGATGACGATTGCAAAATGAAGAGCTCAAAGCAAAGACATTTTGTTGAGTTAAAGGAAAACAACGAAGCATATAGTTATTTAGGTCCTTGTTTCTATGTCATCCGCTTCCATCATAAGAAACGTTATCGCACCTATGTAGTCTTATCGCCTTATAATGATGTTCTGGTAATCAGTCTTACCGCTGATAGCTGCAGCACACCTAAAAGGTAACACACGCTTACTTAATGTTCGAAGGAAGTAACTTACAACCGATGATCAACAACATTCGACAAAGGTGTACGTCCATAACCATTTACATTCGGCAACCTTGTCAACACAATTGTCATTCAAGAAATACGGAACACATCAGCTAAGCAGCCCCATCTTAGTATGACCTTAGCTGTTGTGAGAAGATTTTGATTTTCGATGTGCGCAGGAATCACGGCATGCTCATGAGAAAGTTGCAGGTCTCAAATGTCGATGTATCCGTCATTCATCATTACTGCAATCGGATTGCTTTTTGCAAGTCTGAGACATAGAAATAAACATGAATGGTAGCTTGTGGCTAGTCAGGATATGGGCTGCTCTATATGTAGTGCATGACGCTAATATCCATTTTTTGGTAAGCGCTTCATGGTCACCGTATTGATCCCGTCGTGGTTTGTGCATGTGAGATATCCCGCTAAAGGTTGGGCAGTGCTTGAGACAAAAAAAACAAAGTTTTCTTTCGTTTGAGAGAGTGACAATCTATTTGACGTTATGATTAGCAAGACGCCTGGAATGCTCTAATCAAAGTGAACAATACCGTGAGGTTGCTTACCACCATGTGCGTCTCTTGGGGTTTTCTATCGATGCGCCTTGGCACCTTGGCATCATGCGAGCCAATACTATCTCAAAGAGGCTGCTCACGCGGCCCGTTGATCTAGCGTGAGCGCAGGTTTATACACCTCGCCTCAGTGAGTGCCTATTGTAAAGCCGTAGGGCGCTCGAGCGCGGTAGCATGGCCGACTGCGCGTCTAGCGGGGCGAAGCCCCCCTTGTCACCGTTGACGCGATCCTGGAAGCTGACTTCTGCGACCGCCGAAGCGATGACGCGTACCACGGAAACGCCGCTAGCCAAAAACTCTTCTGTATACTGACCGCTTGCGCAGCCATCTTTTTCCCTCTTGTTTTCAGGCGAAGCTACAATGTAGCAGTATCCACTGCCTTGGTTGATTTTCTGTACGATCAACAGGTTCATGTATCTTTTCTAGACATTTGCTCCTTCAAGATCTGCTATGAATAGTACCGTCCGACGAGCGATACATGCACAATTCTTTTTTCTTCATACCGCGTCTTCTAGCGTCTTCGTAAAGCAGTACATATAGACCAGGTCATGTCCTGACTAGCTACAAGCTACCTACCATTCATCTTCATTTGTATGTCTTGGACTTGTGTGAAGCAATCTAATTGTAGTAAAGATGACGATACATTGAGTTTTGAGACCGCAACATCTTCATGATTCCTGTAGCAGTTGTGACTACGGAAGATGGGCTGGTTGAGCTAAATGGTTTACATTTCTTAACCTGTTTTATTCTTCAATTTGTACTCAACTACAAACTCCCAAGAAGGAATGACCCGCCAACCGTTTCCTAAATTTAGCTGGATCGTTTTCTTGATTGATATTGCTCTCAGTTCCGCTACAAGCGTATCAAACTCCCAGCCTCTTCCAAGTGCTGATTTGGAGAAAACTGGACCCGAGCAAAACTTAACAGCAAACAAATTTAAAACGAGCGACTGAGCTAGAAAACGTCGAAGAGAGAATGGGATTAACGAGTATTTATGAAAATATTCCAAAGCATGTAGATAAATTATCATCGAGCGCAGTGCCGGCCGCTAAAGTAACAAGAGAACGATTTCCTGATGATTTGTTCACGCAACGCTTTGATGGTTAATTCATAAATAACGACGACCTCGACATTATCAAGCTTAAATTGTGGGTGTCCGATACGACGATGATAGCGTTCGGAAATGATCGAATACTTGTCGTCTCGCTTTGACACTGCTAGAGCCTTACATTTTCCGGATGTTTGCGTCGTCGCTACTCGATTACACAAGTGGGACACGATCCTCAGACGTCGCATTCGAGTTAATGCAGCTCGATCACAAAAATTTCTTGGCAAACTTCTTTCTTATGTCGTGGTTAAATCACGAGAAATGGCCGACAAAGCGTGCTCCTGAAGAGTTTATGATTGCCAAAGTGAAGAAATTTTACAAGACGAAGGAAGATGTTGTTGCAGCGCCGGACGATGCAATACATAAACAGAAACATTTGTGGAAAACTGAAAGAGGCTCTTGATGAATAGGTTGTTGGAGAAGGTGCAAAAACTTCCGGCAAGCTGGTAAGTCTAGGCGGATGCTTTTGTAGTGTGACGGAACAAGAGCAGCGAGTAGGCTTTGAAAATTCGGTAATAGCACTTCATCTACTTTGCTGACTTGCCGCTCGTCGAGTAGCAAGTTGCAGTAGTTTACGTGGGATGCATTCTATTACTGCTGTTACAACCCAGATATTTCTTTGGAGTGTTCAATGTAGACCTCATGAAGCAAAATATGAATAGCAATTACGACTGCTGTATTTACATACTTGTTAGTTGAATATATAATCAAGTAGATCTGCAAGTGTTGCGTTTAAAAAAGTCCCGTTACTCAAACGCAAACTCCACGTTGAGTTCAGTTAGAAATTTCTAGGGACTGGTGTGCTACAAAACTGATGGGTTCGCTTTTACCGGATGATGGAAATGTGTCGATCGGGTCCATGATTGCAAGATATTCACGTACTTCTGCCGGCGACTTGCCAGCTTCCACTAATCTCGTAAGCACCTCTGCACGCAGTTTTTGTCGGTTCTCTTCTTGTCGAGTACGCAGTTCAAACTGCTTAAGTTCCAGCTCCTGCTGTTTCACTGCAAGTCGTTGAGCTTCCACTTTTAACGCCTGATCATTTGCCTCAGGCATTGTCAACTCATCCAGTGGACTCGACGGTGCGGACGTCGCCAGGACCGTCCCAAGAGCACGTTTTATCTGCGTTTTTCGTTTCAAGGGTGACAAATTCTCATCGTCATTCACGGCCTCTCTCTTGGCGCTGGAGAGATCTCGGCAGACCGTATCGTGCTCCCTCGACACCAATGGAGATCTAGAACTACTTTCTTCCGATCTCTGGCCAAGACTTTCCGACCTGAATCTACTCTCTACGTCCTTATCTGGTCCAAATAGAGCATCAACACGTCTAAAAAATGATGGCAAGTCATGTGGGCTCTGGCGCTTGGCTTTGCGATAGGCTGCCATGAAACTCTCAAAGCGACTGCGCGCCGTCTTTTCCGACCAATCGGTGTGCACCACTTGGTTCATATGTTGAGCCATTGATCGATACCCATCCATTTTCTTCACACGTTTGGGCTGTGATAATGTTGACGAATCGTTTGATCTGGCGCCCATGGGTTTCGTAAGCAGCTCAAAGTTACCCGGGAGCTCCAACCACTCAAGTAGACACTGACGTTGTGCCGCTGTCGTATGCGAGTACTTGCGCTTTATACTTTGAAGTGTACTGGGTGTATCAGTATCATGTCCACTAGCAGTATCTGACCATGGAGACGGTGGTGTCTGGAAGTGCCGAGTTCCTGGCATTGAAGACATGATAGACTGTCGAAATAATGTGAGGTGTGTAATGTCGAATTCATTCGAGTTGCGCACACTTCGAATAGGTGTCAGTAAAAGTATACACTTGATACTTAAATGAGACTCTACCTTATTTGAATAATTGCGTTTTTAAGCTTTTTTTCAGTACTTCATTACAAAACCAACACAGAATTTTTATAGCAGAGTTAGACGTATACTTAAATAGAGTTCGACCGCCATAAACGTCAAAACAAGATGGAACTCACGACGCTGACTACATATGTCGAGAAACTAGAGAACTATCTACAGTGGGATCCTATTCAGAATCGACAAGGTCAAGAAAAACACCTTTTTGTACAAGCATTAACTGAGCTTGCTGCTTTACCACTGGATAGCATTAATATGGAGATCCGCAGGCTGCTTGTCGTCCCGACTACTGGAACTCTATCTCAGGAAACCACTTTAAACACAATAGATTATCATACAGGAAAAGTGGAGACAAGACCAATGCATTTACGCAATGTTATTGCAGCACTAAGTGCACGTGACGTACTGCTGAAGTGTAAAGCTGCAAATGCGGTGGGTTCATTGTGCATTTCACGGGTTGCTGGCCAACAACTGCTGGATTTGTATGGAGACGAGATACTGAAAAGCGTTTCCAAGATGGCGATGGGCAAAAATCAGTGGATGCAAGGAGATGCCTTCTTTGTACTCGGATGGATGGTTGTTATTGCAGACAAATCCATGTTGGTGTCAATTGGAGACCTCCTACCGACCGTGATCAGAGGTTTGCATCGGAATTTGAAGTTATCCTTGGAGAAAGAAGCTGACGCTGACAAAGAGATGAAAAAAGTTGCGAGACGGCGGTCCAAAGCGGCGTTAATCTCGTCGGAGCAAGCCTCAAACTTTCGGATATATGCGCTTGTGCTGCTGTTAAATTTTAGTCAACGACATGTAAATGTATTTGAAAACCAATTGGAGAGACTACTGCCGATGTTACGAGACTTAGTGGCGAGGCTGCTCGATTCCGTGCCGTATGCATTCGTAGACGACGAATGTACGATTTCAGACTTGACTACGACGATATTTTTTGATGCATCCGAGTACGCAGAAGTGTTGAGATTGACCGTTGCTCTCTTAAGTGTAATTGCCGATCAGCTTGACAGTGTCGGTCCTCAACTTTTAGAGCTCAAGGCGTTGCCTTGTATAATAAAACTCCAGCGAGTGCCCGATTTACCTCAAATTTGTGAACTTGTTGGTGAAACGGCGAGACAAGATATTGCTGAGAGAGTAAGAGCAGTTGTGGAGATTCTCCTCAAATGTAGATAGCCATCTAGTACGCCCGAAGGAAGTTAGCAGTTATTGCAATAAAGTTATTCCACGCACTTGTATTCATTCAAATATCGTGGTGTGCATTGTTCATGCTCACTCTACTGGTACGGTTCAGGTTAAGTTGACGTGCTACCGCCTGTTAGCAAAAAAATAGTCAAGTCTGAAAGAAGCAGTTGCTTCAAAAAGTACTTTTTTGAAGAGTTGCAAACCGGTATTTGTCCGTATCGAATGATTGAACCATATATATGCCAGGAAAATAAGACTATCTAAATTTAATCACTGTCAAAAAATTAGACACTGACGTCCTTTTAAACGCTTGATTCTAAAAAAATCACCACCAGAGCGATTCTAACGTAGGTGGTCGGTCGATCATGCCGTCTGATACAGCCGACACTATCGATTCCATCCTCGTAACGGCTGCAGACTTTCACAAAGACAAGTATAAACTCTTGCAGCTAACTCCTGAGCTTGAACAGACTCTTACTACTGGCAGCACGTTTGTCATGTTTTTCTCGTCGATGCAAATCTGTAGCATGTTTAAATTTCTACTTTTTGATACATTTGACAAAACGTGTAAATTTGTGATGCTGTATATTTAAACAGGGTCTTTCTTGTCGGTGGACTGGATGCTCGAGCAGTTCTATGCACTGAGGATCGATCGTACTTTATCAAGAAGGAAGACACGTCGAACCTGCGACTATTGACCACTAACACAGACTGGAGCGGAGCTGAGCAGACAACGATTCAAGTGTCAGGAGCTGCTCGATTTCATTATCTGGTAGGATGCTTCAGGATACCTCCTCTGGCACTAGGGTCATTATCCAAAGAGTGTGTCTTGTGAAAAATGCTGAATAAAGCTGCGTTGTCTATAGCTTGAAGACAAACTTCCTGATGCTACGCAGCTCCGAGCTTTGCTGCTAGAATCTCCATACGTCAAGGCTCAATGTGATGCGATCGAGTCTCAAACAAAACGGGCAAAGTTGCACAAATTGTACTCGACAAGTGACTTGGTTAGTACATTGCAAGTGAGTGAGCACGAAGTCTTGATGATGCTGAAGGAGGTGCACGCCTTTGAAGAAGCAGGCGTATGGCGTTTGTTGGGACTGCAGTATCAGACACAAGTTTTTACGGACATGCTAGATGTCATTGTGCAGCATGATTGGGACGTATTATCGGAACCAGGGGTGCCAGTGAAGCACTTCCTGACGAAACTTGATGAACCGCTGGTGGCGATTCGTCAATGTTGCAAGCTGTACGGTTTGTTGAAGCTGGTGAATGGAGAGGATCATTGCATGCTGGATCCGGTGAAAATTGCTACCTTTCGAGCAAAGTCATTGTTTGATGAGCAAACTGAAGAAGCAAAGTTTCAGGCTCAGGTGGAGCATGTGACATTGAGTCAAGCTGATGCAGGCTGGGAGCTAGACCAGTTCATGGAGAAATGGAAGCTTCGTGTGCCTGACAGCGTGACAGTCAGTCTAGAAATGCTCAGCAGTCTTGTCCTCGTCAAACCTCAGGAGGCAGGCAAGCCAAGCCGGATTGTCTACTTTCCTGAACAAGACTTATCTCCCGAACCGAAAAAACGGTTTGAACAGCTTTTTAACATGCAGGAGAAGTGGACCCTTAAGCAGCTGGAGCCGTATATTAAGTGAGCTCTGTCCACATATGTATTTTTGAAAACTGGCATTGTATTAACCTCATTTGATATGATTGCTACAGGTCGTTGGTTACTCCAAGCACAACACAAGCTTCGCTATTGCTTAAACACACGCGCTCATCGCGCCAAAGCAGATCGACCGAGAAGCTGTACAGCCGGCGGTGATTACTGATTAACGGAGAATAAAACAAAGAGATGCAAAAAAGCTGAAACACCGCAGACATTGACTTGATACTACTGGAACATCGTGTCAATCTGTTAATCCAGTGCTGGAGAATAGCTATGGTAATCTGGCTGCACTCCGCTACACTAAAGGATTGAGCTTTCACAGTTGGCAGGACGGAATGACAAATGGCAGTAAACTGACAGTCATTGACCCAAACCGAAGAAAAGCCCTATGAAACATAGAATACGAATGTAGCTACTGGATGCACATCAAGAACGCAAGTGACCTGCGCTGCTAGTGACTACCGAAAAATATGGAATGTGGGGTGAATGTAACATGAGGTTCAAACAACATTCACAAACCTGGCTACATTCTGGTTATAATGATGTCAAGCGGTTCGTTGATACATAGGTGATGGTGAAAGCATAAGTTCCTTACAGCACAAGCGACTTCATTACGAGCGACATGTCGATGATCTTCCAGTAAAGCCTCATTTGCGCGAGATAAAACTTTGCACTCGAGATAGTACCAATACTCTCTTAATGTCGTGCTATATGACATGAAAATGTTTCAACGTGGCTACTTTGACGAGAGAATGGTCATTGTGGTTCTTTGTATTTGTAGCACCAAAGTTTGCCAGTGTAGAGCAGCAAGATGCATACCACTTGACTTCTTCAATGTTTTCTACAAACCCGCCAAACACGTCGTTGACACCCTATTGTGGAGAGATGATGACATGGCAGTAGCCGCTAGCGTGCACGTTCATTTCTCTACGGTGAACTAACCGTGTGTGTATCAGATACTAGCCCTCAAGTGTTTATCCTGTCAATAGCATTCTTCACAAGACGGCTTCTGTTGGTAACAATCAACACAGGCATATTTGAGATGGCAAACCAATGTTAATCGCTCCTTTTGTGATCATTATACGAAACGACGTCAAAGTTTGATCTTTGCACTGCCTCTTATGCCTTTCTCAGTGAATGGTTTTCTCGATCTCGGTTCTCAATTGCTTCGTCACGGCCACATCGATACGTCAACAAAAATAGCTGTAAAGAGTGAGATATGCTGCAACCAATAGCTCAAACTTTATGCTGTGTCTTTGACCCATTGATCCAATCCCAGGTCATTCCACCGATCCACTTTCTCGTCTGCAGCCCATATTGGCGATTCACCTAAAGTAACACAAACACACATCCAGAACCAACAAGTTTAAATGAATTGATCATCAAAATATCCATGAGATATTTCATAGTAGTTATATATATACATATCAATACAATTACAAACCGGAAGGGCTTTCACTTTCATTCAAGTCAAAATCAAGTTCAGGAGGCACTTCAATTTCTACGTGAGTATAGAGGTATATAAAGTTTAACAGGTTGACCCAAATCATCGCAAGGATATGTCAATACAGACACAAAACCATCGTCAGATAGGGTATCAATAATCCAAGCGTCATCGATGATATCCAAGTAATGCTTGCGTGGGAACAAGCTTGGTAGCTTACTATCCTATAAACAACAATATATCAGTCCATAAGTATCAGTTATCAATTCCTCATCACAACCTCATACTAAACGTTACCATTTTTACTTGACTCAACTACAAGAACTCAAAAAAAAAAACCAAATGGACCCATTTTTTTTGGCGCTCAAAAACAAATTTTCATTTCTAACCAACGTGTTTTCTTCCTGTCACATTTCTATCTGAAAATGGCAGTAAGGAAGCCACCAAATCAGCACAAAGACATCAAAGTAGTCGAACTCGACTTTGTGGCTCTCAAAATGACGCAATGGACGTTCGTTTATCCAAAACCTTATCGTATGTATTACGTCATAAGGCAGAAACGTTTAAATTAGAAATGAAACCATCAGGTTATGTGTCAGTAGCTCAATTACTGGCCCTCCCATTATTTCAATCCGTTTCGGAACAACAAGTGGAAAAAGTGGTACAAAATGATGCAAAAACAGCGTTTTACGCTCACAAGGAACGAGTCTGGACATGGAAAACTCATACGAGCGAATCAGGGACATTCGATGCAATTGGTACAAGACGATCAGCTCTTGATTCCATTGAAAATGCCCATTTCTAGTCGACAATGCGTGCATGGAACGTATCTGAAATTCTGGGATCGGATTTGGAACTTTGGGTTATCCAAAATGACGAGAAATCATATTCATTTTGCTGAGAAGGAAGTCATGGACGATCAAGTGGTGAGTGGCATGCGTTCAAGCTGTAATTTATATGTATACATTGATTTTTGCATGGCAGTTAACGATGGGATCAAGTTTTACAAGTCGAGCAATAATGTCGTGCTAAGTCCTGGTATGGGAGACACTGGTGTGATTGAGAAACGATATTTTATTCGAGCTGTGATGAAAGATGGAACGGTCGTGTATGAGAGGAGGAGTGAGAAAAGCACAGGAGTGAGAAGATGGAGCGAGATTGAAAACAGTTTAGAAAATGGTGACTCCATGCGATTCAAATGATATTTGACTCATCGTCTTGATTGTCTGTTGTTGTTCATTCATCAAACTCCTTCATATGTAACAGGATAGTTGAGTTGAAAGATACGCCTTAGAATTTTCATAGGAGAAGAAGTGTGATCAAGAAACGAATGGAACCAATTGCGTTTGAATTCTTGTTTTGACTAACTGGCTTGACTTGTAAATGCAAAACGAATTCAACGACCATGTAGAGTCACACAACGTAGATTATGGATCTGATGGATCATGAGACGATTGACATGGTACGATTCAGTGAATGATCTTCCACAAATTGACACAACTACAGTCATGTCAAGACGATTCAATGCTAATTTTCGTTTGTCATTGATCTAGTCTTCATATCGAAATAGTCGGTGATACTTTTCAAGGAGTAAGAGCAAAAGCTCATGAAGACTATGACAACTACGAACAGGGTGGCGTCGAGGTATTTGCTACGGTAGCAAAGATGATCAAGTGACAGTATCGTGTCAAGCAGCTTGACATGGACAAAACGCACAAACTTGAAGTGTCCGTCATGTCTCCGTTCTAGATGGAAGAAGACGAGTCGATGACTTGATACTGGTATACAGTCCAGCGCTGAGTCAGTTTGGGATGGTCAAAACAGAACACGAATGCTAGCAATTATGCACCCATACGTGTCCAATCCATAAAACCAGTTGCAAATATTTGACTGCTGGTCACGATCATCATCCCGTTGGTTTCAATGCGATATTTTGGTCGAAGCTTTCGTTTCAAAACCAATTTCGAGCGGTCGATCCTAGCTCTCGTTTCTTCCCCACCAAATTAGTTAGCTCCCAAAGTATCGCATGTTACACTTACTGGTAACGTGCCACCGCCTCAGCGAGGCTTCGTTTCTCTGTGCACATCTGCTCCATCCCACATTCACCCCCGTCTCAAATCTGTTGGGTGACTTCTTCACATACCATAGCCAGTGTTCATTCATTCATCTAGTGCCTTGACAGCTTTTGGTCTTCTCTTCGTTCACTGGTAGCAAACATGGGCAGATATGGTCGATCTAGACCGGTGATTCACGAAAACGGCTTCACCATTAACGGGTGTAACTTCAACGTAGACTCAAAGTACCAGCCAATAGAGGCAATCGGACAGGGCTCCTACGGGGTTGTGTGCTCCGTACGCAACACCCAGACATATGAGAAGCTAGCCATTAAAAAGATTACACCCATGGCTAGCGATGAGTGGGATGCGACTCATACACTGCGCGAAATTCGACTAATACGCTGGCTCGGTGCCCATGAAAACGTAAGTATCCCGACGTCATCTCTTTCTTGTTGTTCATCTTCGTGGCATCTGACAAGTCTTGTTTACTGTCGCCACAGATCATTTCGCTGAAGGACTTGAGCATGTGTAAGGAGAAGGACGAGTTGTACATGATGATGGAGTTAGCTGACACGGATTTGCATCGTCTCATTCAAAGCTCATGTCTTCTTACCGAAGGTCACATCCGAATCATCATGTATCAGGTTCTCTCAGGTGTTAAGGCGATGCACGATAATGGTATACTACACCGTGACTTGAAACCAGGAAACCTCCTGCTCAACCAAGACTGCGAGTTGAAGGTGACAGACTTTGGCCTTGCTCGTATGATGCCGAACAAGTCTCAATCGGGTCTCAAACAGAATTCGGATGACAGAGTATCCATGATGACCGAGTATGTGGTCACACGTTGGTATCGACCGCCAGAGCTTATGCTGGCACCAAACGGCAGCTACGATGGTGCTGTGGACATGTGGTCCATAGGCTGCATTCTTGGAGAGCTAATCGCGCGCAAACCTCTCTTTCCTGGTACAGACTTCATGAACCAGCTCACAAGAGTGTTTCAGGTACTTCCAGTTCCAGAGCCAGAAGATCGAGGCTATACCATTGAAAAAGGCGCTCTCAAATTCTTGTCCTCATTGCCTCCGCCTGCATCTCATGCTCTGGAAGACAAATTAGGCGACGCAGCAGGTCCTCAGGTTCGAGATTTGCTTCGCCGATTGTTGTGCTTTAACCCTAAGAAACGAATCTCAGTAGACGACGCACTAGCACACCCGTTCTTTGATGGCATTCGAGACGAGTGGGGTGAAATCACCCCATTGCATCTTCCACACTCACTAGAGTTCGCCTTTGAGACGCAGTCCTTACCACTTACAACACTGCGGCAATACATCTGGGATGAAGTACTCGCGTTTGCGGATTGTTCAGCGAAGCGGCCCGAAAGCAAACCACAGACTACTAGAACACAGAAAGCTGGAGTCCCGAAAGAATTAACGGCCGGCAGCAATGACACGCCTTCAGATTTGGAAAATGACTCTCGTACCGTCTCGGGCTTCACGCTAAAAGGCTGCAACTTCAATGTGCCAGCAAAGTACAAACCGCTCCGAATACTCAGTGAAAGCTCCGACGGAATTGTGTGCGCGTCGACAGACACGGAGACGAGAAAAAACGTTGCAATCAAAAAGATTACACCGATGGCGGGTGATGGATTCAACGCCAAGCACACGCTGCGTGAAATTCGACTCATGAGGTACTTTGGCAAGCATCCCAACATTGTGTCGCTACAGAGCTTGAGCATGTGCATAAAGAAGGACGAGCTTTACTTGATAATGGATCTTGCAGACACTGATCTCCGCCGCCTTATCCGGAGCAAGACAAAGATCGAGGAAGCACACATTGCGGCCATTATGTACCAACTTGTTTGCGGTGTCCAAACATTGCATGAAAACGGCGTCTTGCACCGCGACCTGAAGCCAGATAATATCCTCGTGACCAAAAACTGTGACGTCAAGATCACAAACTTTGGTCATTCTCGCTACATTCCGCACAGTGACCGCAAAAGCCCTGTACCGTCACCGATATCAGGCCAAGAAGGACAACAACCGCGACACATTGTCGATAAAACGCAGTCGATGAAGACTGAGCACGTTGTCGCTCGCTGGTATCGGGCACCAGAGATCACGCTGACATCTACGGGCACGTACAATAAAGCTGTGGATATGTGGTCGATCGGGTGCATTTTTGGCGAGCTGCTTAACCGTCGGCCAATGTTCCCAGGGGCAGACTTTCTTGATCAGCTTTCACGTGTTTTCTGTGTGCTATCCATGCCGCCGCGTAACGAGCTTGGCTATGAAGTCGAAAGTGACGCGTTGGCTTTCCTTGACAGCTTGCCACCTTGCTCACCATCAGCACTTGACAAACTGTTCCATCATGCATCGTCAGAAGCTGTAAGTTTACTGCGGCAACTGCTGTGTGTAAATCCTGCCCACCGCATTGCGGCAAAACAGGCTTTAGCACACCCGTATTTCAAGACAATCCGGGCCCAGCTTGGAGAACCTCCAGTCTTCCATGTCGAAAAGGTCTTTGACTTTGAGTTCGACTACCAGCACGTCTCTTTCGCTGACTTAAAGGCCCTTCTTCAGAGCGAAGTCCAGCTACTGCAAAACGATGGTCTTCTATCACCGATACCTGTACATGAACCTACCGAGGATGCCGAACAACAACCTGAGGACTTCGTCGATGATGACGACAACAACAATGTCCACGTGCAAGAAGCTGACTCATCTGTGACAAAACGGAATGTTTCTGCCGTAACGTATGATCATCATTGGGAGGAAGCGAAGGCGACCAAAGCTCGCAAGGACGCTTGTGTGCCCACAGGACCGGAGAATGACTCGGAAGTTGATTTGGCAAATGACAAAACGCGTGCTGCTAGGTCTGAAGCATCGTCGGAATCTGAATCAGGCATCCTAAAGCACCGCCGACAACCTCAGCATCAAAAGGATAAAAAGATTGAAGTGATATCTCGGAAGAAGCAGGAAGCAACTGTGGAATTGGGCACGCAGGGCAACGACGATGATGAAAAATCGCACAAAATAATCGTCAATACCGCAGAGCGCTCGACGGTATCTACGCAACCCATTACAACCACCATTTCAAATTCTTTGGTACGACCCGAGAGTGCTGAAACGACAAGCTGGAGCTTAGCCACGTCTTCAGGATCGACAACGAGCAGAAGCAGTTCCGCAGACATCTCATACTGCCCGCAGCGAGACTCTCATACCTACGGCGAAGTCTTGGCCGTTGCAAGCACTAACAGTAGCAATCAACACAACCAGAACGACAATAACGGTTCAGATTCCATTGCGCAGAGAGGGAAAAAGAGTCGCATACATAGTAGCGCAATGGCCTCCACTGCCTCTTCGCGTCTTCACCGCTCAAGGGCTCGCTTTGCTTCGACGTCATCGATTCACACGCTTCGCGGTAGTCAAAGCGGAGCTGTCACGACCGCAGCAACAGTCACGCGATCGGGAACGTCGCGGACATCAAGAAGCAATAACAGTCAGCTCAGCGCATGTGGTGGCGAGCTGATTGACCGCGATCTTGTGAAAAGTAATGCGCTGCGGGGTCCTCAACGTGCAAGTTCTACCATCAATGCTGCAACGGCTTCGTCACTTCGTCGACAGTCTAGCACCGCCGGGACTATACGACCAACTTTATCTGGACAAAACGTGTCGTTGCCCAAGGGTTGGATACGTCGAACACACCCGGATAGCGGACGATTATACTTTTGCTATACCCTCAAGAAGGTGACATCGTCGAAGATGCCGGTTACACTCCAACACCTTGACAACAATTTTGTCGGTACCTCAGGCTCTTCGACATCTTCATTGCCAGTGGCATTTGGCCCGCGTCGGAGCGACACGGCGCTTTTGAGCCAACGATCGGACTCAAGTACCACCAGTTTGCCAAAGGAATGGGTGCGACGCACGGATCCCATAACTGGGCGCCTCTTTTACGTAAACCTTGTTTCCAACCGCTTGTATGCCAAGCTCCCGTCTTCTGTCACCGCTGCTATGCTCAACCTTGGTCGTGAAGCTGTTACCAACAAGCATGTAGTTCATCGAAAAAAAGCAACAGTACCTCACAGTCCACGATTCACGCAAATGTCTTGGCAGCGCAAGAGGCCTCCTGCCATCAGTGACTGAGCCTATTGCTTCTACTTATGATAAAGCGTTTATACCCGCTCGATCTACAACAATGCTTAATCACTCTCATTCACAGACACTAACATTTGCATTCATTTTCCCCATCCTCTCAATACTAACGTATGCATATTGCAACTACGTAACCTCGATGCAAGCAGATATGTGCGTCTGTACAGCAATTCACATACTTTGGCATTTGCCATTGACATCCATAATTACTTCTGAGCAGCATCAACGTTGGCAATCGTGAGCGCAAGAATCTTAAATGCAGCCTGCATATCGCTCAGCTGACAATACTCATTGTCACCATGGTACACTGAGCTCTTGCCAAAGCCTACAAGCGTTAGGTCAAATCCGCCACGTTGCATGTCGCGAACGAGGGGCAGGCTATACAACAGAGTGCAGAATAGTGTTAGATCTTATTACCAATCCAGCCCGCTCCCATCCAGTAAATAATCCCTCACCTTCCACTGATGGAGAATGGCTTTGCTTCTCCCAGGACGTCGCTGATAGCCGAATGGAGAGCTCTGTTGAAACAAATCCATCAATCTACATGTGAGAACAATGTTGTTCGAAAAGCAGTGGAAAGGTACGACAAATACGTACTTGTATCCGGTCGAGTCCAGCGAGCAGGCAATACCTTCATAGTAGTTCTTGTCAAACACAAGTTCCACTTTACCATTTAACTGTTCAGCTGGAAGCGTGTACTTGGACACTGGACCGCGCTTGCCTTCTAGCGACGTAATGTTAGCATTTAGATCATTTACAAACGCTGTCATCTTGGCAATCATCTGCTCATTGTCATGACAGCAATCGTCAAGTATAGATGTGGCCTTTCAACAAGCTACTAGCAACACAGCTATCACAACGAACCTCTTGCATATCATAAAACGGAGACAGACGCACGTCTCCTGCAATTTTGGCCCATGGCGGACTACAGTAAACAACGACATACAAGTACTTGTCAGACAAACAACAACAACCACAAAATGTCATCTTTCCTTGCCCGTACATTTGATTCAGTCCGTTGACCGACGATTCCATGCACGTTGGCTTCATTGTCGATGGACATGAGTAATTGTATTCTTTTTCCTTGTCCAGTGGTCCAAATTCATTGTAAAAATATTCTTGTATCTTTGTCATAGCATCCATGGCTAGTTCCAGTCCATTAATGCCTAAATGTGGCAGTCCACTATGAAATAGCTTGCCCGTGGCTTTCAATGTCCACGTAATTGCACCTGCTGTACCAATACATGGCTGACTATCCGAGCAGTCAACCCAGAACACGGGTCCATTTTTTATAAAGTCAAGTTTTCCACTTTCCATCAACATCTCGACTCCAACGCCTTCAATCTCGCTATTTTCTTCAGAAGCAATTAGTACACCAACTACTTGTGTCTTGGTATCAATGTGATGCTTGGCTAACTCACGAAATAACACTAAAACAACAACAACAAGAGACACACACAAGATCAGTCGAAATTACACCCACAGCTTGCTCCTGATTCTCTTCTTCTCTACTTACACGTTACTAAGGCCACATGTCCTAAACAATCCGTTGTTCCACGTCCATAGAGTTTATCTCCTTCGATCGTCAATAGAAATGGATTTCTTTCCCAAGTTTCTGGATTAGCAGGTACAACGTCCATATGAGCACCCACAAATGCTAATGTAGGAGTGATACTACTGCTTGTTGTTGTCGTCGTCGTCGTCGTCGTATTATCATTCGTATCATGAGGTAGAGATGATGGTGTATACTTGATAATGACATTCCCACGACCTGATACAAACTCTACACGTTCCACTGATAACTGAGAGCCAAGATATGGTGTTAATTCTGCTAATACTAGGTCAGACACGAGGTTTTCTTGCGGAATTAATCCTAATCCAGGCGCATTTTGGACTTTTTTCTAGATTTAGTACAATGTAGCCATATAAGAAAAGAAAGTCGAATGAATGGATGGATAGATGATGATGATGATGTAAACATTGAGGTATATGTATCTATGTATGTATTACGTACGGAAACACTGATGAGTTGACGTAAGAGCTCGATATAATCCTGTTCATTCAAAGTAAGATCCTGTAGCGTGCGCATTGTGTTGGATAAGGTTTTTTTGTCTTTGTTTTAATATGGAGATCGAGAGGAGAAATATACAAGATAGATCGAATACTTAAACTGAACAAAAGCTTGTGGATTACTTGTAAGGATGGACACATGAATCAGGATATATTTTCTTCTAAGTATCCATGATGCGATTTTATTGTGACACACACTATATTCAAAGTCCAATCAGAGAGATTTCTTCCTTGTTTATAGAATCTATCAAACAAAAGAATCTACAATACTATAGTGATACTAAAGTGCTACATATGGGTAAATATGGCATTGAATTGGGTAAGCAAAACTCTATTATGGACCAAGAGGAGAGAATGGGTACAAAGTTGTAAGATTTGTCTCTCTTTATTCCTTTGCGTTTTATAGTAGATTCTCATTTACTTTGTACAGTCTTAACGTGATTCCATCATAAAGATGTTTATACAATAGGTGCAAGCTCATTGTAGCTGATTTCAGGTGTACTCGGACTCTTTCCTTTATCACAATGATCGGTATCATCAACCCAAGAGTCTGTAGCACTTGCACTGACACTTTCACTTGCACTAGGACGGTGTGCTGCCACGGGTGTCTCAAAGTCCATGCACTTGTTCACGAGATACCGGATAGTCCGATCGTAGTGGTGTACCATGTGATCCTGAAGTGCGCGCGGTGTGACCCAGATACGGCGGAAATAACTTGCGTCGCGTAGTGTATACTGCAACTTCTGCTCGCCTAGAAACATTGTACACCCGCAGCGACGCGCCATTTTTACAGTCTGGATGTGAACAATCTCACCGGGTACATCCACTTCTTGTGTCGAGTCTTCCTGTGGAAGTGTGATCATGGTGGCGTTGCTAAGATTGCGAGAAGGACGACTTATGAGACTATGACGCGAGTTCCACACATCAGTAGGCGTTGGTGAGCCATTGGTAAACGAATTGACGACAGAGCTCGAGCTTGAATCCATTGCTGTCGTTTGAGTGTTCATCGAACGCATATTTTCTAGCACAGTGGGAAGGTGACCGAGGACTTCACGGCTGCTTTGACGTGGGCCCACTGCTGCCACTGGTTGCTGGCGATCTTCTTTCAGGTCTTTCAATTTGCCGTGAATACCGAACTTGACCTTGAACAGCGGCTCATTTGCCACGGCATCATAATGTATAGCCATCTCGTCACGAAGCTTCGCCATGTTTGAGATAGACAACCGTGGCACGATATCATCGCCATACACTGCGGTCGTTGCAAATTTTTTGGTCCAAGCTGCTGTCTCAGCGTCAAAAAGCGGCGGTGTCGCGTACAAGAATGCCCTTGTGTTTGGAAATACCTTGCGTAGCAAGACTGCAAGGATGCAAGCAACGCCAGCACCCATCGAGTGCCCGCAGACCACAATCGTCCAGTCAATTTCGTCATCATCCGTCAGTCTTCCTACCGAGCAGTTTGCCATCGCAAAATCCCAAAAAACAGCCTTTCGGGTGCCCTCCTGAAGGTCTTTGAATATTTGGCGTGCTGTGTGAAGCATGCCATAGTGCGTCCAAGTGTCAAATACATAAGGAATATCATACGGGAGCTCATTGGGTTCCATACGCACAATCTGCGCCAATCCATCCGTCACAAAGTCGTAGAAAGACATGCTGCCGCGCACGCTGATGATGAGCTCTTTACGTTGCTTGTCTCGGACAATGCAGTACGGTGCCTGGAACACAAAGTTGCGACAATTAAGGTACACAAGATCCGATTCCTTGACACCAGTATAATTAACAAAGCTGGCACGGTTACCATGCAGAAAGTTGTCGTGCTCAAACACTTGGTCGTCTACGGGTTTTTTGAAGCACCCAAAGATCCGAAACCAGTAGCACGGCGAATACCAGACGTAAATTGGCCAACCGTAAATCCCAATAGCCAGTCTACAATAAAATGCCAAGTCACTGAGCCGCTTGACTTCTTCATCAGGGGCAAAATGCTCTACAGTGGGAATACCTTGAGCTGCCAGCTCTGCATTCTTTTCTTTCTCATACTCTCGTTCTTTCTTCTGTACTTTTGATACTAGATCCAAACTGAATTTCAAGTCAGTGAAACTTAGACCTTCGTACCGGTTTGTCTTGTACCTTACAACAAAGAATTTGCCTAATACTCGTCCTAGTGATTCAAAGATATCGTCATCTCCTTCGTGTTCCACCGTTTTATGGCAGCTAAAAGTACGAAAACAACATAAACAACGTTTCTGCCAGCGTTTTTCGGCTTCTGCAGCATTATCTCCACTATGTACGCCACACATGTACGAAGTACATGCTCCAGCTATGATAATACAGAGTGTAAATACAAAATCAAAATGTTGAAAGTACCCAATCGAGTCAGCACGGTCTTGAACTTGTTCCCAATTTGTCTCGCCACAAACACTTGTGTCTGTACGAAAATCAATTTCTCCATATATGGTCCAACCAAGATTTACCCAACAGCTTATAAAGATAGTGAGAATCAACCATCCCTATAGCATTAAACACAAAAGAACCCTTTCATGAGATACAAGAAGAAGAAGAAGAAGAAAGAAGATGTTTCAAAGGAGGTGTGCTACAAAAAATACCTACCTCAGGTCGACGTTCGTGATAGACACGAGTTGAGAGAGTATAAATGACCGCAGCAAACATCATAATCGCAAGGATAAGATGAAATAGAAAGGAAATATAAAGCCAGCAAAAGAGTTCTTTCAATCGATCGCAATTGTCATAGCCTTCATTTGGTTTATCAATAAGTCCATAGGCCAAGAAAATGGGTAAATGATGAAAAATAATAAACCCAATAAATGGTGTCATATAAGCCCGTGGATTCAGTACAATACGTTTTAAACTTGGTGGAGCTAAGAAACAAGTACGCTTTGGTGTGCCTTCAATAGTCTCCATGGGAGTTAAACAGTCGTCCGTCATGATATATATATATATTATTGACTAAAGTCTCTAGCTACTACTTAATCTGGCTTGAATTAAGTATTTTGAAAAATGAACGAACCTATAACATGCACCATACGTTATTGGATTACGCATCGTGTAAGCGACGGGCGAGGTAGGTTGTAGTGTCTTTTTTATACTTAGTGATATAGATAGAGATACAGTTAGCTATCAAGGAACAGGGTGGAAAAAAATACCGGTGTTGTTGTTTTTTTACCTTGACATCATGATCATGTAAATATTACAATAAAAGAGTAATTAAAGTAGATAAGACAGTCGAGTCATTTGGATTTGATGACGTATGTGTTGCTGATTGCAATGTTTGCAATCATTGCAAGTGAGTAAACATTTTGGAGGATTTTTCCTATAAGATCATCAAGACGTGTTGTAGTTGAGAAATATGTAGAACGAAACATATAAAGATGATTCTAGCTTACAGAGAAGCTAGAAAGACAAACAATAGAGACAGCGAAAGGCGATATAGACAAACAAACAGGCACATGTTCAAAACGACCAATGTAGCTCACCAAGTGGTTACTATATACTGTTCCTTATTCATTGACAATGTACTGGAGTTTGATAGTTTCATCACTGTATACGTATGTACATCCCATCCTCCTTCCAATCTTTGCGCTGTCTTTTACGACTTGTGCTACTTGTTTTTTTACACATCCTCCTTAGCCACGGACTCGAGATAACCAGGATTTTCATATGTAAAGTCCTTGAATGTATCAGAGTCTCGTCGTGATCGCATTCCCAATGCACCCAGGCTGCTACGGCCACTGTGCGGACTTGCAGCTACATTTTCTGAACTCGGCAGAGGAAGACGCGTGAATTCTGCCTCAAAATTTATCGGGGTCTCGCCGTCGTTCATTGCCGAGTGGCACGGCCGAAATGGTGGAAGCACACGTTTTTTCAACAGTTTTGCCCAGTCAATGCTTTCAAAAAGAGGTGGTTCTTGACGTCGTAAGCACCTTTCGAGCCAAGACGTTCGGCCGGATTTCGATTCAATAATTGACGAATGAGCGCTTCCGCCCGCCGGGAAACGTACGGTGGAAAGTGTAGCCTTGCAGAACGTAGCCGCTCAAAAAGCTTTTTGCGGTCATTTGTATACCATGGCGGCAAACCCGTAAGCATCTCATACAACACCATACCTAAATTCCACCAGTCCACCGCTGTTCCGTGCCCAAGACGGTCGAGAATCTCGGGAGGAAGATACTCGGGAGTCCCACATAACGAGTTTGTACCATTTACTCCATCGCGGATACCTTCCTTCGCGAGTCCAAAGTCCGCCAACTTTATATGTCCATCCTTCGTGAGCAAGATATTCTCTGGCTTAAGATCACGATACACAACTCCAAGCCCGTGTAAATGCTCGAGTGCTAACGTAATCTCAGCGGCGTAGAAACATGCCATGTGTTCCGGCAGCTTCTTCATGCGCGACAAATGATAGAACAGCTCACCTCCGGGGCAATAATCTAGTACAAAGTACAAACGCTGTGCTGTCTGGAACGCGTAATGAAGCCCAACAATAAAAGGGTGTCGTGTACATCCAAGCACACGGCGCTCCGTGCGTGTATGTTCTACCTGTTTGCGCTTCACGATGTTCTCTTTTGACAATATCTTCATTGCAAAAAGTTGTTTCGTACTTTTGTGACCCACGAGCACAACCTTGCCAAACGAGCCACGACCAATCACTTGAATCATCTTGAAATCTTGCAGCGTTACGTTTTGCTTGCTGACAGCTACTCGCCCAACCTCATTGTCTCGGTCATCGGCAAGCGAAGCACCAAAAAATCGTGAGCGCTTTAGTGGCAGTCTGTCTAGTAGAAGCGGAGGCTGATCGGCCTTGCTGGTCAGAAATTTGCGAACCTCCTCTACCAAATGAGGGTTTTTGGCCGACCGATCTACCCGATCATAGTTTAGCAAGCAGGATAACCAGTCGGACAATTCATTCTGCCGCTTCGCAACAAAGTCTGGTTCAAACGAGCCCAATAGCTTTTTAGGAGGCAACAACGGTACGCGCACTCCCAACGGACGCAAACGGTCATTTAGCTCCTTAAACTGCTGGTACCGGCGGTAGATCACCCAAGTCGCACCTGACTGGACACAGCGCATTTCGATGGCGTACACGGTATACAGCCGGTTTGACGCATCATATGCAAACCCATGGCTTGCAATCTTGACAAATTCCGCACGTGCGCCACATGGAATCAAATACAAAGCCTGTGCCCTAGAGTCTTCTTCTTCCCTTGCAATCATCTCATGGTCGGCACAGTACCCTGACACTCGCTGATGCATCTCAGTACAACCAATAAAACTGCATTTCCTGGGCGGACCAGTTGGCAGCTCATCGCTCGGTGCATAGATCGCGACCATGTTCGAGCTTCGAGCTCGCATTAAGTTGCTCGCGTCCGCCAGTTCCGCATCTTCCGGCAAATCTTCTTCAATCTCAATATCCACCGTCTCATCCGCCGTATACAGCGATAACAGGTACGATGACTTGGATCCAGCTGTCCCCTCCTTTTGTTTTTCCCTACAAAAACCAACCAAGACACAAGACAACTCCATCAGCATAGCCTTTTTCCTCCACCACTTCCTCTTCTTGCCTACTTGTGTTTATATTGTGCTGCCACCGAATCAAGTGTGACTAATGTAAACTGTTGATCAATCTCTTCAACTCGATAACTCTCGCCCGTGTCTAAATCCTTCACTAAATACGACGGGTTTTCCCACTCCATCAGCTCCTTTTCCTTGTCAGTACATCCACTTTGCATCTCATTGCCTTCATCATGATAATCTTCCACATAAAACTCTTCATCCCCTTGCAACTCTTCCACGTATGGATTCATTCCTTCTACAAATTGCTGTCCAATTTGCGCCTGCAGTTCCACTACTGACAACTGCGTCACGTCTATTACATTTCCATCTTCATTATCTTCACTGTCTATCCTGCTGTCGATGTATTTTCCACAAGAGGCTCCAGTAATACAGTCTTTTGCGTCTACACTGTCATTTCGATTATCGCAAGATATCTCGGCACCTAAGGTGTCTTTTGAGCTCAACAAGGTCGAAAACGAAAGCTTAACATCACGAGCACACAAAATGTCGCTTATACGGTCCACACACGTCCCTGCAGGCATCTTCGGAGGGCCCAAAGACGTCACCGCCCTTCCAGCTTGTTTTAATGCGTTTTTGTTTTTTACCTGATCAAAAATGGTGTGTTTTACAAAGATTATGTTCATCACATAAATATACCACTGATGTGGTTAACACTAAATATAAACATGCCCGACCACCAGTCATAACGTAAAGTATTATGACCACTGCTCCGAAGAAACTCGATGTGTACTCGACCACGAACGATTACTCCAAGACCTACGTCTTTCACGACGAAGATCATACACTTGGTAATGCTTTGCGATACGTATTAATGCGCAAGTAAGTACGTGAACTGCAACCAACGAATCCCATTGACAAAAAAAAATTGTCATGGTCATGGATGCATTGTATCCGTTATTGATAGTGTGTTGACTATTTATTGCATGCAATTGTAGCCCTGACGTTGAATTTTGCGGCTATACGATTCCACACCCCTCAGAGCCCAGAATGCATATTCGTCTACAGTCTCGTAAAGGTAGGTTCAATGCAAGAAAACCAAGTTTTGGTAGAAAGCAGTTGATTTACGACGAATATTGCTATTCACGTTTGCTGATTGTAGGTGCACCAGCTGACGAGGCACTACGTTCGGGGTTGACAGATCTTCGTAAAGTATCGGCGCAAATTGGAGACGCTTACCGTAAAGAGCTCAAGGCGTTCAAGCGCAAGACACGCAAGAATTAGACGCTATACACTAAAGTAGAAGTAACGTCGTCTTCATTATAAATATATTATCATTCACCAAAGCTGACGGCATGTTTCTTTTTACTTGCATAACGTGTTGTATAGGTCATCCATCCACTCATTCTTCTGATGTCGTTGCCCTAGCTTCAAAGCAAACAAATTCATAAGAAATTACGGAAAACCTTCGCCGCGTGCTGATGCTATGTCCTGTTACTTCAGCACTTAACGCATAGAACTTCAGTTACATGGCTAATTCATCAATTGGTCATCGCTACATTCCTACCATTGGTTGAAAATACTCATTTCGGTATTTCAATTAACATCTGAAGCACTCTATTCAACAATATCTAATTCATATCACATGAAGCTCCTACTGCGTGTACAGGTTATCAAGCCCCTCGTGCAGCGCAGTCTATCTACTCATGCTATTCCTACTCTTCTCACGGACACAGAGCGCATTGAATCTCTAGAGAAAATTACAAATGCATGGAAAGTGATTCCCGACCGTGACGCTATTCGCCGTAGCTTTGAGTTCCGTGACTTTAATGAAGCCTGGGGTTTCATGAACCGAACGGCACTGCTAGCTGAAAAGATGGGGCACCATCCGGAATGGTTTAATGTTTATAATCGTGTTGATGTGACGCTTAGTACTCATGACTGTGGCGGTCTCTCCAAGAATGTAAGCTTTCTGAACTCTTTCCTTACCCATTTGCTACTGCTCATTCTCTTAAGCACGAATTGACTGACTACTGTCGTGTCGTATGCTGCACATTTACTACTTACAGGACATTGAAATGGCCGTTGCTATGAATACATATGCTGAAGCGATGTAGATCTTACGTTGAGTTACAATGGACGCAACTTTTCAGTAATGTGTAGAGCCAAGCCAAAACGTCTGGTGCTACGTACTGGAAATATCAATTGCAGAAGGGTTTGCTGTTTGGACATGTAAGTTGTCACACTGTTTTTTGGCTCTACAAGTAGGTAAGTCAGTGAAGACACAGCTTTGAAATTCGGCATGAAGCTATAAAAAACGTCAAGATAAAATACAAAAAATAGTGGTATGGGCAATGGAAGCTTACCAGTTAGTAAATTGGTCGTGCTTTGTAGTTCATGAGTGTGCTAGAAAAAGGTGGTTGACGGCCTGCTCTTTTAGGTGTAGATCCGCGTGCTTCTATAATCAAGGACAAACAACTGGAGTTCTTGATGCCGAGTTGGTAACGTTCGTACGGTATTTGTCCTAAAATCGACACCTTTGTAGGATAACTGATAAGCAGGATAGAAGTAGTAAACTGCTACGATCATGTTCAACAAGAATAAAGAAACCAGAAACGATTGGAAAAAGAGAAGCAAAGACATGTGGACTTGATGTTGAATTTCTACTGCATCATGCAGATTATCGGTGCTATCATATACGTCCTACTTCATCGATACATAGCCACCGAGTTTACCTCTTGAATCTCATGTAGGACGACGAATTGTATCCTGATATAATATTAGGAAAAACAAATAAAAAAAATTAAATTGACTACTAAGTAATTATACTATATATTGTGCAATATATATTTGTAAATTATATATTATTTTTCATTCTTTTCTGAGACTAATAAAAATGTGTCTATGTATTTTTACATAATAAAAAGGCGTACAGCACATGTAAATAAAGGACAAAAAAAATCTAATACTTTTTTTTTTTTTTAAGGCAGAAAAAAAAAAAAAAAATTTTTTAAACAAATCTGCAATGAGGTCTTTTATTCCTTAGACGGAGAAGACAAGTTTGATACATTCTGATAGGTATATTCAGGCGAAAGTGGGGAAAAGTGTATTACATACACATAAGTCCGCAACAAAGCACGTAAACAAAGCTGTTAGTTTTAAGAGTAACTAACTAAAAACCATAATAATTATGGAGATGATTAAGTTTCTTCAACCTCTTCTTTGACGTACTTTCCTCTTCTTCATTCGACGAAGACGTTGAGCCGTCCGACGCATTATTTGAACCCCTTGACATATTCTCTAATTCGCTAGAGCTGCTATCACTGCTGTCATCGAAAAGTTCTTCCTTCAGCCTGCGATTCTTGCCATTTTGCAGCGTAGACGGAGAGTTGCCATTTGGAGTCTTGGCTGGTGATGCATCCGTACTTTCACCAACCAGGAAACGCGTCTTGCCTTCATCGTTTTGCTGCTGTCCCGTAATAGTGTCAATTCTCAGCAAAGTGTGTCCAGTCGAACCGGAGACAGCCTCAAGACCATCAGTGCTTGTACATAAAGCAGAAGCAACAGCTAGAGCGATATAGTAGAAACGCATTGCTGGACGCGTGATAAGGTGATTGCAGTATAAACTCGATCAACTCGATAGACTTCGGCTTTTGGACGACGATTGCAAAGTGAACAGCTCGAAGCAAGGACATTTGCCGCTCGAAAAATTGGAAAACAGTTTGCTTCGCCAGCCCATCTTAGTATGATCACAACAATGATGTGCGACAGTTTATCAATGATGTGCGCAGGAATCATGGCATGCTCATGAGACAGTTGCAGGTCTCAAATATCGATGTATCCGTCATTCATCTTCACTGCAATTGGATTGCTTCATACAAGTCCGAGATATACAAATAAACATGAATAATAGCTTGTGGCTAGTCAAGATATGGGCTGCTCTCATATGTAGTGCATGTCATTAGGCGCTGATAAACAGCGTTTGATGAGAGAAAAATAAGCCTGTATCAGTCTTCGTACGGTACCTATCCATAGCAGATCATAAAGAAGCAAATGTCTAGAGAAGGTTCAGGAGCCTATGAATTCATACAGAACCTCAACCAAGGCAGGGATGCTGTTATTCTACACGACACAGCAAATACGGCAAGAGTAAATACGTATTGTTCCTTGTCGATCGTGTTGGCTCTGTATTGTAGCAACGCCTGAGAGCAAAAGGAAAGAAAACTTAATTCGTTTCAAACATGGGCCACTTCCTTAGCAGGATATCTCACTGCACAAATACACTACGGGATCAATACGGTGACCGTAAATCGTTTACCGAAAGCTGGAGATTAGCGACTAGACAGAGCTCGTTCACTTGTCAGGTGACTGCATAAATAACTGCAATGCAAAAGCGTATGTCCGACGACGGCGAAGCTGTGTAAAAGTGCTGAATGCTGCGAAAAAGCGTTACAAAGACGATAAAATGATGGTTGCAATGAGATGCGCTGGTAGAGTAAATCCTACGATGGAAAGGTCGAAAAGGCTTTGGAGACATGCACTTCGAATTCTAGTTGTGTTCGGGCATGGTATGGATGGTATGACACGGTATAGATCCTATTGTTCATTTGTGTGTATATCGCGCGAGGAACAAAGGGATTGTACTTGACATTCACTAAGAGTGCAACATCAAGGCATCCTTCAGTCATTAGACAGTAGACTGAGTGTATATAGCTTACCTGACATAATGATTCACTTTGCTGCATCGCTTTGTTTTTCTCAGTGTTTTGGCAAGACGCAAGTACCATTTTACCTATCGCTCCAAAGTCTACGCAACTCGTTGTCTTCGACATCGTCTTTGTGTAGAACCTTAACGCCTCTAACGTGATCACAGTGGTGCAGGCGTTCTGTCGTGTCATTGATTTGGGAAGTAATACTTAGCTTTACATTTTGATGACAGCGTCAGAGGTCAATATTGCAACGAAAAACATAATGCTGTCGACAAGACTGGTAGTTGTCACCTCATTGCTGCGAGCTGACACTTGCAAGTTTGTCGACAGCATTGAGTTTTTGGTTTCGTTCGTCAGTACTTGAGCCGATACAGTCGTGACATCTGTAACACGACCGGTCAACAAGTTCAGTACCGTGACATTCACCCATGTAACGGGGTTACACGAAGGTGTGTATGTAAAATACACACCTGCCACACCAATGTGGTGTGGCTGTACCTTGGGTACAAAGTAGGTGATGTAACCGTACCTGAAGTACGAAGGGTCACATCGTGGCAGAGAGCCACGTGGTCACTATATTTAGTTAAAGTATAGTGACTATGCATGTTTGCATATAATAAAAGGCTAAAGAGCTAGTAATCGTGACTAGCACTAAGTATAGGATAGGTGCTTCTATATGTAGTGTTAAAAGATAAACATAAATATAAATCAGTTTCAAACCTGCTCTGTATAGCACTAGTTGCAAGAGCGTTCTATTCCTTTTAAAGAACCAGTATCTTGGATACTAGTCTCTCTGAGACTCGGTTAATACCGATAGGCACAAGCTTACGAGCTAGCCTAGGAGGGTTAAACACCCTAAAACGTAGAAGCTCTCTGAGCTTGTCTTCCTCTGCACATAGTGCATACATAGCTTTGCTACAGTAGTCTGACTACTTCTTCTGCACATAGTGCATAAGTAGCGTGGCTACAGTAGCTCGGCTACACCTAGTAGCACTTGTAGTCAATTCCGCACCTGGGTTTGCCACTACTTCTCTGTATGAGTATGGACATCGATGAGATGTCAGCGGTTGGCCTGTCACCGGCACAACAGGAAGGGTTGCAGAAACTGCTTCCTATCCTTGGCTTAAGGGCGTGGAGTACCTCATCGCCCAAGGCGAAGAAGAGGTTTGACAAGCGTATTAATATGCTTCAAGAATATAATAAAGCTCTAATCGAGCATGTAAAGGCACAGATGCCTTCTGCGCCTTCGCCCATGGCGACTATGGCGCAAGAAGTGGTACACAGACCAAAACCCATACAAATGGAAGTCGATAAGTTCGACGGCAAAGAAGGTGACAACCTTATGCTTTGGTTCCGACAGGTCAAGTCGGCTATATTTATTGTCGACATCACCTATGAATCGTACCGCGTGGGCTTTGCCACGGGCAAGTTAGGTGGCTTAGCCAAACAGTGGGCATTCACATGTGGTGCATCATTGCAAGATGCTTTTCCCACATGGACCGATCTGAAAGTTCAGATGACCCGACAGTATGCACCGCCAAACCAAGTAAACCGCAACCGGTCACGTTTTTTGACGTGTTGCCAAGGCAAGCGGCATATGTACAAGAGTTGAGAGCTCTTATTGCTGCCATGGTCATAGACCCTATGCCTGAGGCAGTGACCATCACGGTCTTGTGTTTGCCCGAAAGACTTTCGTTCTGGCAACGCCAACATGGAGGGCCTTCGAGTTGGCGTTGCCAAAACGGAAGTCTTTCGGGTAAACCTGTCCTCATTTGAGGAAGCTGTTGGAGTGGCATGGAATGTCGAGACCAACTATAAGGCCACTAGGCCTGCCACTTATAACTACTCGTCTGATAGGTCTGTACATGGACTGTAGCCAAGTGGAAAAGGAAGAAACTGAACTTCCAGCTGCGGATTAGCAAATTGTGCGCAGATGTTATATCTGTAAGAGCACATACCATTTGATGGAAAAAAGCCCTGCAAGAAAGGCATATTTGGCCTCGAAGGGCTGATGCCCCGTGAATAAAACTTCTGGTTTGCCGAGGGGAAACGGCGGAATCTAGTATGCGCGGGGCGCCCTGCTGGGAAAGAACTGAGTTCTATTGAACTTCTAGAAGGTAAAAGTAAACAGGGCCTAGCCCCAAAGAGTCTCAAAAACATAACGATAAAAAGTCCCGATAGACTTAAATGCAAAGTTCTTGGACTTAAATGTAAAACTCTTCGAATTTAACATAATGGAACGCTGTTTGGTCTTGGACCCGGATGCGAGGTATGGAAATTTTTTCTGCATCGAAGATGCATTTGTTAATATTGGCATATAACATATGCATCCTCATGCAGCCGAGCAAAGCTCGCAGGTGTTCGATGTGATTCTCAACATCAGTCTTGCCTTTTTCGGCTCGACTATGGACGAATGTATCGTCAAAGTATGTCTGTGCATACGCCCTATGGGGCCGAAACAACTGCGTCACCTAGACGATTGAACGTTGCAGGTGCGCTAGATAGCCCTTTGGGGCATCACTAACCACTCCCGGAGCATACCGCTTGGAGTGCTGACCGCTGTCAGCGGGATATCACTAGCTCGCATGAGCAGCTGGTAATATCTATCGACTAAGTCGAGGGCACTGTACATCGTATATCCCACCATATTGTTCTGAAAAACATCCTTGCAAGAAATCGGAGTTTGATCTGGGATAGTGGCTGCATTCGACTTATTGTAAGCATGCACTATTCGCCACTTACCATTAGGCTTTCTCACACAAAACGTGGGCGTAGAGTGAGGAGACTTACTCTCACGCACCATGCCAGCCGCGTGCATCGCACGAAAGAACTCGTCAATGACGTCACATTGTTCTCGTGGCAGCGGCCACTGTCGCGTCACACAGTATTTGGTTCCTGGAACCAAGTCAATCTCATGACGTACACCTCTATCCGGAGGTAACCTCGTCGGAAGTCCTCTGGAGACAACATCTCCATATTCCTTCAACAAAGGAAAATAAGGATCCGAAGGGTCTTTCAGGATCCGTGATCCACTCCGCGCATTCAGCGCCTTCTTGGTATCCTGCTTTATCCAAAAGCGATGAGGAGTTAAAATCCTCCTCAGGTCGTATAACGACCACTTCGGCGATGTCGCCTGCCTGTAAGGCAATGCCAAACGTGGCAAAAGACAACTCGTCCAGTTCTAACAGAGTACTTACTGCGGGTATGGCTGAAAGAGTCACCGGCTCTTCTACATCTCCAGTCAAACCATTGACGAGTGTATATAGCTGTTCGCTATCACCGTCACTCACGATATCATCATCGCTGCTCATGATGCTCTCAGCATCTGACGCATCAGCGTCCACAGGTGTACACACCTCAAGGTCAAAGACCACTTAATTTACTGACCCCCCACCCTCTTGGGTCAATGCCTGCCTCGTCATGAGGTGTTTGCACCTCGTTGTCCTCAAAGAAAACCGTCATTTTTGACTTCACCCGACCCTCTTGGGCCAGTACCTCGTCACTAGGTGCTTGCACCTCGTTATTCTCAAAGATGCCAACCATTAATGACTTCACCCGACCCTCCAGGGCCAGTACCTCGTCTTTAGGTGCAGGCACCTCGTTGTCCTCAAAAACAACATCCATTTGTAACTTCACCCGGCCCTCCAGGATCAGTTCCTCGTCACCCATGTCCCTTGGACTCACGTCCTGACATCTTGGTTTGCAGCCACCAACACCCTCACGGTGTTTAATGATGTAACATCATTCTCATGACACATGCAATATGTGCCATCTAGTGGGTTCTCAACCACACTATCGACAGTCGTTGGGCCTCGCCCAGGACTATTGACCTCGACGCTTACAGTGTCTACAAAGTCGGATATTCCGACATCCAACATATTGA